TGATAACTTCGTTTGACCGTTTAGATTTTGTAGTTGGGTGTCAGTAGTTGAGGTCTCTATAAAATGTGAATCAGAGGTGTAATTCAACGGCACTGTAAATGTTTACATACTGTGGCAAAGATGTATCATTTGGTCTTGTATTTTATGGCCGGGAAAAATATTTCTGTGTGTGGATATTATGTCCTTCGCTGTGCTTTTGATTGGTTTGGTACCTGAGTTTAGGGTCTCTCGTTTTACAATTTGCCTGTGGTTTATTTTTTCGCCTGTCTTCTGGTATTATAATGTAGGTTATGTGTACTATTGTACTGTGTTATGGGGCGTAATGGTGGTACAAGTGGAATAGTAGCCCAATCCACTCGTTATGAAATTTCACACAGGCGAGATTCTGCTGGTTTTGAGATGCATCATTTTCGCAGATGCTTTCCGCGAGATTCGTGGTGTGTCTTTGCAATCTGTAGGGATGGTGATGTGTGATTTTGTGGTAGTGATTTTAGATCGTGTTGCTTTCCACATGGCACATGGTGGCGGTAACAGCGCTCGTAGCGTGTTGACTTTGGCGAGTGTTTTCTGGAAATCCGCAGTTAGGCTTGGCCAGAAAGCTTCTGTCCGGCCCGACTGCTGTGTGTCTGATTGTGCTATTGTCATAGCCTGACTGCGTACGACACAGGCCGTCTCGAGTTGATTCGCACATGTTACTTGGGTGTTGTGTTGCGTGTCTGCCGCGCGTTCTCTGGTGTGATTTTGTAAGTATTACTCTGTATTTCGATTTTTTTTTGTTTCCGCGCTTTTGTTAGGGCTTGGTGATGAAATTGGGTGTCTGTTAGTGCTCTTTGTTGGTTATGTGTATTGAAAAAACTATGGTTTTGAGTATTTGGAGTATAGTTTTGTAATACAGGACTTTGGCCTGGTAAAGGGCGGCGCATCACCTGACGATTGCCGGTAATTGGGTTACTTGCCACTTCATAGGCTCGAGGTACTGAACGACAGCGAACAATGGGCCGGTTTTATTTATGATCGAATGCTGGCTAACCAATTAAGCAGAGCTGGCGGCGTGGTGGTCGCTCTGCTTCGGTTATCACGGCTCTTTGTCACCTACGGTCGCCATTGTTCGGAGCGACGTTGATTATTCTGTTCCGTCCTCGGCTCTCCTTTATCCCGACCCGTTTCATCTCCTTCTCCCCTTTCCTCCTCTCTCACTCCTCCACACCCTACTTTCACCCTCTCTGTCTCCCATTCTCGTTCTCCCTCCCTCTCTCTCTCTCTCTCTCTCTCTCTTCTCTTCTCTCCTTCCTCCCTCTTTCTGCTATCTTTTCTTCTTCTTCCTCTAAAGTGCCCAGCTACTCGTGACTATGCATGAGTGAATTTCCTCTAAACGTGACTCGAGATAAAGCCCATACCACAACAATTAACCATACCTCTTTAGGCGTCACATGCCTTGGCACACATTTACATGCGGTGCCATTCAGACCTCTTTGTGCACGTGTGAAGTGTTTAGTCTACCCACCGTCGTACGTCTATTGCGTAACTCCGCTCCTGGAGGTGGCGGTACAACGAGAAGCGACGCGTGAGGCGTGCTGAGCCCCGGCCACAATGTAGGGCTGGGGTCAATGCATATGGCCAGTTGGTCGTGCTAATTGACCAATGGCAGCTGGGCTCGCCAGACGGGGCGCAGGGGAGAGCCAAAATCTGCGTCAGAGGTTCAAACATTCTTCTGGTTACTTGACATAATACCGACGACCCCACCCCTTCCTCCCCTACTCCTCTCTTTCGGGACCACGTCTTCATTCTTCTGTCCTAAACCTAACAGGACACCGCGACTATCAGGACATGTTGCTATGTCGCCTGGCGTGTCCCCTTATTTGTATGTGACATGATCTCTATGTACCCACTACAACTTGGAATGAGTGGCATTACCGGGAAACATGCGGCGGGTAGGGAGACAGTGGTCGTGGGAGTGAACCTCCTAGACCCGGCTACATCCCTAGGGAGCTGGGAATACACGTGGTGACCCCTCTCCCCTCCCCCTCCCTGCACATTCAATGCACACTCCTCCTCCCAGTTCGTGCGTCTTGTGTCCCACTTGTAACGGGTCCTGTAGTTTTTGTACCGGCTAACAAACGACTGTACAACAGGCGTTGTGCCACATGCACCTCCTGTTTTGTTTAGTTGTGAGTTCTGTACCACACTTGTGGATTATGTTCCCCGCATGTGACATGTTGAACATGGCGTTCTGTCGTCTGTGTGAATTATTAAACACCTCTTGTAGAATGCCTGTTTGCTTTACATGTGGACTATCCCTGGCGTCCACACCTCCTTACCCATAGACATTGCGTTAGTAAAACCCTGGGCCCATTCACCAGTCTAAGGCTGTATGTGACACTTCCAGGAAAGAGAGAGCAGAGAGAGAGAGAGAGCAGAGAGAGTAGCTCTGTGGGCAGGTGGCCTGAGCCTGTATCAGCAGGTGTATGGAATTCTCATCTATCACTAAGTTGTTGTCCCCCCTGGCCACTTACTCCTACTTCTGTAGCAGCTATTGACTGTCTGTCTCTCTGCATATCTTTCCCATACCTAGTCTTTTACTATGGACTGTGGACCAATATTTCCGCCCACCGATGGCTGACTTGTTTGCCACTCTGCCCACTCAATTGATCCTCACCTGTTGGGGATTGGGGATCCTTTAATGCAGTCCATAATGATATGTCAGGGAGTTTAATCCAAACTGCTATCTTCAGTTTCAGTAAACTAGACCGTGGAAGAAAGAGAGATATATTGTGTGTGCGTGCGTGTGTGAGAAAGAGAGAGAGAGGGAGAGAGAGAGCAATGTTTGTGTTTTTGAGGCCTATTGCAGTTCACCTAAAAAAAAGGGAAGATTATTTTTCAGTGGGTGTATCTGTCGTAGAATCCTGGGATAAGATAGCAATGAACACTCACTCACTCTACCGGCACATGCTACATGTACATCTACATTCCACCATCCTTGCTATTATTCAGACTAGTGGCTATTATTCAGACTAGTGGCGTATGGATGGTATGGATGATATAGAGCAGAGGCGTGCCTGTTTCTGCCAGCAGTGTCCAAGCTAAACCAGACACACTCTTATCTCAAACATTGTCAGTTTGTTCAACAGGTAGCTAGGTGAATCTCCAATTGCATTCCTGCTGAGATGGTTAATTAGATTAATAGCTGCTAATCTAATTATGGCTGTTTATCTTCCATAGGTTGGACCCATAGCCCATTGTTTTGTATTTGTGGTTGTTGTTCCTCGTTATGGGGAAGCCATTTTGTGTGTTGGTTATTGTTGTGTGCATGTGTATGCCTCAAAGATCACGTGACCTATCACCTGACTCACCTTTTTCACAGTGGTGGGGAATGTAGTACATATACATCTATGGTGTGATCTGAGATGTGAAAATGAAGATATGTGCATCCCTCCCTGTCTTTTCTTCCTCTCTCCCTCCCCTCTCTCTCTCTCCTTCCTCTCTCCCTCCCCTCTCTCTCTCTTCTTCCTCTCTCCCTCCCCTCTCTCTCTCTCCTTCCTCTCTCGTTTCAATCTCAGACATGAGAAAGTTCAAGAGAACTGTATCGATCTAGTCGGCAGAATCGCAGACAGGGGAGCTGAGTTTGTTGCGGCGAAGGAGTGGATGAGGATATGCTTCGAGCTGTTGGAACTGCTGAAAGCTCACAAGAAGGCCATTCGCAGAGCCACAGTCAACACTTTTGGCTACATTGCTAAGGCCATCGGGTAAGGCAGGCACACGGCAGAATTGTGGAGGGGAGTGAAGAGTAGAGATGCTTGGCAAAATGGAAAAGGGGTTGAGACAGAAAATTTTGTATGATGTAATGTTATGTTCGAGAGATGTGTATGCCTAATTTAGGAAGTGTCCTGCTAAAAGGTGTTGCTACACTTCAGTTCAAACGTGCAAAGAGAGAAAGAGAGAGAGAGAGAGAGGGGAGAGGGAAGGGCTGGGTCTATACAGCTGAATGGGCTGCAGACCACTGCATTTCCCTCATTCAACCTGCTAGCTGGCAGGTCCGTAGCCTGTGGTCAGTCTGCCAGGCCTTCCCACTACTGTCCCCTCTCTACACTCTACCTCTCGCTGCGCCCGCTGCCAGGAACGACACAATCTCAGCTCTTTGAACGAGCCCGGGCCCGGATTGTCCGTTAATCTCTCTCCCACCAGCTACTGTTACCCAATTACCACCTACACCGGGATCAATATACAGTTGAAGTGGCGATAACAAAGTTAGATTAATGGTTTTGGACCGAGGAATGCGGGCCAGGTACTTATTTCATGAGTGACTGCATTTCAGTATCAATTACTTCCACTTTAGTAATATAAACATCCGTGCAAATTGCTTAACGAGGAAACTGCTTTTTTTCATGTCGTTTTCCGGGGCTTGGGGCTTTGTTTTTAGACGTTTTCGGCTGTTACGACGCATCTCGCTCGCTCCCGTGCCATTTCTGATAAATTGGTTCTTGCCTGCCAAGCCGCCTACTAGGCTCCCCGCACGTTCTCGCTGTCCTAATTGCGACATGAAGAACACAATCGCCACGACAACGCCACTCGACGCTGCTGGCATGCGGGTGACCGTATGTATGTAAAAGCTCATGCACACCTCCATCGCAACACGCGGCTGGTTTCTTAGCATTCTTCCCCTTATGTCCACAGTGGCTAACGCCGGCCAAAAACACGAGGTACCACCACATTTTATGGTCGGGGGTTAATGAATTGTTTGCAGAGAGGACAGCCGTGCCATATGCTGAGTTCAGTTCTGGGCTTTGATATCCCTGAGCCGGCCAGCTTCTCGACACGGCAGCCTCGCGAACCTGGTTTACGTCACGTTTTGATGCGTCCGTCGTTGTTTTGATGACGGCGGTAAATACTGGCTGTACTTGCTGGCGGGATGGACTCTCCTGCCTGCAAAGGTCCCGCGATTTGGGTCTGTTTGTGTGCCCCATGCCGCTGTTGTGTGTCTCGTCTGCCCGATTTCGTTTTATCTCTGGATTCCGTTTTCACATACACACACACTCCCTCTCTCTCCCCCTCTCTCCTTCTCTCTCCTTCCCTTTTCCTTCTCCCACTCTCTCCTTTCTCTCTCCCTCCTCTCTTCCCTCCTCTCCCCATTCCCACATCTCCCCATTCCCTCCTCTCCCTCTTTCAAACCCCCAGTCCTCAAGACGTTCTCGCCACACTCCTCAACAACCTGAAGGTACAGGAGCGGCAGAACCGAGTCTGCACGACGGTTGCCATAGCAATAGTTGCCGAGACGTGCTCCCCGTTCACCGTGATCCCGGCCCTCATGAACGAGTACAGAGTTCCGGAGCTGAACGTGCAGAACGGAGTCCTCAAGAGCTTCTCGTTTCTGTTTGAGTACATCGGGGAGATGGGGAAGGACTACATTTACGCCGTCACGCCACTTCTTGAAGACGCTTTGATGGACAGGTACCCCAGTTTTATCTTCTTACCTCTACTTTTCATTCTGACTTTCTTCTTCTCCAGCTCACTATCTCTCTCTCTCTCTTTCTTTTTTCAGCCCTAATGTGGGTCGTAATTACAATTTCCTAGTCAACTCTGTCTATTGCTGATCGGATGCCAAAGCCATTCTATGCCAGGCATACAACAGAGGAATGTGGGTGGGTGTGGCCTGCCGCAGTAGTAAGGAGATGGGAGAGAGGGGGTCAGATGGACGTCTGGTCGTTGCCCTCGGCGGCGGCTGCTGTGAAGGGTGTCAAATGCTCCGCCGTCGTTTGAGGTGGCTAGGGTTGCTTTTGGTAGGAGGCATTTCCCAGGCCCGGCAATGGAAGGGAGCTGTGGCTCATGCCAAGTATTTAATTGTCAGTGCTCCCTAACACACGGAGGTTTGAGCGCCACCCCGTGCCTGCCGTATCTGTGTGTTGTGTGTATGTTTCCCTTCAGCTCCTGTGTTGGGCTGTGTTTGTTGGGGTAACCTCCTTGTCCTTGTCTGGCACTCTTTGCTCAGTTTGGTGAGTTGTCGTGATTGGTGGGCGTTGTGTTTGGTGAGGTGTCCTGACTAGTGAGGTGTCCTGATTACTGATGTGTCCTGGAGGACCCAAGTGTGCATCTTCTGCAATCTGATTGGTTAATCAATAAACGACATCATCGACTTTGTATACTCCATGATCTGTTCCATTAACCATTAGCTGATGTCCCACACCTGTCCATTAGCGTGCTAGCAGAGAGCATTACCATGGGCCCGAGATGTTTGGGGTGTGGCAGGGACCAAATTTGAACGAAGTCAAAATAACTAAACTACAATTCCGGGACACCTACTTTCTCCCCACTGTTTGTGTGTATATACTTCTTGGCTTTATCCAACACGCTTTGCCTGTCTTCGCCTGGCGTCTGTCAATAGCGTTGGGGGCTGTTGGCGTGTGGACCCGTACAGACTGTTTGGTTATAGTGAAGATCTGCAGAGTTCTCCATGATGACACATCGTGCGTGCATGTCTCCACAAAAAAAAAGACAGCTGCAGTTTGTGGCATAACACGGGCGCTGGGTGTGTGCGTATGTGTGTTTAAAGAAGCCTTCTGCTAGGAATTCGGGACTAAGGCCAGTGTGGACACACATCGACATGTATGTCCTTTCTCTTACGTCATGTCCCGGTCTTCTGTCGTAGATTGTTTGCGTGTGAGAAGGAATTCGCTGTCCTCGGCGGTTGCCGCGAAGGAATCCAGCGTCCACGTGTACGTCGAGAGCCCCTTGCCCGCTGGTTTCAAGAGGGTTAATTAAGAGGCAACATTGTTGAAATGTTTAGTTCGTCTTTTCAAGAGGCACTCGTGTTCCAGAATTAAGAGCCACTTGAACTGTTTCAGCTCTCAGGGAGGCAAATAATTCCCTGTTTTTAACACACTCAAATATATGACACGAGTTTTCCCGCCCGTCCAGTGGAGCGAGGCTACTTGGCATTTGAGGTGTGACTTCCACTCCATTTGCTGGTCTGGGGAGGGCGAGAGAGCTTTGTCACCAGAGGAGAGAGAGACTCCATGTGCCAATATCCTGCCCCACACCTTGCCAATTGACAAAACCACTGACTCATCCACTCCACAACCATCACCTTTCATACAACTTACTCTCCAACGCTAGTCTCCGTATCTTCTTGTTTGTCTGTGGGTGTCTTCTCTTGTTTGGGTGACTGGTTTTGAGTGAGTGGCTTGCTCATTTAGGTGGGCCCATTGTGTCCTGGATGTGTGGTAGGTAGGGGGCAGGCTTTAGCTGGTTTCCAGGTCACATTTCACTGCCCTTTGTTCCCCCTCTCCCCCCTGTGTCTACTGCTATTCTCTCTTTTCCTTCTCCCCCTCCCTCTCCTTTCTCTCTCCCCCTCCTTCTCCTTTCCCTCTCCTCCCCTTCTTCCTCTGTGCCCTCACTCCCCTCCTCCTTTTCCTATCCCCTTTATCTTAGCTCTTCTCTTTCCCCTCCCTTCCTCCTCTCTCTTCTTTCTCCCTCCCTACATGTATACAGCATTCTCTCCTTTATTTAAGATCTTCTTCCCTCCCCCTCTATCTTCCCTCTACAATACTATTCTTTCCTCTACCCCCCTCACCCACACACTCACCCACATACACAGGGACCTGGTACACAGACAGACAGCCTGCTGGGCGGTGAAGCACATGGCTTTGGGAGTGTATGGCTTCGGTTGCGAGGACTCCCTAACGCACCTCATGAATTACGTGTGGCCAAACGCGTTTGAAATATCTCCGCACATGGTCCAGAGTTTCAACGACGCGGTCGATGGGTTCAGAGTTGCCGTGGGTCCAGGGAAGGTCCTACAATACACACTGCAGGTCAGCTCACTGTGCATAATTATACTGTGTGGTGTATTTACAGTGGAAAATTTTAGATGGGAGTAAAAATTTTAGATGGGTGTAAAAATATTTTGCTTCTACATAACTCTCCATTGTTTTTGTGGAGATGGAGTAAATTTTCTTGACTCCCAATGTTTTGTACTTGGCTAAATGCAGCAATTTCTAAACTATTTTCTTTGCATACCATGTGCTAGCTGCAGTAGTGTACTAATAATTTGCTACTGTTTGCTGTGTATACGTACTACAACACTGAGATACTGCAATGTTAGGATATTGTAAGATGGGGCCCTACATTCCAGACGCATGATTAACCACTCGACTGTTTTGGTCAGTTGGCCGTGAACTGGAATTTGAATTTCGCTGGCCCTACCTATCTCTTCTCTTTCGTGTCACCCCTCCCTTCCCAGCTCCTCAAGACTTGTTTACCAACCCTAAACCCCTCTACTAACTAGCAAGACTTGTTTACCAACCCTAAACCCCTCTACTAACTAGCAAGACTTGTTTACCAACCCTAAACCCCTCTACTAACTAGCAAGACTTGTTTACCAACCCAAAACCCCTCTACTAACTAGCAAGACTTGTTTACCAACCCAAAACCCCTCTACTAACCAGCAAGACTTGTTTACCAACCCAAAACCCCTCTACTAACCAGCAAGACTTGTTTACCAACCCAAAACCCCTCTACTAACCAGCAAGACTTGTTTACCAACCCAAAACCCCTCTACTAACCAGCAAGACTTCTTTACCAACCCTAAACCCCTCTACTAACCAGCAAGACTTGTTTACCAACCCAAAACCCCTCTACTAACCAGCAAGACTTGTTTACCAACCCAAAACCCCTCTACTAACTAGCAAGACTTGTTTACCAACCCAAAACCCCTCTACTAACCAGCAAGACTTGTTTACCAACCCTAAACCCCTCTACTAACCAGCAAGACTTGTTTACCAACCCTAAACCCCTCTACTAACCAGCAAATACCTGTACTATGGATGGATCCTATGGTTTCAGCTTCGTGTTTCCATTTTTCTTCCCAAGACCTCAACCGCCTCTTAATTAACCCTCTTGAAGCCAGCGGGCAGGGGTTCTTGACGTACACGTGGACGCTGGATTCCTTCAAGACTACGTATGGTTTCAGCTTCGTGTGTCCATTTGCTTCCCAAGACCTCAACCAACCAAACATCTTCCTGATACTAAAAATAAAATGTGGCCGCTAGCAATCCAGGCAAGCTTCTCCTCTAAGGTTTCTATCCTCCAGCTAGCACACTATGGCTTCTCTGCATAACACAGCAGACCTCACCCTATTTTGGAAGCTCTATTGTTTACCATAGTTTACTAACCAACTACTGAAATTTACTAACTGTGATGTAGTTTACTAACTGTTTACCGAATTTACTGATGTTTACTAAGAATTACTGTTTCCAATGCATAACTGAGTGCAGTGACGGAGAAGGATATAGTCTGTGGCTAGACTATTTAGGGTGTGTGTATGCATAAACTGAAGCCCATTGCAGCAGTACATCGAGCATTCTTTGCCCGTCCTCGTCCTCCAGGGTCTTTTCCATCCGGCGAGGAAAGTACGCGAGGTCTACTGGAAGATATACAACATGCTCTACATTGGATCGCAGGTGAGGAAGGGGTTAAACTTAGAGTGGGAGGAAAGGGTTAAATGAAAGAGTGGGAGAAAAGGGTTAAAGAGTAGGAGAGGGGAGAAGCATGGGGCATTACCTACCGATTTTTTTTATTACCTCTGGGTTGTTTATAAACAGGGGGATAAAACAATGTGGAATAGATACCTAATAATTGCAAGTAGGAAATGGTAGGTGAAGGCCTAATTGGATTAGATGGTGACCATTCCTTAGCTAGAAGGTCGCCTGGAGTTACAGCAGCAGTGTGCCTCACCTTGAAAGGAAGGTGGAAAGACTAGGCCTGGATTCACAACGTTGACTGAGTGACCGTGGTGTGCTGTGATCAACTTTAGGCATACAAGTGTTAATTAAAACAGCATAAAATAGAAGGTCCGTTTCAACAGAACTTTAATTTTCAGTTACAATCCCAAGGTTCACTACTCCTGAATGCTGCCTGGACCCAAGGTGTCTGGATTAGACTGTAGTACATTCTGCTATTCATAGCCACTGAAGGGTATTCACAGTTTGCTGGCAGTGGGGGTGAATGTGTAGGATGGCATCTGAATTTTGTACGTGAGTGCTATTTTGCCTCGTATTTCCCTCGCTCTCTCACTTGCCGGCAGGGGAACGGAGCAAATTCACCCGATCTGTGACGGTATTCACGTTTCTGTTTGTTTGAATCTGATGCAGTCAATACGAATGGTATAATAATTATACTGCCAGTGCCCATTGTGCAGTTTGTTTTTTTACAACTGCTGGTGAGGGATTTGTATTCTTGAGGAAATGTTAAACATAATTGGTTATGGAATGGGATCAAGGGTGGTGGAGTCCTTGCTATATATTTTCCCTTTAATAATTTTAATGGTGTAGTTTTATCTCTCTCTCTCTCTCTCTCTCTCTCTCTCGTAATGTACAGGATGCTCTGGTGGCTCACTACCTAAGGGTTCCAGAGCCTCAGTTCATTCGACATGAGTTGGATATTTTTCTCTGAGACTATTATAGACGATGACTGATGCAGCAGCTCTGAACTTTGCCATGCTCAATAATTTACTAACTCACTCCTAATTAATTTCACATCGTCTCAATACTTATTTATGCGCGCGCGGACTGACTGACTGACGTTGTGACGCAGTGTAATACTGTACGTGGGTGTTAGTTACACGGGCCTCTCTGCAGAGACGCATAAAAGGCCTGGCTGAGCCACTCGTGCAAGAGTGTAGATACAGTCCCTGAGCTGAAGATTACCGTGGCAACGATTATAGCAGCAGCGAGGCCGCAGCAGACCGTTCTTCCCGACTCTCCGAATCTCGGATGTCTTGTCCGATGCACAATAGCAGCGTCCTGCTAGTGAACCCGCACCACTACCACTCGTCCAGTCCCGCCGTCGGTCGCGGTCTCCGTTCCCCCGTTGATATGTCCGGCGCCAAGTTCAACATGCGCCACTATTCGCTCGAGTCTCCCTCCCTCACCTCCCCTCCTGCGTACGACATTCTGCTGCCGGGAGCTGTCGGCGGGGCTGCCGGGTTAGAACACGGCAAGCATCTGTGCGGCGGTTTTTCCGCGGGGCACCTCGGAGCTATCTGCTCGCAGAATAACGTCATGGGGACGCCGCTGCCCATCTCTTCGTCCCCGCAGTTCAACCCGCATCTGGTGATGGCTCCTACCGCACCGCCGGGCCTCCTGCATATCTGTACGTTTATGTTCCTAGCTATTGCGTTGCTGTGTTTTTGCACGCTACGTGGAGCGAGCTTATAGCTTGTTTACGTTTCTCGGTAAGTGATGCGAAGCTATACCATCTATTAGGTTGTCTAGACGGATGATGATTAGTTTCGCGTGGAAAATAATTGCTCATTAGCGCGATAAACTGGGCTTGCTATCTACAACTCATCGAAAATTTTGCCAGTTCTTGTGCTGCAAGGAATGCTGTTCACTTTCGTTGCATGGTAAAGTATATGTAGGGTAAAAACGGGTTGGGATACGCCGTGAATGTGTGTGGGAGTTCAGCCTTACATTTGCAGCATGCTATTACTGCCATTCATCTGCTGGAAAGAATACCAAGTCCTCATTGTCCGTCTATATATTAACTCTTGTGTAAAACAACCAGTAATTGAGTTAGGCCAATAGCAACCTTTTCTAAAAGACAAGTGTTAGCTGACTCTGTTGCTAAAATCTATGGTTGAGGTTACAGTGGGTATAATTTTAGGTGATGTAATGGGTATTTCTCTCTCTTCAGCCCCGCCTATGGCTGTACCTACGTCGGCACATACTTCTGTTCTCTACCACCACCCTGGGTTGCCGACGGCGATGCACGGGCGACCGGTGGACTACCACAGGGGGCGGGGCAAACAGCGTCGCCACCGTACCAACTTCACTACCCAACAACTTGAAGAATTGGAGAAGGCCTTCCAAAAGACTAGATACCCCGATGTCTTCATGAGAGAAGAGCTGGCGATGAAAATCAACCTGACTGAAGCAAGAGTTCAGGTAAGATCAACCATATACCTAATCTTAAGTCCACCACTAAAATGTGGTTTTTCCAGTTCCTTATATAGCCTCATTGCTTATTCTTATGAATAATGCCTATGGCTATTGTAAGTTTAGGTCTAATAAGATAATGCAGAATTAACAGCTAATTCAATCATATCCACTCTGAAATGTCTCCTACACCATTAGCTTTGACCTGACCCAGCATACGACCAGTTTGCAGCTGAGCTTTGCCTTCTGCCTTTCCTTCTGGTTTTCCTTCTGGCTGAGTGTGGCCGTGTTTGTTATACTGCCAGCCTCTTTGAATTTTGGCACTGTGTCCAGAACCCTCAACCAAGTTTTCCTTGTCTCTCTACTCCTCCCTGGCATGCTACTCTATTGTACCCACCTCACCCTCCCCCCTCCCTCTTTTTTCTTTCTGCACCTATACAGGTATGGTTTCAGAATCGCCGAGCGAAATGGAGAAAGGCAGAGAAAGCTGCAGCTGCGAGTGAAGGCGGACAAAGCACCTCGGAAGGAAGTACAGCCACTGCTAACTCTCCTGGAGGTAGTAATGTGGCCCGTAGTCCGCAGTCGAGTGCCACGGAGGCTGCAACTCCAAGCGATACCGGCACCCCTACTAATCTTTCTTCCTCGACCACATCTCCTTCAGTCTCCTCCCAGGCGCCTCTCTCCTCTAATCCTCTCCCTCCCAGCCCAGCCAGCCCCTCCATAAAACCAGAGCACATGGAGCAGTGGACCCACTCTCCACCCTCCTTTGCTCAGAGCTTTGCGTCTCCGACCAGCCCGGCTTCAGGGAGCATCGTATCGCCGCACACTGCGTCCCTTCCTTCTCCCTTCACCTTCCCACCTTCTCACAGAGCACCTCCACAAAACATCCCCTACTCTACTTCCACTCTCCCCCTGTCTGTGATGGGTCACCAGTCCATTCCGTACTCCCTCTCCGGAACGTATGCGGGACCGGGACAGCAGTCCATTCCGAGATATTCCCCACACATCTAGTCACCCAAATTTAACCTTCAATGAGCCTCTCCATTTTTAATCACTGACGGCAAAAATCTCAACAATGAACTTTGAAATTACAGCAATAATTTGTCACCGATCGAACGGACTCCTCATGTTATTTAGATATTTATGTTCCGATACATTACGTCACCCCAAAATTACGTGGTCTCTTATATGCCACCACATGCTACTTACCACCACCACCACCATGGTATATACTCATACATCCACGCTACTCAATTGGTGTATATACTGCAATAATTATATATTAGAACGAAAATAATTATACACACTTATGCGGTATTATGATGTGTTATGAGCTGCCAACCTTATGCAATATAGCCGACAATTATGTGTGGTATGCATACACCTAAAACAGTAATATAGATGGTTGGAAAGTGTTTGGAGAAAAATCCAGTATTATTTCAGAACGGACGAGTTTTGATCTGGGCGTGGAGGGTGGGTGGGGGGGACTAATGACAGGGCGTGTCTGGCGTACTTTGACCCCAGAAGTCCTGCCTTTCTCAGGGCAGCTGCCACCTTGAACCTGGGGTCAGAGGTCACCACATTGTCACGGTAACCGTGGAGAGTAAACAGTGGATGCTGGGCGTGGAGTTGGGGTTGGGAATCAACCAAGACCCTACTTTCAGAAGCCTGTATGTATGAAGTCAAGCAAGGCACTATAATTATCATGCTATACTGTACATCAGGGATGATAATTATATGCATGCACACAGCCATATATACCTTGGTGGGTTGCAAAATCCTCTGGGGATTGCATGCTGCTTTCACTTCCACCTGAAATTGAATTTCCTTTTTAGTATAATATGTAGAGAGGATTGACTTACCGTCTGTCTCAGTCTATCGAGCCTTTCTTCTCGCTCTCTGACTGCAGCCAAGGCCCTCCCTCGAGCCTCCTCCTCCCTCTCCTGTCTCTCTCGCAGGAGCTGCTCTCTGCGACTTACCCTCTCTCTCCCTCTCCTCCTCTCCTCCATCTTCTCCCCCTCCCTCTCCTCCCTCCTCTTCTCCCCGTCTACACTTTCTCTCTCTGCTGCTTCCTTCTTCAGACCGTGGAACACCTCAACCTGAATTCAGGACACCTCTCTAATCAGGATACCTCTCTAATCAGGACACCTCTCTAATCAGGACACCTCCCTAATTAGGACACCTCTCTAATCAGGACACCTCCCTAATTAGGACACCTCTAATCAGGACACCTCTCTAATTAGGACACCTCCCTAATTAGGACACCTCTCTAATCAGGACACTTTACTAGAACACACTCCACAACATGCCAAGTCACTGTGCATGCATACATACGTGACTTTTGTAAAACATTCCTCACTTTTGCCTTTAGTTTCGCTCTGTGTTCAGCTATCTTCCGTTCCTCCCTCTCCCTCTCCTCCTCCTCCTTCCTTCTCTCCCTCTCCCTCTCCCTCTCCTCCCTCCTCACAGCCTCCTCTCTCTCCTTCCTCCACTCACACACTCTCTCGTACAATTCCTCTGCTTTCCTCCGTTGCTCAACCTTCGCAGCTGACGATATCGCCTCCGCCTCAAGAACCTCTTTCTGTCTTCTCAACATTTCCACTAGCCTACCCACCAGCTCAGTTCTGGAAAAAAGTAGAAAACCAAAATCAGCCTAACATTATTTGTTACTCGGTGGAGTCACAAAATCACCTATTTCGCAGCCAAGATTTCTTGACGCTAGCCACTTGTCTCTGATAGTGCGTCGAAGCATTATACCACGACTCGTGTGTCATCTGGAGAAACAGTATTTTAATATTACACTCCATTAGCATGTCAACAAAATCAAGAAAACTTAACACCAAAATGCTTCTGCGTGGTGTTTTTTTATACGTACAATCTCTGGTCTTGTGAGGTTAGGAAATTCTCTCATTAGTCGGTCAATTAACAGGGTCCTCCTCTTCCTTAGCAACGAGGGGTACTGCCCGACGACGTGACGAAACCTCTCGTCGTCTGTGAAGCTCCACCCATTGTTGCTCTGCCCGGCAACTCCCTGGCAACAGCTGCCCCGCCCGGCAACCCCCTGGTAACGATGATGGAGGGTCTCCAGGGTCAAAGTGTAGTGATTGTCAAGCAGCTGCAACTCTCTCAGTGCAGACCCATAGTTTGGCGCCTCTCTCTCCTCTGCCAATTCCAGGGGGATGCCCCTGGAGTAATTTGATAAATAAGTTTATTGAGAGGTGGGCAGTCAACTCACTGCAAGGCATCCTTCATCTCTCCCTCTTTCTCCACACCCACCGTCGCAATCTCTCCCCATAGTCTGTGAATCTCTTCCTCCAGTTTGAGAACAGCTTTCTCTCCCTCCCTCTTCACCCCCTCCTTCTCCCTCTCTCCTCTCCCCAAACTGCCTCTGAGTCTCCCCCTGGCTCTCAGTAATGGCCGAACTCTCTCCCTCGTGAAGTCTTCTCTCTCCTCACACAGCTGGGATTCCACGGCAGCTGCCTCTGAGAGGAATTCCAGCCAAAAACTGTGTTCCTCAGAGCCCACACACACTCTCCACTCCTCCAGCTCCTTTTGCACCTGAACCATGGGTATATATATACAGTGAAACTCGTCTAATCCAGACACCAATAAAAGTGTCCGTTTTAGTGAGGTTGCAGGGGTGTCCTTAGAGAGAGGGGTTCCACTGTATACCTCTCACGTGCACGTCACGTGATCAATCCCCGCCGGTACCTGTCCTCTCTCCAATTGGAGTTTGTTCCACTCTCTCATCCACACCTCCCTGTGAGCTCTGAGGAGACCTTCCTCCCTGGATCGTCTGGATCCCTCTGAGAGCTTCTCCACCCTTGCCAGCCGCTGCCCGTCCCTCGCACGTGCCGCCTGCAAAACAGCCTCCCAGTCGTCGTCGAGTCCTTGCCGCCGAGCCACGCCTTCTCTCCGGTTTCCAGTGACGTAGCCGTGCTGCAGAGCCAGTACTACGAGAGAGCACGTCTAGCTAGTGGTGGACAGTTTGAACTGAAGCTCACCGCGGTCAGATTTGGTGTCCAGGTTAAAGGAGAGACTCGCACGGTTATCCAGATAGCTCCGCAGCGCTCTCTCGACTCTTCTTCCCTCCATCACAACTGCGCTCCTGCTTTTGCGAATGATAATGGGCGTGGCTTACTTGCTATTCTACTGCGCGTGCGCACGTGGAACTACAAAGACGCCTGTGTACTGAAGAAGCAATGGCTGCTTTTCTAGGTAAGTCCTAGCTAAATTCCACGTACACCTGTGAATACTTGGTGTGTTCTTCTCCCTCCCTCTCTCAGAACTAGGCATGATAGAAGAAGTGGTGCAGTCTGTGGAAGAAATGGACTGGCTGTGAGACAGACAAAACGAGACACGTAATAACTGTTTCATTTCCCCCTCTCTCTGATTTCTAGGCTACCAACTGACGTGCAACACGAAGCAATCCCTCTCATTCTAGGGGGCGGAGACGTTCTCATGGTAATGCTCTAACATCTCCACGGTTACGATGTATATATCCATGACGATGGTGTTGCTAGGCAGCAGAGACGGGGAGCGGTAAGACGGGGGCATTCTCTCTACCAATCATACAGATTGTCCAGGAGACTAAGAAGATGAGGAGAGAGGGGAAGGGAGGAGGGAGGGGCAAGGTGGGAGGGGGAGGGGCAAAGACAGTGAAACTGAACCAGTTTGACAGGGGAGACCAGTTTGGTGAGTGCTACTGTATTTTAGCTTTGAGCAGGAAAAATGGCGTTAGACAGTCTTCCGGAATACAATTCTCTCTCTGTTTCCTACAGCCGTAGCTCCAGATGGGTTGCTGTGTCAGTGTCGAGAGCACAGAGTGTGGCACGGATCACGGTCCACTCATGGAATATCCTCAGGTCTCATTCCCATACACTCATGTTTCCATACCATCATTCCCATACACTCATGTTTCCATTCTCTCATTCCCATACACTCGTGTTTCCATTCCCCCAATTCCAGGGAAGAGTTATTTCGAGGCCACGGTCACAGACGAGGGATTATGCAGAATTGGCTGGTCCACATCACGAGCCACTCATGAACTTGGTAAAAATGTTCAAAGACCAAAAATTTCCTGCCTGACTTAACATTTTTGCAGGGAAAGATAATTTGGGGTTTGGATTCGGAGGCACTGGCAAGAAGTCGTTTAGCTCTCAGTTTGATAACTATGGCGAGGTAATGTTTAACCCTTCTCTCACTGTACTGATTATGACTGATTATGTGATTACAGCCGTTTGGTAAGGACGATACTATTGGTTGTTGTATCGACACTGATGGAGGCAATGTCAGTTTCTCCAAGAATGGTCAGTAAGAAATATTTTTATCAAATTTTTCAGCTTTGTTTGCTGGTTAACTGAATTTTTCCACCGTTTGATCTGGTTATGCTTCACTGCAGGAAAGAATCTTGGGAAGGCATTTGACATTCCAAAACATCTCCATGGAGACACCTTCTTTGCAGCTGTCACTCTCAAGGTACAAAGGTCACTCACCCTGTCCATTCTGAACTAACAGCAGCTGCACCCTTGCTTCAGAATGCAGAAATGAAATTCAATTTCGGAGACACTCCTTTCAATAATCCACCACAGGTTTATTAATAGTGATGTCATAACTTTGACCTCTTGACCCTATGATGTCATACTACCACGTAGGCCGGGTATTGTGCCCTGTCCAAGGCGGGAGGCCTGGTTCCGTTCCAGTCGTGTGGAATGGAATCACGACCGGGGAAAAGGGAGGGGTCGGTGATGGCTCTGATAATGGAGCCGGCGAGGGAGTTGGCTCAGCAGACGCATGAGAACATCTCCAGGTTCAAGAGGCACCTCACCAGCCCTGGAGTGAGGTGAGGCAACAATCACCTACAATGGTCTTTTCTTGCTCACCCATAATGCATTACTTTGGCTCGTGCATATTAGCATGTAACATGTCCCTTTACAAGTGAGGGAGAGAAGTAGGTTCAGTTTCCTTGATGTCGTAACCCAAGGAACTGTTGCTAGTGGGCGGAGACAGTAGGTTCAGTTTCCTTGACGCCGTAACCCAGGGAACTGTTGCTAGTGGGCGGAGACAGTGCCAAGGACCAGATGAGAGCCCTGCAGGAAGGTGTTGATATCGTCACGGGAACACCCGGTCGCCTTGATGACTTCATCTCCACCGGAAAGCTGGATCTGTCTGGGGTGGGCGGAGCCTGTTACTATAGCAACGTTTATTCCCCTATTTCCATTTTGTAGGTTCGATTCTTGGTACTGGACGAAGCCGTGAGTCTATATTTAGCAATACAGCAGAGTGATGATGAGGTAATGTCTATTTTTAGGACGGACTCCTCTCTAGTGGCTATGGCAACCTCATAACAAAGATTTACAATCAGATTCCGAAAGTCACGCCAGAGGGAGCTCGGCTGCAGGTGACTGTCATGTGACATCACCTGACATCATGTGATCTGTTTTTTCTCCATACTACTCAGATGATAGTGTGTTCGGCTACGCTGCACAACGTAGAAGTCAAGAAATTGGCAGTAAGTTTAGCACAAAAATCTTTCGTAGGAAAAGGAGAAAGATCTACAATTTTGAGTTGCCTCTCTCCCATCCCTCCCATCCTCCCTCATCCCTCCCCTCCCTCCCTCCCTCCCCTCCCTCCCTCCCTCCTTCGCTCTGTCAGAACAAACTGATGCATTTCCCAACGTGGGTGGACCTGAAGGGGCTGGACTCGGTACCAGAGACAGTTCATCACGTGGTCTGTCACGTGAACCCCGTGACCGACACTGCCTGGTACAACCTCGGACGAATCAGAGTAGAGGTGAGACCCACTCAGTTACTAGTGTATGATGTCATAGTGATGTAATCCACTGCAGACAGACGGGGTTCATGCTGGCGATAATGTAAAGCCAGGGAGCAGATCAGCTGGTGAGATTTACTTCTTCCTTCTTCTCCTTTCTCTTTTCCTTTCTCAATTCTAAATAATGGACACCTTGAGGACATTGAAGGTGTCCTTTATTATTAACCCTTATTCAGAGCCAATAGTGTGGGGCAGAACCAAGTGTTCTTTATAGGAAAACACTGGAGGGTTCTTTCAGAAAGATCACTGCACACTCCCTCTATTCCAGAATGTCTAAGCGAGGGAGTGAAGCTGCTGAAGGCAGAGTATCTTGTGAGAGCCATCAGGAAGCACAAGATGGACCAGGCCATCGTATTCTGCCGCACCAAACTGGACTGCGACAACATCGAGAGATACCTGATGAAGATTGGTGGAGGTGGGTGTGGCTTTGGTCACGTGATCATCAGTGATTAGTCACATTACTGTATAGCTAGTTAGACTATGTTTGTAAGCTGTCTTTTTGCAACGTATTTTTGGTGTGTTCAGGGTCGAAGATGGTGAACGAGTTTTCTTGTGTGTGTCTCCATAGCGACCGAAGACCTCAAGAGAGAAAAGACAATCTCCTCGCTTTTAAGGTATTCAGGATGGTCTGTCTTTCTCCCTCACATACTTGCTAAAAGTACGAAGGTTCTCCTCTCTCTCTCTGCACTCTCCTTCACCTTTCTTCTTCTCCCCCTCTCGCTGCTCCCCCCATCCCTCTAGAACGGCGAGGTGAGATTCCTCGTCTGCACAGACGTTGCTGCTCGAGGAATCGACATTACTGGCGTCCCCTTCGTTGTCAACGTTACTCTCTCCGACGACAAACAAAACTACATCCACAGAATCGGGCGCGTTGGCCGTGCGGCGAGAATGGGCCTCGCCATTTCTATTGTTGCTACCGTCAAAGAAAAGGTGGGCGTGGCTTAAGCAATGTGGGAGGGGCTTCATTAATGTCGGTGTGATTTCTGTTGCTAGGTGTGGTATCACAAGTGTCCGAGTCGAGGAAAGTCGTGCCACAATACAGACCTCCTGGAGAACGGAGGTTGCACCATCTGGTACGACGAACGACAGGTCAGCCAGACTAGTTCCTCAATCTTGGAACCAGATTTTGGAATGATATTTATGATTGGGGGGGCTTACCCTCCAGAGCCTTAATGTACTTGAGTTCTGCTCCAAAATACTCTATCTTTTTTGAAAGTTGAAAGTAAAATGATTCTCCCTCACTCTCTTCTACTTATATATAGTATCTATCAGACATAGAGGAACATCTTGGTGTCACCATTCCACAAGTCGACAACTCGTTTGACGTGCCGGTAAACGAGTTTGACGGGAAAATCACGTACGGCGAGCGACGAGGGAAGTCTACTGGGACTGGGTTTCAGTACCACACGGCCCAGCTGGCACCGTCTCGAGACCAGCTGATGAAGATGGAGAAACTGGCACAGTCCAACTTCCTCAGACTCCAGACCACCCAGACTTGGTTCAGCTGATTCTGGGGGCGCTAGCTAACTGCCGATGAAAGTTATTTGGACTGGTGTAGTTATTACTATGTGAGACAAATAAATGTCCGTATTTGGTTCTGAAACCACGGTCGATGATTTGACCTCAATTTCTACTAGAGTTCATCACAACCTTGCTTATTAGCATTCTGAACTCTACCGCGATGTGAAAACCACACTCTTAGACTGCAAAATTAAACGTTGTCCACTGACGCTGTGTTGACTTCATAAGAAATGTTGCATAATAATAATAAAAAACAAACAGGTTGTGTAAGACGTGGTAATACTTGCAGCTGCCTGTATGTATAACATACACTGAAATAAGTGACAAAATTGGTGGAATACGAGAACATCAGACATTTACAGGAGCATTGTCAGGGTTGCTAGTGGTTACAATCATGTCTAGGGCATTGTAGGATAAAAACTGCCGTTGTCTGCTGAGGTTCACTGGAGAGCTCGTTAAGACAGGGGCATCCCCCTCCATTCCAAAGCTGGACATGCTGTCACGGTTACTGTTGTCATGACTACTATCAGTATCGCCGGTGGTACTATTCTGTGAGGTGGCTGGACTGACTCTGTTCGTGTCGCGATTGTGCGCCATCTCCGTTCCATTCTGCCGCAGTTGTGTCTCTATTCCAACCTCAACCAGCGACGGGACGGAAGCCGCGCCCCCTCTCTTCCAACCCTCGGCAGGCGAGGAATCCCCTCCATTAGCGTCAATCACGTGAGTCAGACTCGACTTGGACGACTGAGCTCTTCGAATTTCCCTCTCTCTCTTCGGAGGCTGCGGAGAGGGCGTGGTCGCACTTCGACCCTCGATATCTGAGGGAACTGTTGCAGTTTTTCTCAGCCTGCTCCCCTGTCTCGCTCCCTCGCTGCTACTGGAGGGGTCCGCCTGCGTCGCCAGGGCGTTCAGTATCACACGATCTTCGACAACTTCCGCTCTCCTCACGTTCTGCATCAGATCCCTCGCGGGGATCCTGGCAAAGTTAATCACGTCCACAAATGGCTCAAACACCTCTTTTGGTGTCTCCGCCGAGCGCTCCTCCACATAGCGCAGAGTCCACCGATACGCTGCGTTGAACTTTGTCACCTCCAGAGCCTGCAGCTCCTCTCGACCCAGCACGATGCGAACCACGTGCTGTGGAAGCTGCTGAAATGCTCCCAGCGACAGAATCTTCTCTGCGTTACCGTCGACGAATTCAAACATTTTCTGAACGAGAATCTTTGTCGACTTGTACTGGATGTATTTCTCAGCCGAGGCTAGTAAAGAACAGACCGTGTCAACCGTAATGCAGTGTTCCATGAATCTAATGCAGGCAAGCTTTAGGTCTTCCAAACCGTAGTGATCCGCAGCATTCATGAGTCCCAGGAGCGATCTCGCCTGGAGCATCACGGAACCTGTGTGTATGTAGTCGACCAGCAACTTGAAGACCCCCGGTTCAAAGTCCGTCACCACGACGACCGGGTTTCCCCTGAGGTCGTATTTCTCGATGTATCCGTCTGGTGGTTTGGAGGGGTTTGCCTTCTTCTTGCCCTGTTTGCGACTGTCGCCAAATAGCAACCTCCGAAAAACTCTAACAGAGATAGGGGGAAAGGAAAGAGAGAGAGGGAGGGTAAGGGGGTGGTATAATAGAATTAATCAAGGTACCACATGATTCAGAGGAGGGTTAAGTAGTTCTAAATGACACAGGATGCATACCAGAGCGCTAACATTAGGAAGAATCCTTTGAAGATGAACCCAGTACATGCGCCAGCACCCACCATGTAGCTGAACACGTCTAGAGATGCTTGGAATGCCGTTACAGTGTACCACTTCCTTCCTTCCTCCACACGTGTTTGATAAACTTTGCTTTAATCTTTAGTCCCCCTTCTTCCCACATGGCACCGTCATCTATCATTATAGCCAATCCTTTGCTCTGTACATGCAGCATTTGCAAAACCCCCAACTCACATAGCAGTCACACACACACACACACACACACACACAAGTACATGTATCTAATGACAGCACATGACTGTAGCAGGTGCGTGAGAATGAGCAGTATTGTGTGTAAAGTAGGACTCTTTAATCAATTATGTACATGGTATTCCATTATGCACACTGGCCATAATCATCAGATGACTTTATGAGTTAAAGCTATATATACAGTGGTACCTCTCTCTAAAATACACCCCTGAACTAACAAGGACACATTTTCTTTTCAAAGTTTAACCCCTGAAATATGGACATCCAGCTTTCTTCTGTCCCATTGGTGTCTGGATTACAGGGGTTCCGCTGTAATTAAGACACTAGGTTGACTATATAGTTTGTTTCCCAACCAACTAGTACCAGAAGCAGCTGCCGGTAGTCAGTGGGCTGGAGCAGTAAACCTTGCACAAGAGGACGTGACAAAAATTGGACCCACGTGCCATTCGTGGTCGGGTTGCCATGGCAACAGACGAGGTACAAAGAGGGTTATTTGGCAGGCAATGAGACGGGGAGAGAGGCTCCCACACTCCCAACATTAACCCTTTACCCTCTAACCAAGGGAAATATACCTGCTCTATGTATGTATGCCTGTGTATTGGAGAGGGCCAAGGATCAAATATTATGCACACCTTCTAGGGTATAAATGGTAGATTGGCAGAATAATCTCTAATTAGAGCACTCTCGTTCTTAAGCCAAGGATTCATCAAAACAACTCTATATCTCTTATCATTTGTGTGTATTCATTTTCAATTCTGCCTCTTCCAATTTCAACCTTCTATCTCTCTTATCTACGTTTTCTCTGGAAAATTCTAGTTGAATTGCTAGAAAATTTCTCTGTTCAACCTTTACTACAATTAGGTGCAACAGCTAAAATAGTCCCTCTCTTATCAGCATTTTAAGTTTCCAGTTTCCTCATTCCAGACTGTGACTGATCTTTCCCCAGTGCACTGTCCTCCCCCCTCTCTCATCCCTTCAACCTCTTCCACCTTCTCCCCCTCTCTCCCTCCTCCATCTCTCCATACCTGCTTCTGGCAGCTAGAATAGCCTTCACTCCACAGATGGGTTGCCTCTCTTCTCCCACGAGAAATGTTGTATCACAGAGCTCTGGCATGTTGGCCAGGAACTGGAGATCGTGAGCCAGGCTCTCTCTGTTCTCAAACCTGCCAGCAAGAGAGAGAGAGAGAGAGAGAGAGAGATGGGGGAGTAAATGTAGGGGTTTAAACATAGTAGTGTAGAGTATAATTATGGGATTAAGATAAATGAGACAATCTTAGGAAGGCAATATTTAGTCACATCTGTGCCAGGTCCAAGGGTGAATATAATACCCTCTGAACACAATACTGTTGACACAGGGAGCAAGTCTCCACTGCCCATGCAGACAATGTCCTCCCATGCATGGCCTGCCCCACTCCCTACCACATACTATAAACAACTATCCAAACTCCTAAATTAGGAAAGAAAAATACGCACACTACAGTGGTAGATTTCAAGTACAATATACATATATAGCAGTAGGGGGAAAGGTCAGAGTTAGAGAACCAAGAATGAGGAAACTGGAAACTTCAAATGCTGATAAGAGAGGGACTATTGTAGACTGTTGAGGTGTTCATCAGCACCTCATGTTACACATAGCTGCTGATGAGTGTCCACCATTGCCAAATAGGTGAGGGCATTTCATGTCTTTAGTGTTCTCAAATGAATATATATTGCACAGCTACTAAAACATGCAGTGGAACCCTTCTAATCTGGGCATCAAGAACATTATTGGAGGGGTGTCCTAATTTCAGGGATGACTTAGAGAGGGGTTCCACTGTATAAGGGCCTCAGGAATGAGCAAATGTGCTAACTCGATCTCTCTCTCTGCAAGCAAAGAGGACACATATACATATAAGACTGGCCTGAGGACTTTCCCAGGACAATTACTACTTCAAGTTTGCCAGAGACTGCATTAGGCACATGAGAAAGGGCAGTGTAGTGTCTTGGCCCTGCCAAGAGGTTGGAAATGATTCCAAATTCAGTTCACTCAGGGAAAAGAATAACCAAGCTCTCCAAACCACTCACAAACAGCCATTCATCAAAAAGCGAATGATTCTGTTGTTCCTATACAACATACCAAATAGTCGACCCATGTACACTGAATATCGAACACTTGTTACAAAATGTGTTTCGCCCTGAACCAAAGAAGCTACCAGTTCATTAGCACCGTGGGGAGACGGCCCTGGACTTGTGTAACCTCGTGTGTTTGCGTTGGTTCTTGCCGGCTCAAAGACAGAAACAATTGCAGAGTTGGGCCCACTGGCATGAGTGGGCCATTCACCACTGCCTAGTCTGTATGTCACTCATCATTCACACTTAATCCCCAGAGTCAAAACCAGCAATCAGGATCTAAGGCTGCAGCAACAGGCACACATGGTCTGCCAACACACAAACCGTACGTCAATCAGGGAAATCATTACCCTCCCATGTTACAGGGTGTCTCCAACACATCTTGCTAATATGGGAAACGAGAAATTCTGCGATACCTTCTCAATTTACTGCGGGAATCCGAGAAGACATGCAAGAATGAAAGCTATGCCTTACCTGATACCGTCTTTTTCTGCTCCTTCTTCCGCGTCTCCCCCGCCGTCAGTGGTCCCGTCGGAGACACGGTCGATACGCTCAGTGCTCGAGTCGTCTAGTACCGTCATCATGGGACTGACTGCAGTGTACGGGTCCGCCGAAGGTAGCAGAGGGACGGAGCGAGGCCGGGTACGGTGTGACCGAGAGGGAGGGAGAAAGAAATGCGAGTGACGCTTGAGAGAAGATTCCAGTTCGATTTGGTCCATGTTACTGAGCTCGGAGTCGCTGTAAGACATCTGCCGGCCCGTTTCGGGGTACAATAAATCCATGCTGACACCGTCACTAGCACTCTAAGGCTTTTTTACTCACTACGAGGCTCGCTTATGGACCGGGAAAAACAGCGCGGGGACTGCCGGCTTTTCTCTTTCTACTACAGCCAGCACGCTAGGCCGTCGGCGGAAACCAAACAAAAACGGACGCGAGTGTTTGCATTACTGGACTCGAGCTCAGAAACATAGAAAGCATAACTCATACGCGTATACTTTCACTTCTCACCCACCACCCACGACTCATTCTCACCGGTGGATCCTTGCGAGCACAGAGACGCCGTCCCCAGCGAATCAGAGCTCGCGTAGCGCACGATGGACATCTTCTACCTCTATAGAGCCGACCAGCTGCAGACTGACACCACGTCCAAGTGGAGAGGCGGACAAAAACATCACACTCAGCGAGCATACGCCCCCACATTACACAGAATCGCAAAAGGGGCGGAGCTATAGGAGCGCGCGCGCGGTTAATTACGAAAGTGACGTAAGCGGGTGCGCGCCGGGCGGGCCGGGCTGAATTTTAGTGACGTCACCCGCGTGCCGGTGTGCCTTTATTGGACTCCAGTGGGCAAAGAGTGAGTTTTACTCTAACACCATTGACCATTCCTAACAATTATAATGCCCACTCTACCAGTGGAGCACTATCATAAGAAGCAGAGTCTCTACATTGACGAGGAATGCAGGGAGAATGAAATCAGAATTACGTCATCAGGAAAACCTAACGACATTGCTACTAAACTCCTGCACACTTTGAAGGCAAGCTAGCCAGAAGTAATGATACAGAGCTTCTAAGGGTAATCCCCCTTAATAACAAGTTTTTAGATTGCACTTCCCTCTCTCCCCTGTGCAAATGACACTAAGGTGACCTGGCAGTCATATTACACTATAATGCATGGCTGACAGATCTATCACGCGGCACCTCTCTATTATGCAATGAGGCTGACTCCTCCTATGTAGTCAAAACTGCTCTCCAGGCACCATCTGGAGCAAGGTGAGTCATCACAGGCCCAACACCACTGCCCTTGTTTGGAACCACAGTCACTGCCACTCAGCAGCCACTGCCAGATTTCAGTTGGGACATACTGCTTTGCTTGCTTATGAGCTACCAAGCATAGAATGCTGCTTTCTTTATGATGACACTGCATAGTGTGCCCTCTACTTCCTAGCTAGCCTTGATCAAAGGAGCATTATTAACCCCTTTTAAGGAGATGGAAGGTTGAACTGCGTAGCTATTAAACCCATCAGGATCATGTTCAACACTTCAGGAGTTTTAATGGTTTAACCCCTCAGGATCATTAAAGGTTTAACCTCTCAGGAAAACCCAGAGAGGGGTGTAGTGGTGTCTGCGTCAGGGACCCATGTCACCAAGGCCATCACAGTCGCAGAGATACTAAAGAAACGACAACCTGTGAGCCAATAGCAATACCCGCGGATATAGAGAACAAAGTGAAAGTGTTTTTCTACTGCCAGGACTTGAAACAACACACAGAAATCAAATATGTCAGGTAAGCTGCTCTATCTTACTCTTTTGTTTTTCATGGAATATGGCTGGGGACTTTATATGGTATGGGCTTGCTCTCTCTCTCTCTCTCTCTCTCTCTCTCTCTCCATCTGTTGTAGGGTGGAAGATGTCTGGGACCCAGATCAACCTGAACTAGATCAGTAAGTGCAATCATTTCTTCTTCAGAGTTAAACATTTTGCTCCACTGCCTTTGTAGGCTGAAGGTTACGAGGAAGATTCCAGCAATATCTATCACTCTGGTTCAGACCAGTGGAGAGACAGGGCGTGGGGTGGTGCCAGGAGAAAAAGAACGAAAATAGTTACACACTGATTTTGTGGATTTTGTGTCACACACGTTGTGCGCATACATTGTTCGTTCACACTGCCGAATATTACGCGTTCTCTAATAAAGCGAATCCGGTATAGTGATCTCCGCGGCGAAGAAATATTGAACCGCGTTTCAATGTTCTCGCGGCCTTTGCAGAGTCTACTTCGGCAATACTCCAGACTACTCTCTCCTCCAGCGGTCTCTCCCAGTCCCCCGGCTCTCTCCCTCCCCCGTCTCCACCGAGCTCTAATGGCTACGCAAGTAGAGAAAGAGGTGCAGCTGGGACCGCTCAGAGTCGCCGTCAAAGAACAAGTCAGCTACCACGTGGTCCCCAGCGGCTACCCTATATTCTACCCCACACTAGGGTGACCTGATACGAGCCATGAAGGCGGAGGGAAGGCCGAACTTAGAGGTGCAGGCCGCTGTGTCGGAGCTGAGGAAGAGAAAGACGGCTCTGGAGAAGAAGGAGAAGGATTTGATCCCACAGGAGGCCAAGATCGACCGCGGCAAGTTGGAAGACACGCTGAAGAGGAGATACTTTTATGCTCCAGCTTTCTCTATCTACGGAGGTATGTTGTGGGATGTCTTTGTTGGGTGGTACAAAAACACTTTCTTTTGCTTTGTCTTATAAACATTCTCAATCCTCCGTTTCACTGGATTACTGCACTTCCAAGCATATAGTTTGTGAGTGTAGAGTTGGCTATTCGTCGTTGTTAGGTGTGGCTGGATTGTATGACTATGGACCTATGGGTTGCGCAATGAAGAGTAATCTTCTATCGCTATGGAGACAGCATTTTGTTCTGGAGGAGGGAATGCTGGAGATCGACAGCTGCATTCTCACTCCTGAGCCAGTCCTCAAGTGAGGGAGGGAGGGAGGGAGGGTCACTTCAGTTGGAATGCTAGTAATTTGTCGTTGCTAGGGCTTCGGGTCACACGGATCGCTTCTCAGACTTCATGGTGAAGGATGAGGCAACGGGGGAGTGTTTCCGTGCCGACCACCTCCTGGAGGATGTGATGGAGAGTCTCGTGTCAGATCCGAAATGTCCTCCTGAGAAGAAGGAAGAGTACCAACTCATCAGGGCTAAGGTGTACACTCTACTGTAGTACCATGATGGAGTGTAGAGAATTTTTAACGATTCATATTTTATGAAATCCTATGTGTTTGAAGGGTTAAATTTTAGCGTTTCAACAGAAATTTAACCCTGACAAAAAAATTTTCTTTTTCTTCACAGGCAGACAGCTACAGCCAGGAGGAACTGGCAGGCTTGTTCACGAGGTTCTCTATCAAGTCTCCTGTCACTGGCAACTCTCTCTCTCCTCCCATGGACTTCAACCTCATGTTCAAGACCTCCATCGGGCCGGGCGGAGCCCTCACAGGGTCTGGCTCCTCCCACTACTATGAATATCGTTAACAAACCACAACCGTTCCGGTCACTCCAGGTTTCTGAGGCCGGAGACGGCTCAGGGAATATTTGTCAATTTCAAACGACTTTTGGAGTTCAACAACGGGAAACTGCCGTTTGCAGCTGCTCAGATAGGTGAGCTCTGTTCCGATTACCTCTAGTGGTCCCCATTCCGTGTCTGATGGTCCGTGTTCCAAACCAGGGAAGGCGTTTCGGAATGAGATATCGCCGCGATCTGGACTGCTGCGAGTGAGGGAGTTTGAAATGGCCGAAATCGAGCATTTTGTCCACCCGGAGAAGAGAAACAAGTTTGAGAAATTCTCCAATGTTGCCGACCTCAGCATTTCTCTTTTCTCTGCCTGCAATCAAATGGATGGGAAATCAGCCGAAAGTCTGACCCTGGGAGATGCCGTCAGGAGTGTGAGTCATGTGACTGTCACATGAGCTCAACTGATTGTCGTGTGAGCGTGTGACAGTCACCTGATTATCATGTGGCAGTACAAAGACCTCTCTGTTTATTAACATATGATCATGTGACAGTCACATGATCTCACCTGATTATCAAGTGATTATCACAGGGGTTGGTGGCAAACGAGACTCTCGGCTACTTCGTAGGTCGTATACACCTGTTCCTGACTAGAATCGGAGTTGACCCAGGGAAGCTGCGGTTTCGTCAGCACATGAGCAACGAGATGGCCCACTATGCCAGCGACTGCTGGGACGCCGAATGCCTTACCTCTTACGTGAGTGACTAAAATACACACTGGACGAGATTGTGAAAGAATAGATCCTGAAGGCGTTGAGAATAGATATAGTTGTAAGATTGAGAACGTTTTACTTCTTACAGTAAATACTGGGAGAAAATCTTCATCGTTAAATTGTGAATTTTCCTAAGTTCTGAAAGCTTGCCGAATATTCTCCCAACATTTTAGCCTCAGCAATAGCTCTAAGAATTATTCCGTCTCTCTCTCTCCTTCCCCAGGGGTGGGTGGAGTGTGTTGGGTGTGCAGACCGGTCCTGCTACGACCTGACGTGCCACGTCACTGCTGCTAAAGTCGACATGTCCGCCAAAGAACAGCTCTCGGAGCCCGTATCCCCCGGCAACCACCCTCACACACACACACATGCAACGTTGACCTTATATATAGCAGAAAGCTTGTGCATTAAGCATTAATGAATCTCAAAGTTCTCTCATGAAATTCGTGGAGTTTCGATTCCTGCTGTAAAATATTATCTCAATTGGTCCCCTGTTGAAACTTTCGTGGTCCTCTCCTTAATTAACCCATTCCCCACCAGCTGACGGTAGACGTCGTCGAGGTCGCCCCCGAGAAAGGGGTTATCGGGAAACAGTTCAGAAAAGAAGCCAAAGTCATAATGGACGCCCTCGCTGCACTCTCCAGTAGCCAAGCCGAAGCTGCAGAGAAAGAGGCAACCGAGAAGGGGTAGGCCATGATGTAATGATGATGTAATTGGTAAAACAATTTCTATGATGTCATACATTAGGAGCTATGAGCTGGAGGTGGGAGATAAGAAGTACACCCTACAACGCAACATGTTCAAAATCAAGCGGTACCAAAAGACTGTTCACGGTAAACAGTGATGTAATGATGACATCGTAGAATGATGATGTAATCTCTCTAGTTGTCGATGTCATTCCGTCTGTGATAGAGCCGTCGTTTGGGGTCGGGCGTATCTTGTACACCGTTCTAGAGCATTCCTTCGGAGTGAGAGAGGGAGATGAGCAGAGGGCGTGGCTGGCCCTGCCCCCCTGTGTGGCACCGGTGTCTTGCTCCGTCCTTCCTCTCAGTAGCAACGAACAGTTCTCTCCTTTCGTACAGCAAATTGGTCAGTCACTCCGCTGTACCTGTTACGTAGCATCTACAGCAGTGATAAAATGCTGATCCTTGAACTTATATTTTGTAGGACTTTTTATAATTTGTGTTTCTTTTGAGCAGCTGCTTCTCTTCCCCCTTTGCCTCTCTCTCCTCCCTCTGTCTCCTCCCTCACTCCCTCCCTCTCTCTCCTCCCTCTTTTCCTTGAGGCTTTGCAATAATTCCTGGTTTCTCCCTCCCTCCCTACGTGTGTAGCCAGCAGTCTCAAGTCTCGCGGCATCTCCCACAAAATAGACGACAGCGGAGGCTCCATCGGGCGGCGATATGCCCGAACAGATGAGATCGGGATACCTTTCGGAGTGACGGTGGATTTCGACTCTCTCCAGAGCAAGACGGCCACTCTGAGAGAGAGGGACAGCATGAGGCAAATCAGAGCTTCTGTAAGTGTGTGAAAAATTCTGCGAAGGGCTGAAGGTTGCGTGTGTTAATACAGCTGGAGGAGCTGCCGGGCATTGTGTCGTCTCTGATCAGTGGACAGCTGTCGTGGGCTGAGGTGGAGGGAAAATGGCCGACTTTCACAGGGCCAGAGAGCACCCAATAACAAACCACACCCCCATCATCTCCAGCAAACCAATCAAACTTCTCAAAAAAATCTCAAAATCTATCTCAGACTATGTGAATTAATTGACGTCATATTTTGTGTAATAAAGACTTTGAAATCAGATCACATGATACAAAAAAGGAGAGTTTTGATGTTTTGAACGTTGCTTCGCTCAGTTCACACATACATGTACATATATACACTACACAAACACACAGAATGGGGTGATGATGTCATTGTGATGTCATCATTCACGGAGTTCCCTCAGCTCCGGGAGGAGGGTGGAGAACGTGGGACGGAGGTTAGGGTCGCTATGCCAACACGACTTGGCAATCTTCTGATAGGCCTGTAGTCAGAAAGACACACTTTGACTTGTGTGAGAATAAAAACTTTACAGTGGAACGCTCTCCAAGGACACCCTTTCTTTCGCAAGAGGACATACAGTTTTTGCTTAACCCCTAGAATAAGGACACCTCACTGATAATAATAGACAGTTTCTTCTGTCCCGTGGTGTCGGTATTACAGGAGTTCCACTGTACAGCGTTAGAAAAAGATGGAGAAAAAGAGGAAGGAGAGAGGGAAGGAGAGAGACTGACGTGATCGTGGTGAGGGGAAAACTCAGGTCTCTGTCCGAGGAGCAGTCTCACCACCAGGAGCACAGGTGACAGCTGCTTCTTGTCCTCCTCAAAAGGAGCCTTCCCCATGGCAACCTCCCACATCACCATCCCTGCGTGGAAAGAAACATTCCTATCGTGATGTACAGCTAGGGGGTTTGATAACAGTTTGGCTATAGCTGGAGTAGTGGAACCTCTGAGATGAGGAACCCTCTGAGATGGGGACGACCTCTCTACAAAGGACACTTGTTTCAACCCCATGCTAATACTTTAGTGACCTCCGAGATAGGGACGACCTCTCTACAACCACTAACCAAAAGAGTAGACATCGGCAGCGGCGGTGAACTGATCTTTCTCCATGGCCTCTGGGGCCATGTACACCTGCGGCTCCGTACTCTGCGCTCGCAGCTTCGAGTAGAAGTTGCACACCTTTTTTAGCTCAAAGAACCCCTGCAGAGACACATGGTGTGAAATTGAAACTTGAGATGAAATGATAAACTTACAAAATCGGAGATCTTGGCGTTGAAGTGCTCTCCAACCTAACGCCAAGAGAGAGAGTTGAAACAAAAATGAAAGCTATAGGTGATGTTAATTTGTGGGTGTGGCCTACGAGTATGTTGCGCGGCAACAGGTTCCTATGGAGTATATTGTGGGAGTGGATGAAGGCCATTCCACTGCAGACGTCCCTGACGATCCGCAGTCTCTGTCCCCATTCCATGTGAGGCTTGTCCACGTGCAGAAGCAAATGGAGACAGCCCCTCATCATCGTCTCGCAAATTAGTGCACACACACTCTCGCCGTGACTGATCTTGGCTCCTAGCAACTGGACCACGTACGGACACTGCAGCTGGCTGTCGAGAAATAAGGATGACATCACTATGACATCATGGTAAAACTCTTAGTCAATATTGGACTTTTAAGTATACAGATTTTCTTTTCATGCCTGCTTCTAACTGTTGTGCTGGTATTCTTTTCTCCATTACATCATAATGACATCGTCATGCTGGTACCTGATCTTGACGGCTTCTTCCTGAAAGAGGGAGTAAAGGTCTGGACCCCAGCCCTCCACGCACAGAACCTTCTTGACGATGACTGGGATATCGCGGTATGTTCCGTGATAGACGTTGAAAAATCTCATCGCACTCGTGTTCAACTGCCGTCCCGTGATCTAAAGATATAATTATTTGTTAGAGGACTGATCGTCATATATAGCGATGGTGGAACTTTGTTTACAAGCCTATTACATCATCATTACCTCGTATTCAGATGAGCTGGAGATAAGCCAGGAGGGGTTCGTGTGGCCACACCCCCCAGTAGACTCGCCCGTTGTCCCTCCGCAGGTGTCCCTGCTGTGCAGCTCAGCCATCAGGGAGCGATTCCTACACATTAGCAGCTCCTTGTCCACACAGAGCTGCCTCATCTGGGGGGGGGGCATTTAGGATCAGTTTAAACAACATCTGATCACAACATTGTGTAAACCATCTCATATATACACTATTGGAACCTTTGAACAAGGGACACTATGGGACCAATGATTTTTTGTAGAGAGGTCGTCCCTATCTCGGAGGTCAAATAATACGTATTAACATGGGGTTAAAACAGGTGTCCTTTGTGGAGAGATGGTTCCTATCTCGGAGGGTCCCTTACGTACCTCCTCCTCCACTTCTGCGAGCCTCTGACGATACGACTCGATCAACTTCAGTAGCTCGCTGAACTTCTCCATGACACGTTTATTCTTCCAGTCCTCGGGGCCGACTCCCCGCTCCAACATGTCACTCTCGTCCCCGTCCCCGTTCCGCCGTTCGCCGATGTCAAAACTCTCTTTACTGCTGGTGCGTCTGTTGCACATCTTGTCTCCTCTCATACTCCCGTTCTCCCGTTCCTCCGTTCTCCCATTCGCCCACTCCCCGGTTCCAGTGTCGTTGTCCGGTGTCGTTGGTTGCCCGGGGGAACATGGCGGACTTTGAGGAGTCTCAGTTTCTTCTCCCTCTTCAGCAGTCTCACAACTGGTAGAAAAACACCATTCACAGATAAGGTTACACTACTCTAATAAAAGCACTTCATTTCATTTAGGGAACGGAATAGTTTTTTAAAGGAAACAACAATCATTTTCCTAGTTCTGTTTCAATGCACTTATATATAGTATGTTCTCCGTCTATTTATACCTGGAAGGATTGCTAGCTGTGGAGTGATTCTGATTGGTCAGTTCTGTTGGCAGGGAATGATTCTGATTGGTCAGTTGTTCTTGATGCAGGGAATGATTCTGATTGGTCAGTTCTGATGGTGGGAGGGAATGATTCTGATTGGTCAGTTCCGACGGTGGGAGGGTACAGGAGGTGACAGGGTCAGCTGCTGAAGATGCCGCCACTTGGTTCCTCCTCACAGAGTGAGCCACTGAGGGAGAAGGCAAATGTGGGAGCAAGAGAAGCAAAAACCAACACATTCTCTACTGAATACAAGACGAAGTGATGTTACATTTGGACACAGTCCAATCCTCAATACACACCAGTATCGAGATATTTGGTTTCGATTTGCGAGTTAATTAAGAGTGTGATGAGAGGGGCTTACACAGCATGGCCTGTTTCAGTTCGGCTGTCTCTGCCAGATCGAGAGGAGTGTCTCCATCACTGTCCTCCTGACGGATGTCTCCTCCATGCCTCACCAGTAACATACACACCGTCTTGTTCCCTCTGAGGAGGGGAGGCAGGAGATGCTGTTCTCACCACTTCACTCTTCACTCCATTGCCCACGGTCTAATTTTACACTTCAGCTCATGTACATAACAAAATCATACCTATACCTAATTGAGCTACAGGTGAAAAAGTTTGTGAAATTTGTTTTTCTGCAAACATTTGACATTTGAACCAAATGCGAACGTTGAATTTTCTCTCTTTTAAAAGTTTCCTGCTACATGGTAACTATGGTAACTGTATAATATACTTGTGAGCGGCGATGTGAAGAGGAGAGAGGGCCTGGGAGGATCCAGTGAGGTTAGAGTCTGCTCCGGCCTCCAGCAGCACCTGACAGAGACAAGAGTTGTCCTCCTGCGATGCCAGGTATAGGGCCGAGAACCCTGCACTCTGCATGGAGGAGAATGGAGTATGGAGTATGGGGTATGGAGTTGTGGAGTATGGGGAATAGGGATTGGAGTATGGAGTTATGAGTATGGGGTAAGGGGACTGCATCGAATATGTAGGAACTGAAGTATGGGATTCATTATGCTGAGTTAGAACAGGGAATAGTCATATACAGAGTAAGAGTACAACGGAACGAAAATACACATGGGGAATGGACACGTGGAGTATAGGGTGTGGGAGAATGGGAACGGGACCGACCTGAGTGAGATTGGGGTTAGCCCCTCTCTGAACGAGGTATTTGGCAATGGCAGAAGATCCCGACTTTGCAGCAAACATGAGTGGAGTCCAACCATCGCCATCCGGGACGTTGATATCGGGACACAGCTCCACCAGGTACAGCAATGCCTGGTGAATGACAGACGTCCAATCCGTGGATTGTGCAGTTGAGATATGACCTACCTCGATATTGAGGTCAGAAATGCAAGCTCTGTGAATGGGCAGTTCTCCCTTGTGGTTCGGGAGGCCTGCGTCGGCCTTGAACTGCAGCAGTAACTTCACCCGGTCCACAAACTTGCACCTACGATGTACAGACATCACCAGTACATGAACTGGCTGGATTTGTGGCAACACCAGCGGTAACAGCTGCCAGGAAACGGTTTAAATAGTGAGTATGTTTTAGCAATTCCAGAAGAAAGCTAAATGATGATGTCATGTAAACACCAGCCAAAACATAGAACCATGGAGTGGGGGACGTTAGAGACTAACCCTGCTGATGTGCATGTGAGATTAACCCCAAGCCTACTACTGACTTGCAGGCGGTGTTTAGAGGCGTCTCTCCGCTCGTGTTCTGAGCATCCTTCAGCTGGAAGAGTGGGGTGGTGAGGAGGTACTCTAGTGTCTTCTCGTGTTGTCCCTGAGGAACGGCCTTCATGCAGGCGAAATGGAGGGCGGTGTCTCCGTCTTTGTCAGTGTGCCGCCAATCAGCTCCGCGGGACATGAGGTACATCACCACCTGGAGCTGAAGGGGTTAACATATAAATTGGGCTCACGTGGAAATTTAACGAAAGGAAGAGGAGTAAATGAACAAAAAGAGAGCTAACTTACCTGTCCGCAATAAGCAGCCAAATGAAGTAGCGAAGACCCACTCTGCTTGCAGTGGTGGTTGATACACACACCAGACTGATGGAGTACCTGCAATAGGGACACCGATAGGGACAGTGAAATGAAAACCATGGCATCCTAAACCTCACATATACCTGGAGAGCAGGCACATTTCCACTGCAACATGCAGTCACTGCCTTCTCTTGGGCCGACATGCAGGGAGTGACAGAGGTCGTGGGGGGAAGACAGAGCGACGGATTTGCCTTCACCGCTGCCTCTGTGTGGTGGAGGGAGTCGAGGGAGGGAAGGAGAGAGAGAGGGATACTGTTCACTCGGTGTTCTCAGATAATAATGTGATAGCCCAAGAGAGTAGGAACATCAACAGGTTCACCGCTACATGGCTTAAAACTTGGCGATTTAAAAAATGCTGTGGAAACAAGTTATGGTGACTGAAAACCCCAAGTGAATAAAAAAAAAATATCAGAAGAGACTGTGTGTAAATCTCACTCATCATCTTTGAGGCGAGTGTTGGAGCAGCCATTGACAGCGGAGTCCGTCCCTCTTTGTCTCTCAGGAGGATGTCTGCCCCGTGAGCTATGAGGAGTAGCGCCACGCCCTCCCTCTCCTTGTGAGCCGCCCAGTGGAGAGGGGCAATGTGCTGCTGACCTCCCTGGAAGTTGACCGCCGCCTGGTTCTTCAGTAGTCCCCTCACCAGCTCCAGGTGCCCGCCTCTTGCAGCCAGGAACAACGGTACTATCCCTACATAGATGAGGGAGTCAGTAATCAAAACAAAAAATACATTTTCAATCTCGAATTTTGCTGGTTTTATGAAATCGTGAAAGCTTTGGAGTGCACCATGCACGCACACTCCGTCAACCGTAATTTTTTTCAGGAAAAGCTACTGTTGCTGAGTTTTTGTCACAGAAGCTGTTAGTTGATTTTTCAAACTTTGGAGTAAACTTGCCATCGTTGTTGGGGATGTTGGGGTCAGCTCCGTACTCCAGTAGTACTAGGGCAGACTCCAAAAGACCTCGCTCGGCAGCTAGATACAGCGGTCTCCCCCTCTTTGTTCCCCGCGTCGATCTTCCTGGATTTCGTTGCCAACATCTTGAGGATGTCGGGATTACCAACGGCATTGTGGAGAGCCGTGAACTCTTCCTTGTCCGGAATGTCAGGGTCTGCCTCGTTGTCGACCAGTATTTCAACACACTTCTCCAGACCTCTCCTAGCTGCCAGCTTCAGAGCCGTCCAGCCGGATAAGTTCCGATGGTTCAACGACATGCAATTATTGAGGGGCTCGTCCGTCGAGAGGAAAAACCGGAGAATTTTCGATCGCTCCTCGTCTTGTGTGTCGCCTTGGGAACAGACTGCGGAGTGGAGGAGGGTGGAGTTGTCGCCGTGGAGAATGGTAGGCCGCGCCCCCTTCTCCCATAGCAACTTGACAATGTCGTAGCAACCAAACTTTGTGAAGCTGTGCAGAATGGAGGATCCTGTACGAGAGAGGGAGGGAGGGAGGGAGGGAGGGAGGAGAGAGAGAGGAGAGAGGCTGGAATTGAAAAGTGCCCTGTTGTATAAGTACTGCCATAGAAATGCTGCGTGTATGGCGGTATGTGTGTACAGGGCCTGAAACATCAGCTGTCCAATGCAATACATGTATATTTACCATCTGGCTTTGACTCCACGAGATTAGCACGAGGGTCTGCCAGCATCTTCAAGACGATGTCCGTCGCATCTTCGCATTGTTTGAATAAACGTGACACTGTGCCTGCAGAGATAGAGGGATGAGGGGGAGGGAGGGAGGCAAGGGGAATGAAGGAAATGCACTCACTTATCACCACAGGGAATCACTAAAGGCATCACACACCCCACCAAATAGAGTAAACAAAAGACAAATTCTGGGCAGCTGTAGAGTGCAACAAGCCTGAGGTAAGAATTCTCCCATTAGCTGCAAACTTAGCAGTTGAAGGCAATCTGGACACTTTCTCTGTTCCTCTTATTACACTTGCGCAAGGTATACACGGGGCTACATCAGCTGGTCCAAACACACCATCAACGACTAGCTATACACGCAGCAATACCTATGTCCATGAGATCTTCTGCACGAATAGACGATCCATCGCCGGCCTCTCCATTCGCAGCGTCGCACATCTCGTCAGCCGTCGAGAGCTTTCGAAGGAGGGAAAAAGATGAACACAACTGATGTACTCCTACGCTCGGCGCACACACGCAAAACGGCGTCGAATACGGAGATCTGCTCTCTTTAGTGGCTGCAGAACGGTCCGATTATTGTGCAAAACTGCAGGAGAAGTAGACGGTGCCAGCGTTTCACTCACCGGAGTTATACAACGCAGCAGTAGGGTGGCCACGCCCCTTAAGATTTTCGGCACTAACCACGCCCCCACTGACCCCACGCATGCGCATACGCATTCTTCCAAATGCATGCATGAGGGGGATGCCTGTTTGGTTGAAGAACTTGCAGTCTAGCGTTCGTTTCGGCGAACATCTGCTTCGACTGCAGACAAACTTCATTCTGGGTCTAGCGGGAGCTGGTCGCTATGACGTCAGTGTCGTCTGCGTAGAATCCGAGAGTATACGGAATCTGAACCGCGTGTACCGGAACGTGGACCGGGCAACTGACGTTCTCGCATTCCCGTACCATGAGGTATGGGAATGAACCCAGCGGAGATGCACGTTAGGCCAGGGTGTCCGGTTTTTTCAGGACACGGAACCTGGTGCCCTGCCGCCTGTACAGGAAGAAAGGGAGGAAGATTACAATTTGGGCGATGTGATTCTGGGGATTTCGGTGATAAGGGAGGAGTGTGAGAGGGAGGGGGTGAAGCTAGGGCACAGACTGCCAGTCATCTTTACTCATGGTCTCTGTCATCTACTGGGCTACCGTCACTCCACACCGTCCCTTACCGAGCAGGTTAGCTCCCTCTCTCTTGTTTCAAACTCTTGTCTTTTCTCATTTCAATCTCTGCCCTATCTTACTTCAACTTTCTTCTTTACCTATGTCGCTTTTTACCCTATCGGAAGAATGGTCTTCATGAATAATTTAGTTACACATGGTATATATTATATATAGTTTGGTCACATGATTTTTTGTCTGGATCACATGACCTCTACCTATATACAGATGTACAGAAGAGAGAAGGCCCTACTGACTGCATTCAATAACTCATTTGGCACACATGTCGCTCCTCTAACTTCAGAAACAAATTACTGATTATCGTCAGAACATTAACGACACACTTTACAATTGCACACAGAGTAGTGAACAGAAGTAATATAGAACATTGTTGCATAATAATAATCATCTCTCCATATAATAAAAATGAAACATAAATCTGTTTTCAAATGTGCACGTTTTGTTTCTTGGGGATGTGCATCAAAAAACTGGGGAAGGTGGGGTGGGGTGGGGTGTGCCGAGTCAGCAGAAATTCAGTCAGAAATCGATGTAAGCATCGCCCATGGACACCCCCGATCGTGGGGGGATGGGTGGACAAACGTTCCTCTGAGGGCTCGCCCCTCCATTAGCGGCGTCTTCAGGGAGATGATCGTAGCTGCTCTGTGAAGTTTTTCGCGAGGGTGGATCCAGATGATCGTAGCTGGAGCGGAACAGGTGGGGGCTCCTCTTCCCCTTGGAGTACGGGGATGAGGAGGGGGAGGGGGAGGAGTGGAAGGAATTTGCCACCACGCGACCGTCCTGGTCCAAGACCAGATCAGCCGAGGTCCCGATCCCAGAATCCTTACTCGGGAAGAACTTCTCTTGACTGGAGCTAGTCGAACCACCGGAGCCAACTCTGTCAATTTTCAGGTCCGCGAGCGAGAGTTTCCCTCTCCTCGGAATACTGGCATCCGACGGACACTTGTTCTTCCAGTTGGAGAGTTTGGGAGCTCCGTCCGACATTGCAAGGTACCCGCCGTCTGACCTTCGACCTTGCTCGAAAGCGGTGAGCGTTTTCCTGGTATAATCAGCGGTAGGGTCACTAGTGGACCCGGGGACGTTGCCTTCCATGTGGTGTCTCCTTACCATGTCCTGGAGAGAGGTCCCCGCGGTGTTCGGGGAGGTGGAGCGAGCAGGCGAAGGGGAGCGAATGGGCGAGTGACGTGGAGAAAGATTGGGAGATTTAGTCCCGAGTAAGCTCTGAACCGTGTTTCGTCTCCCGTTGGCCGGGTTTAGTAGAAATTGTGCCGTGGATGGTTCTGAGAGTCTTCGCTTGAGTCCTGAGGAGCCGACTATCTTTGTAGCTTCGAGGTTTACCAGCCCTGCATGCAGAACCCTCTCCCTGCCAAGACGAGGGTATGGTGGACAGCCGTAGTGACCGCGACTGATGTAAGTTGACTCTGGGTGTCGGTCGTCCTCCATGATCAGGAATCTCCCTGTTTCCTTCTCGATCTTTGTCTTGAGGTCTCCTGCGATGAGCATGGCTCGGTCCATCCCAGACGCAACCACAAAGAAGGCGAATTCCTGTTCGTCATCTTTGCAGGAGCAAATCTCGAACCAAATGACATCGTAGCTCTCCATGACAACCTGAGACGTGGGGAACAGCACGTAAGCTCAGCCTTCTGAAACAGGTCCAGGGGCGCTGCGAAGAAAAGCACGCAAAACTTGCAGATGCTAAGTGTGTTTGCAAACTTGTGCAACCAAACTCATGCAAGAATTCAGCATGAGGCGAGTAGTTTTATGGTCTCTGAACTCTTTGCTGCCACAAAAGGTGGATCACCCAATCCCCTGTGCATCTGCCAAAAGACCATACGTACCTGGTATCCAAATCTGCGGATCTTAGAGTATGGGATTTCGAGAATAGAGGTACTGGAGGTGGGGGGGATGATGGAGACACCGGATTCAGATCGGCCCAGTTGGAGGAGACCTTCGTTGTAGGACGCCAGGGGCTGGTTGGGGACTGACACGTGGTAGTTATGTCCTATGAGAGAGAAAGAGATAATATTACGTTTAGAGCGGGGAGTATACATCTTATTGCAAGAGTCAACAGCAAACAGACCATGTGGGCACGAAATGGTTTCAATACCCCTTCCAGCATTCCACCAACGAACGATGTAATACACATCTCTCTATACTCGCCCCTGTCATGTCTACTCGTCTTCCGGAACAGCCCCACAACTCACTAGAGAGTTATGATAATGAGCTATTGTTCCTGATTGTGGTGATTGTAGAGTCTCCTTTGCCGCAGCCCTGGACAGCTGCCGCGCAAACAGACTACAATAGGACCACCCACTTTAGTAGATACATTAGACCTGCATATGACGTCTCTTTTTAGTGATGGTAATTCGGGAGTTGACTCAGGCACAGACAGTGAACAAAACCTTAGCTACTATGTAATATAGCTAACTACTGCCAACGGTGATTGCCAAGTTGTGTGTTATTGATATGTGGACCCTCTATGCCTACAGAGAAACCAGAGGAGGTAGTGGTAGGAGGAAGTGTGTCGATCCGGTGACATATATAGGCCACATCTAAAACAGTGGGTGCCAAGTCATACAGTACATTCCTGGTCAGCGAGGTTGCCAAGAGTTACTAGAAGTTGGCACCACAAGTGTCACTGCTGCTATTTATACCTGGAACAGAGTCTGTAAAAACCTTCAGAGATATAATTGGAATTCCTAATTACAGTGGAACCCCTGAATACCACTGGAATTGGATATATAGTGTTTCCTTATTAGTCAGGCATTCTACTTTCAGGGGTAAAGGAACTTCACTTGGCTTTCAGGATGTCCTTAGAGAGATATTTCAAAGGAAATGTTCAGTATATGTTTATTCAGGGCCGACATACTCGTCGCATGCCTGGATCCTTACTTTCCTCCCCGGCCTATCCCCCATGCACCCATACACACCAACACTGACCAGATTCACCAAATTCCTGAAGTCCCACCAAATTCCTGAAGACCCAGAGATGGATATTCGATCACTATATTCCTGCACCTGTGCAACATCCTTATTAGGATCCCGTTGCAGGTGCTAGTAACTGCAAGGTTTCCCCTAGAGCATGTAGGAGCGTTGGCACACGGCCCACTCGGCTAGAAACCACAACCGCTTGACACATGCAGCACACACACAGGAAATGAAGTAGAACTTGAAACCTACTCCAGTTTTAAACCAGCCCCCACACCAGTCTTACTGACCACTCCTAACATTCACAAGCCGAGTCAGCCACTACACTCTCAATGGGCTACTACTCTACTACCACCGACAAAGACATTTACTACAGTATTCATAACAAGAAGAGGAACATTGATAATACTAGAAACCACAAACTTACCATGACCGGCAAACTCGTAGAGTTTAGCAATCCAGATGTCCTTGGTTTTGGCGTCATCTGCCTTGAGCATTATCTTCTTGTCTTTTATTTCGATGGAGAAAATGTGGCCTTTGGCTTTGGAGGGTGAGGGATGTATGCGCGTGATGTTGGGCATGTCGATTGTGCCTCGTTTCTCTGCGAGGTTCGAGTCAGTGAAGTATGTCAGCTGCACGGATCGTGGGTCAAATGGATCTTTCTGTGAGAGAATGAACCATCGTTTCTTCCAAGTCTGCACAAACAAGAAGAGAGGGAGGGAGGGGAGATGGAAGAAAAGAGAAATAGAAGGGAGGAAGAGAGAGGGGAAGAAGGAAAAGACGATAAGTCATGTTTTGATTGATATAAAGGGTCAAAGTCTGTCAGAAAGGGCCAGAGGATGGAGGAAGGTGGAGGTGAGGGTGGAGTGGGGAATGCCAGAGAGGATATGCTCTCTCTCCAACCCACACATCCTGTAGACACCTCTGCTAGTGGAAATACCCATTACATCATGCCGCCCACCACCCTGCTAAAGAATGGTGTCAGGCAATAGTAGGAGTCTCTGTAGAGCAAGCTCAGTGAAAAGCAGGTTGGTCTGAGGTTTGGCAGAAGGCCTGGCGCAACGACCATGCTTGCTGAACAGGGCAAGACAAAAAGACTAAGACAGCCAGCAAACACTAACAATTTTCACCAGCAAAGTTCTGTTGGGAATTTGCAAAAGATGAAGCAAGTCGGTAGAATCTTACCGAGCTAATGCAGGCCTAAGAGAGCCCCCTGCAACAAACAACTAACTATGGGTTCTGCTAGCTTAGAAGACGACATCACATGTCTTGTTCCTTGGCTACTAATGTACTGGACATGGGGAAAGGTGGGCGGTTTGCTGTAACCAGGGAGTAGATCGTAGCTAACGTACGACGTGCGCGAACCGCTTCAGATATAATTATCTTGGGATCATGGACATAAGATGTGGCATACGCTATTATAAGTTCTCTAGAGATCTAAAACGCTAACGCGTCGCTAGCTCGCGTCGCTAGTCTGCACGCATGCAACAAGGGTCGCCGCGTACACACATTTCATTTCTGCAGAGATCTTGTGAATATAATGCCCCGAGAACGTACCACGATCAGCTTATCCAGAGGTGGCGTCTTTTGCAGGTAGCCTTGGAATATCACACACCCTGCCATGATCTTTAGTCTGCAGGCAAAATCGTTCCCGGTCGATAACTTGACGATAATCGTGGTTTGCGGGCATTTATAATGAACCATTCTGCGCGTGCGCAGCCGCTTGCGTGTACGTGCGCGCGCGCGAGCACGCATAATACCCGGAAATTACACTTCTGTTGGATTCATCCGCTATCAAATTTACACACGTCAGGACAATACATCAGGACAATACATCAGAAGAACCACTGTCCAAAGAGTAACAGTTGCATGAACAGCCAGTAACAGGACATTCCTTGTGACAACTGCAGTGATGTAACGATGAGGTAATACGGTTGGGGAATCACCCACGGCAACGGGCTCACCTGAACCACTGTGCGATGTGGTTGGCGTGGCCACCATGGCGACAAGACTGACACCACGTGAACCAAAGACCGAAGGAGTCCGCTACCTGCAGACCGCCACCTACAAACAGTGTGGTAAAATAATTCACTTGAGAAACCATCCAAAGTTTGTGTCGCGTGATTTGAAACCAATCCATGACATTATTATTTCTCTGTGAAATTGTGTGGTAATGTGAGGAGAGTTCTGTGGAAATTGTATTCCAGAAAAAGTAAGCGAGGAGAGTTCTATTGCTATATACTAAGTTTTCTCTCTCGGATATAAATACTGCAACTATGTTGAAACTCAATCCAGCAACCAACAAAATGTTCCAGAGGTTCCTAGGTGAATGCTACAGCTATCGCAGTTGCTAGGGGGCAAATTGTTGCACAGCAACAATGAGAGGGTCTTCACACAAAGCTACACAAAGCTACACAAAGCTACACAAAGCTACACAAAGCTGCAAAAACAGCACTTAAACAGTTCCAAATGTTACAAATGACACAATTCTGAGTTTTGTGAAATTCTATGAGCTTCTTAGACAAGCAGCCTATTTTAATTTCCCACCAATATCCACGGGTTATGAACATGCTCGACCTTACGTTGAACCCAGTGAACGATGCTGAGGAATATACAGCAAAGGCCTGACAAACACTACACCGTGAGTGTGACTCCTTCAGAAAACCATTCATCCTGATTCAGTCAGAATGAATGGAGTGGAAGTAATCAGAAACCCAATCAGCAACTCCCAGGAAATAAGCTGGATTATGCTTACTACCTGCCTTATATGGCAAACAACAGGGTGCATGACTACAAAGGACTGGTCACTGCCTTAAGACTAGCTGTAGCCCACACAACTTGTAAATGTGTGGGCTACAGCATTAATGTAAACACTTGAAGGCCCTGAAATTATTATTACGATTTGACAGTGTACTCCACTTTGCCTAAAAATTATTTACAAAATGATCTGTCACTGTGTGCATTGTACCTCTGTCTCCTGGTTGGCGCGTTCCCGTGGCAACCATGTGGAGGAGACAGAGGGAACACCGGGGGAGTGGCTTACGGCAGTTCGGACAACTAGTTGACTGAGGAGTGAGGTAGAGAAAGAAGATGGGATTGCAAGATTATGAAGCAAAAACCTTACCTTCCTGGAAGATGCCAGATGAATCCCTCTTCTATCTGCATAGAATAAGTCACATGACATCACGTGATAATCACGTGACTAAGCATGCCACGCCCACCTTGTCTGAGTGAGTCTCCACTGATGGCCTTGCTGCAGAAGTGGCAGATCACTGAGGCTTGTCGCGGAGGTTTGAACAGAGGATCTCGTCCTTTTCTCTCCCCATCAAACACCGCTCTAGGGAGGGAGGGGACATAATTCAGCCTTAAAGGGGTTAATTGCTGCCAAGTGAAGCCAGCAAACTGCTGGTAATTCCCAGAAGTGTGGTGTTTACAAATGCCACTACTGATCACCACCCACTGCATGCTGCATGCTCATGTCAGCATTGTACATTCCACCAGCCTTACTCCAGGCAACACACAGACATGCATACAGTGCATGCAACAACAGATACACAACACAAACATACACACACACACACACACACACACACACACACAGAACAACATAATTTTCGACGGCATCAGTGTTACATTTCATGACGGCAAAAGAACAAATACTTTTCCCAAACGAAAATACACAATTCGTGTTCTAGCAGCCGGACTGGCACACAAAACGATCCACTTCAGAAAGAGAAAGAAGAACACAACACTCAAGTTGATACCTTGCAACGTAGTGTCCCTACCGGCGATCAGAGAGTGAAAGATGATGTATGCACTATCACAACAGAGGTGAATCATTCAAAAATGGCGGGGGAACAGAATGACGTTGGTTGGCACGGCAGCTGCAAACCCCGTGGAAAGCCTCAGGAGACGGAAAGCCTCAGGAGACGTGAACCTTGCTCTAATTATCATGCCGGGACACATACTTGCCTCGCGACATTCAGTAAACACCCTTGGCATGTGTTACATAGCGAAAACCCTCTCTAAGGACAACCCAGTTATACCACTGGACAGGCTATATATGTACATACGTACATACAACAGTTGTCAGTTGGGGAAGCCTGACCTTAGGTTCATACCACACATGTACATCCTGAAATAGTGGCAATTAGACTAAATAGTGATTCATCTCCAGTTACTGCCAGCTACTATATTGAGCAACAATGACACCACCTGGCACCTCCTGTAGTTATTGAAATGTGCCCACCTTTCTTTCCATAGTTGCCATCTGTCCAGCAGTCCTCTATACCTGTGGTATGGGGAATGGGGGAATGGGGGAATGGGGATATGACGGAATGGAAGACCTACCCTTGGAACCAGCCCTGGACCATTCTCTCCTTCCCCACCACAGACATTACCTGCCCAGCTATCAGACACGCCGTCTGTACGTCCCCCGTCTAATAGAGATTACATTATCATTACATCATCGGGGGATGACGTCACCAATACATCACCTGGTTGACATAGTTCTTGAGGAGAGAGAGACCGTCAGAGGGTGGCTCCGAGAGGCCAGTGAGTATGAGCCCGGAGATGTCTCCTGTGTCAACCAGCTGCTTTGTGAGGGTTGAGAGGAACAGTTGGAGCTGACAGGGAGCAAGGAACAGGACAAGAAGTTGATGATATCAGAGTAGGAAAATTTTGAGGGGAAAAAGTTTGAGATTCATATTCCCTAATAATCTACTGAAAGTTTTTCTCAAATACGAGACTGATGTAAAAAAATCTTAATCATTAGGAGTTATATATACCCTGCTATCGTCGAGGTATGTGGAGGCAAATGCCACCCTGTCTTGGAGCGATATCTTGGCATCGTTCTGTGAGAGATAGTGTGTAGAAGAAATGAGGTAGCCACATTTACTTATGAGTATTGGCGTAACAGTGGCACAGTTCATTCCATTGAGTCCCTAATTACAACCAATGCAGTAGTCATGTGCGTGAGAAGAGAAGCAGGTCAGGATGTTGTAAGAATCTGTCTAGTGTAGGTGTCCATTAATGAGAGGGGAGAGGGGAGAGGGGAGAAAGGTGTCAACGGGTGTCAGGGTATACAAAGGTCAAATAAGCAGCCATTGGACCAGGTGTGAAGATGAGTCAGAGGTAAACAGAATCCCTTTTGGGATCCCCTCACACGCAGTCAAAACTCTAGGGTCATCTCTGAACACCGCTGCTCAAAATGGTCTCCTTCAGGATTTTGCCCAAGGAGAGGCCAATAGGCAATTTCAGCATGCAATATCATCAAAAGGGGCCCATGGGCAAAACTCCACCACCGGATAAACTTGACTATTTGCTGTAATCGGATTAGCAAATGCACTAGAAAAATGATGTACAACTATAGCTAGGTTGTATTACTGCCAAATCTCAAGGGCTCCAAAAAGGAGGTATCAGGAAGACTAATGGAAGCGCTACTCACCGTGACGTCTTTGAAGTCGTCTCGACCGGTGGAGCAGAGGAAGCTGAAGACTGCTCTCAGATAGGGACTGGAGACGTGGCACTTGAGTTGGAGACACGTGGAGAACCAGAGCTGGCTCGGTTGGGGAGAGTAGCCCGAGAGAGACAGAGCTATCAGCTGCAACTGGGAAGCTGGTGGGCAGAGGAGAAGGAGGAAGAGAAGAAATAGCACTTATTTGTAAGAAAATGTAACAAGGGTGACTTGTACACTAGAGAGCTTTTCCCACTGTTCAGGGCTTTGTCCACTCAGTGTACATAACTTTCGAGGAAGAAGACTTTGTTTGCACTTTCAGGGCAAAGTTTACACAAATGAACGTATCTGTTCTCCATTGTACATGAGGTGTGGGAGAAGAGAGGGAGAAGGGGGAGGACCAGAGAGGAAAGTGACATACATCTCTCCTGGTGTCCCTGCTGGCGAGCGAGGTCGGCTCCGTCGGTGAGGGTCAGGATCCCACGTCTCATGTTGCCACGGAACACGGACACTGCAGCTGCTCTCTCGTAGCGCTCCGACATCTCCTCTCTGTGTGGGTAAAACCCTGCTCGTTAAAAGTTGAGTAAAGCTCTACATGAATACCTCTTTATGAAGTCTTCTAGGCTGTGTTCGGAGGATGCGAAACTCCACCCACATAACAAGAGGGCGGAGTTTCGCTGGGGACTGAGGTAGATGGGGTAAGGGTACAGGGGAGTGTCCTTCGAGGCCACGCCCTCTGCCTCCCACGTGCTCTTCCGAGACGACGTCACACTCTCAGAGCCTGACCCTGTTGTTGCCATGGTAATAATCTTCGAATAAGCTAATAGCTACCCTTGTTAGATGGTAATGTATTGGTATGGGGCAGAACCAAGTGTTCTTTATAGAGAGGTGTCCTTTATTCAGAGGGTCCTTTTTAGAAAGTTTTCCAGATGGTGTGCACGCACCATTTTTTGCTTTGAGAACTGCGTTGACTCCGGAGATGCTGCCACGCCCCTTGTTACTAGGAGACCCCTTTCCCACCATCACTTCCTGGTGTACTGAACAACATGGTCAAGGTCAAAGGTCACACACTGTTTTACCATCGGCACGCAACATATATATTTTTTGGCCTCAACAGAAATTTTTTCCAACCTATTGCCATGGAAATGGTGCATAACATGCTGTTCTTTTTGATGCATGGTCAAGACCATCAATTGTGGTGGTGCCACACTTGTGTATGGGTTCCCATTCTATATAGTGTGCCGAGGGTTTCATTAGACTAGTGGGTGGAGTAGGGATACGAGTCAGCCACTCCCACAGAGTTTGCAAGACGACATCATCTGTTTAAAATCTTCACGTTTTGAGCAGCGTTGAACCCGTATCCCTTAGCAACACGATCTCGCATGGCTTCAGATATATCCCTGCACTTTGCATCGACATCATCCTGAAAGTTACTATTCTTAGCACGATCAGTCAAAATTAGTACAACCCACAGAAGTAGTGGCAGATAAGAGATTCTCAGCAGAGCTGTACACCATTCCACTGGTCGCAGTCCATGTCTGGAATGGAATGGAGACACACATAGTTGCCCATAGTTATGCAAACAGTGACTCCACCCACCAGAGCAAGTCTGTCGTGAACTTGAAAATGCTTTACTTTACCTGAAAAACAACCAATAGAAGTGGGCTTAGATTGTGTAACTGGGGAGGGGGGCAGAGAGATAGGGAGATGGGGAAGAGAAGGTACGAAGGACCTGTCATATTAGAGATGAGGGCTAAGTTGGCTTTCTTTGGATGCCACTCAACTGCCACCAGCTTCTTGTACTGCCCTGCACCCACACACGCACACACCACACACACTACATATTGAATGGTGCTAAAATCGTCACTGCTCACCTTTGCTACTGAAGTAGGGATGTCTATCTCTCATGTGTGTGGAGAGGTGCTCCATGTAAAGATCTCCTATCTCTTGCTGGGCATCTGATGCTGAGATGTATATACATAGAGACAAAGATGTTCGTATACAAGAGTGAAAAGAAAAAATAATGTACATTTAGCTACAAAATGGTTTGGAGTGGTGGGAGAGAAAAACCAACCGCTGGTAAAGGACGGAATGTCAACGAGGTGAAGGTATGGAGGTTCCTTTGATACAATACTCAGGCAGTCTGGGCGAGTCGGTAACCATGACAACCTCTCTATGGTAGCGGACCGAGTGAAGGAGTAGATCTGAGCAGAGAGAAATTGATCACTGAACGAGAAAGAGAATAAACACCTCACTGGTTTTCCAAAGTGGCGAAGATCCCAAATATACACAGTCGAACCCTGTAGCAGGGGAAGAGGGAAATGAGAGGGTTAAACAAAGAAAAGAGCACCAGAGGGTTAAAAATGAAGAGAGAGAAACAAGAGGGTTAATTAAACAAAGAGAGGGAACAATAGGGTTAAGTGATAAAGACGGGAACCTCAGCGTAAGAAGCCAGCTGATGTGGAAGAGCAGGGCAGACCGACAGACCAAGAATGGCTTTATGGTTTGCCACTTGTACTGGTCTAGACTGACCTCCTCCCTCTGGTTGGGGGGGAGAGAGAGAGAGAGAGAGAGAGAGACATGTGGGGAGAGAAAAAGACAATAAGGGAGAGAGGAAGGGAGAGGGAAAGAAGTGAAGAGAAAGACACACAAATGAAGGGGCGGGGGAGGGAAAGAGAAGGAGGGGTGTCCATGGTTGAGTGGGTCTACCTCGAGTGTCAAATATTCTGAGGAATCTGTTGCCCATGCCGGCAGCGAGGCAGGAGGATTGCCCCGGCAACCATGCTATGGAGCTGGTCGCCTCACCGTGACCTGACAGAGGAGACAGAGGAGACAGAGCAAGAAGTGTCAATATGCATCTCAACACTTGCAATGCAAAGAAAATTGATGGTTTTTTTACCTGATTCAAGGGATTTAGCGACATCATCGGTTGTCATGGAAACCTCTCCCAACCTCCCAGTCCTAAGAATACAACGATCTGTGTAACCATGGCAACAGAGAGGGGTGGGGCAGCACCTGGTGCGATCGGCGGGCGGAGTGTCTCCTGACGACGACAGACTGGTGGTGTCCCACACAATGAGGGAGGAGTCGTTGCGAGCTTTGTCCATCCCTACAGCCAACTGCATGGGGGATTGCAAAACTGAAACTATTTCAAAATTGACACTAATTTGGACTGAAGCACGTTGGAATGCATCTACACTGGGTGCTTAGCTTATTGCCGGCCTCAGTGTTTCCTATGACAGAGGTCGCAGAGGTCACCTGCTGTGTTTCGGTGGGGTTCCAACAAACACATATGCACGGTCTGCCGCTGCGTGGGTCTGTAGGGTGGAGGTCATGTGACAGTCACATGATCCGGTCACATGACTCACGGAGTGTGTTGATGCTGTTCTGCTGATGTGGCAGCTGCTCTGATCCGCCACTGCACCACAGCAAGAGAGAGAAACATGTTGATCCACAAGAGAAGAGATGAGTATAAGAAGGAGAGAAGGAGAACGTACTATTGGACGATGAGAACTTTTCCGCCGCTCTGCCCCACTGCGAACTTGTACGGAGAGTGAGAGTTGGTCTGCCAGCTCACCAGCTGAACAGGCCGAGAGGATGGGAGGAGATAGGAGTAAGGTGGGGGAGGGGAGGGGGTTACCTTGTTCTGTGGAATGCATGTTACACTGGAGGGAAGGGTGCCTACTAGACTACCATGTACTGTCGATGACAGCGGCAGGTCTGATGGACGAGAGAGAGAGAGACACTTTTCAAATTGAAGGCTCTTAGAAATCTTGGCTTGTGTTAGAAAAAATAGACCTGTTTCCTAAGTTTACCTGTGCCTCCAGCATTGGCCGCTGCTCCATCCTGGACGTGAGGAAGAGAGACTACGATACTCACAGCACAGTAGACCATATACCTGCAAGCTGTAGATTCTCAGCTCAGTGCAGTAGGTGGCAAACTCCTCCACGTTGTTAGGCGACCACAGCACCTCCACTCTCTGCAGGGACATCGCCACAGCAGCCCAAGGAAGCGAAGGGATAGGAGAAACGACCACGTTTGCAAGTATATACGTGCGCTCTAATTGGAACGTGGAAAGCCTATGAATATCATTAGGAGATATTCTGTGCATCGCCGGTGTTCTTGCTTTTCTGGGTGTGGGCAGTGGACTAGACTGAGCTAGCTGGCTGGCTGGAGACACGGGGAAAGAGAAGGCTAACAGTGACAGGAGCGGCGAGAAAGAAGGGAGATTTGCAGGAGCCATGTGTCACTTCCAGGACTCGTTCTGGGTGAGCCTGTGTGCGCCGGTATGAGCAACAACCCGCAGTTGCCGGAATAGACTTTACTCTGCTCCCTAGCTGGTAGCATAGCTGCCGCACGGTGCATTATAGAGACTTTGGCATATTTATTGTACACACACAGATTTGATACATACTACTCTACCACCATATCAACTTCCTTGCAATTACACCTCGTCCTAGTGAGGTTCCTAGTAAACTCTGTGTGCTGAAAGGTGTGATGGTATTGTGTGATTTCACACTCCCCCTCCCTCTCTATTTGTACTTGACCTATCTCCATATCTCCCTCCCTCCTCCCTCCCACACACACATACACACACACACACACAAAGTGGGGAAATGGATACGAAGAGATGCATCGCTACATCAAGCAGGGGGAGGAGTTTTGTAAGGAGATGGAGGGAATCGTTACCGAGAGGTATATCGTTGCCATGGTGATGTTTTTGTGTGTCCTAGCAACCGTTGTTCCAATATTTTGTGTCCACTTTCGCGAGCTATTTTTCATATTGAAAATAAGCAAAAACAGCGGAGAAGTGTGTCTTTGCTGTATATAGTTGCGTACTACCCACTTACCCCATCCTTCTCTCCTCCCTCGGTGGTGAAGGTCTGATGTTGAGAAGGAGTATGTCAAAGGTTTACATAAACTTGTCATGAAAGCAAAGAAAACAGTCAAAAAGTGTGTCGGGTAAGTTTGTACAAATATACAGGTAATACAAGTGATGGGGTTTATTTTACCAATGGAGCATAATGCTTGGCCTATGGCGGTGTAAAATACTGCTAATGCTGTGCTAGTGGAGTCTCCTGGGGTAAATCAGGTCTGTATGTTCCTCTCTCTTACCCCAAAGAAATCTAATTGAAATTCCATTGGGTGTGGGGCCATGTTTCCCCTCATTATCTGTTATGATAGGCCAATGGCTCTCCCTGTGTATACATTCTCTGTGGAGCTCAGTGATCATTACATCATCCATTACATCACTCCCCGTATACATTCTCTGTGGAGCTCAGTGATCATTACATCATCCATTACATCACTCCCCGTATACATTCTCTATGGAGCTCAGTGATCATTACATCATCGCAGGTCAGTGCAGAATGCCTGGCAGAAGATGGTGGTTGAGCTGGAGGCTGAGGAGGAGATTCATCGGTGAGTCACTTCAGGACAAACTTCAGGTTGTCCTGATAGCAGTGGTCGTATTTTCAGGTCGCTGTCGTTTGGTTTGAGTCAAGACGTGGCGAAGGTGTTGAACGGACTGACAGAGCAACAGATAAAACAGCGACACGTGGTGAGTCACCTTCCATCTCTCTTCCTTAACCCTTTTTTTGCAAATCATCTTTGTTTGCATACATGTACACTTAATAGAAATTGAATTGAACCACTAGTTTCTCGAAACAATAATTATATGTAAATAAGACTGCCCCTCAAAAAATTGCATAATTGCGTTGCCACCTGACGGGGACCGTACCCCTTTCTTTCTCCTCCATCTCCTTGTGGTCTGTAGGTTGAGAATGCCGTCAAAGACAGACTAAAGGCACATGGCGAGAAACAGAAACAGCAATTGAGAGTAAGCCACGCCCACACACACACACAGATCACGTGACTATCACATGACCTCTCAGCTGAAGAAGACCTCGCACAAGACGTGCCGGGACCTTGAGAGTGCGCTGGAGACACTGGCAGACGTGAAGGCCAACAGGGGCAAACCAATGTCAGAGAAGGATGTGGCTAAACTGGAGAAGAACTGCAGGAAGCTGGAGGAGGCGCTGGTGAAGAGTGACAGAGACTACCGGGACTCCAACATGAAGACAGAGGAGGCGCGGCTGGCCTGGGAGGCCTCCATGTACCGCTGCTGTCAGGTGAGTGGAGGGAGCCGGCAACATAAGATTTTGAGTGAAGAGCTTTTTTCATGTCTCTCTCTCTGGTACGCCAGACTCTGGAAGCCATGGAGCTGGAGAGGTGCCAGCAAGTGCAGCTGATGCTGGTCAAGTATTCCCAACTGGTGGAGACTGTCATTAGACCCACTGAACAAGTATATCTACAGATAATATGTAGTCAACGTATTCAGGATTGACTGTCCTTCACTTCCCGTGCATACTAAAAGTTTTCCACAGTCATTCTTAGGAATATTTCACTGCACTCTCCAGCTATAGTAAAGGTATTAAGGATGTTTAGTTGGTCTGTCCTTACCTCCACTTGCTTGCAAAAAGCACGAAAACTTTAGGCAACCCTATTTTTAATTGTGAGTTGCTTACAAAGCAACTGGTGGAGACTGTCATTCCATCCTCTCCCTGCAGACATGTGAGGAGCTCATCCAAGCCGCCAGTGACATTAACCCCACTGACGATGTCACTCTGGTCTGTGAGCAGTCTGGAACGGGGCCCAACACTCCCGAACAACTCCTTGTCGACTACTATGTATGTCATTAACCTGTACAAAATATTGGACTTCTATGTCAATAATAATATGGATAAAATTTACTGATTCAGCTAAAATTTCTTAACGGTTTTGTCAATTTGTTACCTTTGGCTGCCGCTCTCCCAATGTCAGGAGGAGGACAGCAAGAACCAGGTGAACGCCGACCGTCGCTGTGCCTACCTTGAGAGAAAGATACAGGAGGCTGCCGAGGAAATCCAGAGACAGGAGAAAGCCAAAATGGTACCTACCCCCTCTTTCTCTTTCCCTGTTTCTATATATCTCTCCTTCTTTCCTCACATATATAGCATTGACAGAGAGAGAAACTTTAGCCACTTCAGTTTCATAGCTGTACACAGATCTTTCCTAGTGTAACCAGGAAATCCTTTGCATAAATTAGCAACAGCATAATATTGAACCTGATTTGCGAATCTTCCTCAAAGTGTCCAACAAAACACTAACTTGTGGGTGTATGTGTGTATTAGGGAGTGGAGAGTTTAGGGCTAGGGCTACATGTGTGTGTGTATGTGTGCAGGGAGTGGAGAGCTTACAGAAGGCGTACCAGGAACAACCAGATTTCACTGACGACAAAGGTGCCGATGACGTCACTCGACAACTCTTTGAGGTAATGATATTACCCCGCATTGTGGGCGGAGTCTAAACCCTGTTGCTATGGTTACCGCTCCATCGCTATGGTTACGGCAGGCCGATGCGCTGCTGAATCTTCTGAAGGCGACTCACTACAAGTTGCTGTTGTCTCACTCGGAGGTGACGGGCTCCGCCCAGCCGTCGTCTCAGTTTGCCGAGTACATCACCACCACCAGAGACAAACAGGTGAGGGAGGGGCGGAGGAAATGACATTGTTGGTGCAAAATCTCTTTTCATAAACCTCCACTAGTGAAATGTGAAGGTCTGCGTGTAATAATAACTGTTGTAGAGAGGCTGAGAGAGAGAGATTTCCCCCACTGATTGCAGGGAGTGCCGACCAGTGTCCTGCGGGTCCCTCTCGACCAGACGGCCATTCTCACTGCTCACCCTCTCCCCTCCTTCACCCCGACCTCTGACCCCTCATCCCTCTACTCCAAGCCCATCAAGAGAGGCAGCTCTGCCAAGAAACCACCTTCCCCCCGACTCCCACCTTCAGGTTCCTCTCTCTCTCTCTCTCTCTCTTTCCCTCTATCCACCATTTGCACTATAATGTATAATAGACATACAATCTCTCTTCTCTTCAGCAGTAAAAGTGGCTTCCCCCACTCTCTCTCTCTGCTCTATCCTTGCACATCCTACTGCTAATGTCCTTGTGTCCATACATTGTCGGCACAGGATGTCTGTCATCTCTTGTTGTAGTTTAACTAACCACGCCCTCTTCTTAATCCTCACCACTCTCACAGAAGCTCCGCCCCCCTATCCTGCCGGAAGTCAAGACGAGGACGAAGATGGTTGGGGAGCTAACGAGTTTGACGGGTCTGACGACGAGGGAGGGGGAGGGGCAGCTGCCACTCTACAGTTCCAGTCTGACAACTCCAATGAACACCAATGTATGTATGTACAGCTATTACATAACTTTCCATCAAAGTTTTGGCAGTGTCTTCTGCACTGGCACAGTGTAGTTTTCTTTCAGCAGAAACGAATGGGCGGATGGATGGTTTCTTTAATGAGTGACCTTTCAAACACACACCCTCTCCCCCTCTCCCCCTCTCTCCAGACATTGGACAGTGTGAGGCAGTGTACGACTACGAGGCCCAGCAACCAGACGAACTCTCACTGCAGCCTGGCGTTGTCATAAACCTGATTGACCGATCTGACAAGGACTGGTGGCATGGCGAATGCAACGGACAAATTGGAATATTTCCCGCGTCCTACGTACAACAAGTCTAACTTTTATCTACGACACACACCCACCCATTTTTTATTGAAATGACAAACCAAATGTAACACTTTTATTATGTACAGAATACCATCTCTAGAATGTAAATAGGAAATGTATACTGAGATTTTATTTGATTAATGACAACAATTAATGACAACACACAAAGAACGGTGTTTTAATTGGAGTATGTGCAGCCTTAGGTCTACTTTTCAGTATTAGTTTTTATGCAGCAAATCTGTCGAGATTTACATTTTCTTCTTCAAGTCTCGAAGTTCCATTCTCACGCCGGCCAATTCGGAGACAAGATTTCTCCTGAGTATAGCTGAGGCACAGAAGACACCTCCGTGCATAGCACCTGAGAATCCACACGTCATCGCGTCTTGCCCCGTCAGGTACAACCCTGGAAGCCCCGTCTGTGGGCGGAGTTTCGCCATCGTTTCGAGCGTGAACCGCTCCAAGTCGTGGTCGATCCCGTACACCTCACCGCTGTAGCTACCGAGGTAGTACTGGTTGGAGAGTGACGTACCCACGTCGAAATACTCCTCCCGTCCCTCGAGATGGGGGAACATTTCAAGAACTTGACACCATGCCTGCCGCCCGATGGCTAGTTTGAGGCTCTGGTAATCCTCTCCTCTGTGCAAGACTCTCTCCTTCTCCCACTCTTTGTACCAGCGATGTGGCGACACCGTCACGATCTCGCACGTCGATTTGCCGGGGAAACGCTCTGCAAACGTCGGGTCTTTCGTGGAGGGAAAGGAGATGAAGAGAAGGGGCGGAGCTAACTTTACAGCCTCGTCCGATGTGAGGGACATGTAGGTGTCAAGTTGTGTCTGCAAGTCACTGTCGCTAAATGCCCAGACATTGCTGGCCTTTAGTCCTAGTTCTTCAGCACTGCCGTCCAGTCCGACGAATACCGTCATTAGCGCCATTCCTGGGCGGAGCTTGTCGGCCATGGCAACCAGACCACACCCCTTCCCAACCTCCTCTGGGAGAAGGGTACGGGCTGTGTTTGTGAGCCCAGCGTCGGAAATTACGACTGGAGCAAGGATGTCGAAAACGTTGTGTCCTTTCTTAACTTGTACACCCACGACTTGATCACGAGTGTCGTTAAGCAGGATTTCCCTCACTGGGGCCCTGACGAGGACACGCCCCCCAGCTCTCTCGATGGTGGGGATTATTTGGAATGCAATCTCGCTGGCCCCGCCCCTTGGATAGTAGCCTCCGTACATGAAATGTCGAGTCAGAATTGCATGCATCAGAAATGACGCTTCCTTCGGAGCTGTCCCTGAAAAACACAAAGTGTTCAGTAGTCATGCAAGTGAGGTGTACTGTAGTTAGGTGGTAATTATTGTGTATACATGTTGAAGAAAAGTGGGAGGAATAAAATAGAGCATTAAATCAACGAAGCTGCAGCCAATACTCACCATAGTCTCCGAATGCGTAGGCCAGAACAGCCTTGAGGTCTGGGTCTGAGAAATGAGAGTCCAGCACCTCCTGAAGAGACATGCCCAGGACCTCCACGGGGAACCATCGTTTCAACAGTCCACTCCATACCAGAAGCTTTGTGAACCACCGGGGGGCCAATTTCATGACCCCCAACAGAACCCCCGCGGATTGCGCAACCTCTCGAACCAACTCGAAATACTTCCTGATCCCCTTCTCCTCGCCGGGGAACCTCTCGCACAGAGATTTCTCCCAGGCCCCCTTCCCCGAGGGGACCGGAAATTCCCTCTTGTGGTCCCCTGACCCCAACACCACTGTGTCGAAGGTGTCCTCCAGTTTTGTCCAGTCTAGTCTCCCCTCAGTTAGCTGGTCCGCCAGAACTCTGGTGGAAGTTCCTTCTGCCATCTCCCCGATATAGTGGATCCCTGTGTCAAACTCATAGCCTTTGTCGATGAACGTGTGGCAGCAACCGCCAGCCTGATCGTGCTGCTCAAGAACCAGCACTTTCTTCCCGGCTTTGGAGAGGAGAGAGGCTGCAGTCAGCCCACCTATACCACTGCCTGGAGAGAGAGCAAAGAGAGAGGTGTCAGGATCAATGTGTTCGCTAAAGACCTTGCAATGTCACGCTTTGGTGTCATAGCCTCTGTCCTAAATCAATGGTTTTAGGTGCCAGTTCGTTTTGCGCAGCTTTTGTATTCACGCCTTCTGCGTGAGATGCGAAGTCGCATGCAAGTGTGTGAAAGACTGTACGGCTCATTGAACACACCAATGACGATGGCGTCCAGGGAGTCGGGGATCTTATCGACCGAGAAGCTCTGTTTCAGCACGCGATCTCTCTCGCCATGAGCGGTCACTAGTTGCGGCGGAGGAGACGGGGGGAAGACGCGGACGAACGGACTGTTGCCCGATCGGAGCCGCCGGCCGTGAGGAGCCAGAGACTTCTGCTCAGCAGTCTCCAGAGTAACAGAAGACCGGCCAACACGAACAGACAGATCAGTGGCCACGCCACCATCTCCAACAACTTCCACCAACTGTACTGCACGGATGATCGCATGGAAGATGTCGATATTCACAAGCTGGAAAGAGCACGTGCATTCTCCCATTTACGGTCCTTTTCGTTGGCCAGAGATCTTTCTGCAAATGTCAAAAATTATTTACATGTCTTTGTGGTTTTGATGACTAAAAGGTATGGAGCAATTTCTAGGAAACGTCCATTGTTTCTTCTCTAGCTCTACTGTCTTTCTCCTCCTCTCCATCCTTCTTTTCCTCTGAGGAGTGCTGACTCAGTAGCTCCGATATGTGTGTCATCATCTGCTCATCATCGCACTCTGTCTTACCCACGAGCTGAGCAAAATTCAGACATGATTTCATATATATATATATCAGGACACCATAGCTTACCTTGCTGGCTTGCTCAAGGTAAAAGTGGGCGGAGTCTCTGTCTTTCGTCAACACGTGAAGCCAACCCATCAGATACCAGACCAGGACCACATCGTCGTCGTCTCTTAGCAACCGCTCCAGGACAGTGTAGGCCTCCTGCGAGGGTTCACTCATTAGGACACGGTAATGTCTGTCTCTATTCACGTACGCACATCATACAGTTGTAATTCCATCAGGATCTTTGCACAGCTGACACGTGAGAAGTATGGCGGGATTTCCCGCTCTTCTTTCCCGCCATTTTCTGACCCTTGACCTTCCACACCACCGTCCTCCTTTGGTAACCACAGCGATAAACTCGTACGAATAGATTCCTCGGCATCCTATAAATAGTAACAAGGATTACATTGCCAGTAGTGGACGACGCCCCCACCTGATTTCTGCTCCTGCTGAGTAGGCAAGAGGCGAGAAGCTGATGAGCCTCGGGATTAGTAGGGGCAAACCCCACCGCCTCACGACAACATTCTTGACACTTCTCCTCTGCTGCGCTGGAGAAACTGATGAGGGAAAAACAGGTTAAGTATAATAGAGAAGAGGAGGTCCTTGGTTGAAGAATTGAGGAATAATTCTGATATCTGAATCACGTTTTGCTCAATGCATATATACGTACCAAGAGTCAGTGAGATAGACTTCAGCCAGTGAGCAGTAGGCTCTAGATATATCCTCATCACTAACTTCCTTCTTCTTCCTTCCCTGTGCTGATAGATAGAGCTCAGCCACTCCCCCCTCTTCTTCCTCTCTCCCTCACCTCCCTCCCTCCCTCTCGTCATGATGGAGATGGCAGTGTTAAGATGGCGGACGGCCTCTTCCCCACTAGCCAGCTGGCCGAGATAGAGGAACTTCAGGTGACCTTCCTCTGGACTCAGTTCTGCTGCTCTCTTCAGAAACTATACAACACATGTGTCCACATAGACGAGGAAAAAAGTATAGGGAAATTCTCAAAGGAGATCTCAGAGTATTACTTGAGTAAGTCACCTTGAGGGCGCGGTCAGTGTGTCCCAGCTCCAGAAGCAGCGGCCCCGCCTCCTCCAGCAGAGGAACGCTGTCCGGTTCCCGCTCCACAGCCTTTACACACAACTCCGCCGCCTCCTCGTAGCGGAACGAGTCCAGACACGACTCAACCTGGTGGCTAGCAGGTCAAATCCAGTGCAGGAAACCGACGATCTACCTTCTCCAGTAGGGAACAGGACTTGGTATGCGAGCGAGTCCGCTTGATCTTTACTGCTCTAACTCGCTTCTTCTTGGCTACTGTCCGCCTGCCCGCCTTTACGGCCCCTTTCTTCACTCTTCCTCTCCCCGACATAATACCGTGCACACGTGGGTAAACCACGCCCACTAATTACTACGCATGCGCACTTGAGGGGCGATTTGTCGTACGCATGCGCACGGGATCTTCCACTTGACACACACACACCAAAACGTGCAGCATATTGTATAGGAATCTCTATCAGAAATACGGCAGCATTGGAGGACAGTCCATGTGCTAGTAGATATAGTGGTGTGTAATTAGGTGGGTGTGGCTTCAGCTTCAGTTTCCACGGGAGCTGGCTCATCATCGCTATCAGATTCTGTCAAGTCCTGAGTGTATTGATAGAAGAAGAGAGATTTAAAACTCACGAACATAATATTGAGGGAAAAGATTACAAATTGTGAGTGTCCATTTTTTTTGCAATTCTGGCACAGTTATGCACCAAACAACCAAAGCTACCCGACTAATCAGCTCACTTCCATGCCAGGGAGTTCCCCTCCTGACAAGCCGGGACCTCCGCCGAGCCCGCCCATCTGCTGCATCATTGCCTGCAAGCTGGAGTCCTGGTCTGACAACTCGTTGTCTGACTCTGAGTCACTCTCGTCCTTCCACCGATTGAAGTCTGTCTTTATGAACGCCGCCTGCGAACCAGAGAGACGGAGAAGAAGTGGATAACAGAGAGATAATACAGTGGAACTGAGGACACCCCTCTAATTAGGACACATCTTCTTTCCCCAAGAGAGGTTCCTGCATGCAAGTGAGGGGCTCTAGACAAAATTGCCACAGACTAGTGCGATTAAAGTACGCCTACACCCCCTTCTGAATTTCATCTAGAAAAGCGAGTAAGGAATACCCGTGTTGTTCCCTCCAGTAGTCGCGGCCAGTACGGACCCGATTCCTTCTTCTTCAGAACAAAGAACAAACCCCTCGCAGTCTTCCTATTTTTCGACTCCTGCACCACAAACAATTGACACATGATATAGTGGGAGAGGGGTTAATTTCACCTGTGGAGTGACCTCTTTGAAAAACTGTAAGTCGAAGCTGTACTTCTGGGTTGAGTCCTCTCCGTAAAAACTCAGAGTCTTTTCGTTGATGGAGTATTTCTCATTCTGCAGGTCGTTGACACCGATGGTGAGCAAGACAGTGTCGTTTCTCTGGGCCCACATCACGGGTGGGTGCGTTGTTCTGCGGTCGCGGGGGGTCATAATTAGAGAGGGGATCCTGACTAATTAGTGTGGCTTTCTTTTGTGCAGAACTCACCCGTTGGCCATCGCTGTGCTCGGGTTGTGCAGACTTGTGCAGGTAAGAGGCAGTTTACTTCACACGATCACTTGCTACGTCTGCGGCACCCCTTTCTCTAGTGAGCTCTTGAACTTTCTGCTGCACACGTGCGTTTAGCGCCCAACATCATTCGTAGTTGCGCAGCGCGCCAAACATTACGCGTGCGCAACACGCAACACGCAGCGTACGGCTTCCGCTACGTAGACGTACCAGGATCCGTCAACAGCCCTGCAGCAACGGGAGCAGGGCTTGTAAGGGAATATTTAAGGAGATGGAAAACAGAACACTCGGCACTCTGGCAGAGCTTGCAGGACACGCTCTGGATCACGTGACCCACCTCCCAGCTTGGAGCCTGGCAGCTCACCTGGTGGTAGGGGCCGTGGTTGTCCTTCTCCAGCAGAGGATGAGGGGCTCTCGGCGGTTCTCAGACTGGAATGAATTCCTCTGTACCCTCCTCTGGATCACCTGGACCCTCGAAACCTCCGTCATTAGCTTCGCCTCCTCCAATCTCCACGGACACTTCTATCTCTTCCTCCGTCTCCTACTCTGGCCTCTGCTCTCCCACGACGCCTGCGTTAACCCTCTCAACTCTGTCTACCTCGCCATCACGGAGGGCTCACTCCGGAGTATACCCCATCGACTCGGGATCCAGTTGGTCGCCATGGTAACCGGGTTGGTGTACTCCGTCCTCTGTTGGCATGTTCTCGGTAACTTGTTATCGGAGGTTCATCTCGATTTCATGAGCAGTCGCCTCAGTCCGTTTCTCAACGTCACTCTGAGCGAGGGCTTCCTTCTAGAGCTGACCATGTCCTTTGTCATGTACCTCCCTCGCCTGGTCATGAGTTCAGGGTTCACTTGTACCTTTGTCTCGGCCGTTCTGACGTGTGTCATGATTCTGTGTCTTGAGCACACAACTGGAGCGTTTATGAATCCGTTAGTGGCGCTGTCGTCCAGCCTTCTCTGGCACTACAGCTCACTCTCTCCGGCCAGAGTGTGGGAAATGACTGTGGTGTACTGGATTGGACCTCTGACAGGAACTGTTCTTGTTGCTAGACTAGACCTGTGGATGTCACGACAACAAAAACTCAAGCTTCACTCCAGCTAGCAACCGTTGCTAGTTACAGCTAGCCCAGAGCTAATCTGATTGTATGATGTACAGGTCACCCCCTCCATGCCAACTATGTCTGCAAATAATTATTTTTTGCACACCACATGTTGTTCACGTGAAGACATACTCTCTGCAGGGGGTTATACCATTTCCTTTGAACTGGTTATATATACACCTGTAATACAGGTCAAGCCACTGGCAAAAATGTTGGAAGCCCGTGTATAAAAATTCTGTGAAGGTACATATCAAGTGTTTACTGTAAGTGGTTTTGGTCTTGTAGCGATATTGAAAACAACCACAGTTTGCACCTGTTGTTTTCTTTCGGTTTCCCCTGTGGCATATAGTTTGTCAGGGCTTGTTTCCATGTGCCCGCCAGCAGCATGCATTGATGCTGTAACAGAGCACATCTGCTGGAAACCCATTGTGACTATAGTGTCAAAACCAGGTGCCAATTTCTGACATCTTATATACCCAATCAAGGAGTTGTTCAGGTGTTGAAAATTACATTACTTCTGTGTATGTAAGAACAGCACTCATACGTACAATGCACTCATACGTATAATGCATTCAAATTTACACAATAATTATACACAACCAGTAAGCTGCATCAAAAAGTGTATAATACGATAACACCTACTGACGGGACAATGTGTCTAAACTAAATACAAATGAGTATGGTTATTTCCAGTTTCACGGCGTGTGATATAGGGGAGAGGATCACCGTACTCTCCTCACGTGGAGATCCCAGACAGTGGCTTGTAGGTGAGCGTTCGTCTCTTCCAGTACCAGTAGCCCCCGGCAACAGCTGCCACGGTGACTGCAATGAGGACTAGGAACATGAACGTGAGTCCCACGCCCAGCGCCACTTTGTTCGGACCCTTCTTCTTGGAGTTGGTTGGTGTCGGTGTGCCAGTAGAAGAGGAGGAAGAGGAGGTGGTTGTGGAGGAGAAAGACGGAGAAATCGACGTGGCGGACGAGTCCACCGTAGCAGGACTGGTGGTAACGGTGGGGGAGGGGTTTGGAATGACCGAGCTCCCGCCACCACTCCCGCCGCTCCCGCTCCCGCCGCTCCCCGCTCCCGCTACCACTACCGCTTCCGCTGCCTTGGGCCGCCGCCGCTAGGGAGACGGCAAGCAGCAGGGCCAGAGAAAGGCTGATCCAGGGAGCCATTTCGTATCCTGCAGAGTAAGGGCCGCTGGTGTTCAAACGGTACTCGAGACGAGGCTACGATTTCCAGACACTCAAGACCTGCAGAAAAACAAGAGCCAAAAAGTGTTTGTTCACAAGCCCTCGAACATTGGGCTCGCGCAGAACTGCAATTCAAACTGCCGTTGGTTTACCTTTTAGTGGTGGATCTCCACAGATCTAGCTAGCCACGGATCTGCTAGTGTATCTCGTGCGGGGAGCAACGTGAGAGACCTCGATTTGCTTGGCCGCCTGTTCCGTATCGTGCAAAGGAAAAAGTAGCGCATGCGCGTAATACAGAGTCACGTGTTTAGGGGAAATCCCCTTATTAAAAATTCTCCGGAAGGCGGAGCGATCTTCGACTTCGCAAAAACAACGCAAGATGTTGGGAGTTGCTCGGATAGCGGTGGCTCTGCTGGGGCTGTTGGTGATGACAGCTGCCGCCGAACAAGTCCTCTGCGTCTGGTGCGAGTTTCTGCTAGGTTCTGGAAGCGGTATCAGTCCTCTGCCTTCTCCAACTGTGCCCACCGTAATAACCGGTAGCGTGAAGTCATCAGTGACCGCGGAAACTTCCTCCACCTCTCCTTCTTCCTCCACCCCTCCTTCTTCCTCAACCCCTCCTTCTTCCTCCACCCCTCCTTCTTCCTCCACCTCTCATTCTTCCTCCATCCCTCCTTCTTCCTCCACCCCTCCTTCTTCCTCCACCTCTCCTTCCTCCACCTCTCCTTCTTCCTCCACCCCTCCTTCTTCCTCCACCTCTCCTTCTTCCTCCACCTCTCCTTCCTCCGCCCCTCCTTCTTCCACCACCACCTCTTCAACCTCTACTGCCAGTCCCACTAACCCTACCCCTACTAGCTACTCTCCCTCCCCCCCTCCTCTTCTCCTGTGTGCCCGTCAGAAAGCCCGGAAGGACAACAAGAGTGCCCTACTTGTGACAGCTGTGGCAGAAAACTGGCTATTGCTCTCGGGACCTCAATCCCGGCTTCAATCCTCATCACCACACTAGCCATGATACCACTCTGCTTTTTCTGCCAGAATAAGAAGAAAAAGAGTGCCTACATCCGAATGGCACCAACTGTTTATTTCGACGAAGACGATAATTGATTTTCCACCGTTCACAACAAAGAACCGAATTACAATACACGTATGTAAATTGACTCCCAGCTTAGATATTTTTTATAGCATTATATATATATATTTTTATCAGTATTATATTATATACACACAAATTGTATATAATTTCATGTAGTGAACAGTAAACAATTGTGCAATGGATGAGAGATGTCAATACCTATTTATACCATAGAGCCGAAACTTGTGGAGAGCAGGGAATTTTGGTATGACCCCTACCGCTAAGGCAATCAAGTTCACAGTCACATGTGCTCTGTCATGAAAGGTATAGAAGCTGGCCAAGAAAAACCTGGCAATTGATAGAACAAAAACTCAAAAATAATAAAAGTAGTTTGATGATTGACTTACAAGAAGATAGGAACAGATGTGAGGAATATTCTAGTGGGTGTGTACTGGTGGCCATTGTCAATCTGCTCCCAGTTGGTGAGCCTTCTGACGTCTCCCTGGTCGCCCGTTGGGTACGGCGTCCCCTTCATGTGGTGAAACATGATATACATTCCCTACAAAGAGAAACAATATCGAGTGCTTCAATTAACGCCCACCGCCGTTGATCCTGTGCGCGTGCGACAGTGCGTACGTCGTCGCAGGAGGACTCACAACGTTATGGACGACGTGCGTGAGGGTCCAGGCCATGGCGGTGGAGAAGAGAGGGACGCTGAGGAGTATGAAATGTAGAATGGCGACAGAAGTAAGGTACCCGAGCCACATCCCTCGAGTGTTTAGCCACGAGGCGTTGGGGTTTGTGATGGCGGTGGCTGACATGACCTGCATGATTGGTTCTCGCCTCCTCAGAGCTCACGCGACGCTCTCTTCCTCTTGCTGTGCAGAGGAGCAGCAAATAAAAGAAACTGCCGAGTCAGTGTTGATTCTGACATTCGTGCGCATGCGCATAAACTATGTGTCCGGATCTTCAATATAAGCCCGCGATGGCTGAAGGTTGTCCGGAAGATAAAAGACCTGTCTTTGGAAACAGGAGGTTGGAGGACACCGCGCGAGTATTGGAGCATAATGCTTGGTAGGAGGCGGGGACAAATGAGGCTGCATTTCTATGCAGGATATCAATACTGGTCTGGTGTGCTGCACATTTCTAAGTACCAAATGCTGTACATATTGCAGGGATGACGTGGAGTGGGGAGAGGAGCAGAAGAGAGAAGCTGAAGAGAAGGTCGCGGAGAACTCACACGACCTGGTCGCGGAGGAAGAGAGGGAAGGCTACGAGGCGGCAGCGGCAGAGTATTGGGACAATTTCTACCAGCAGCACCAGAACAAGTGAGCTGTCCCCCTCTCCCCTCTCTCTCCGGTTGACTGAGGTTGAAGGTTCTTCAAGGACAGACACTGGCTGTTCACAGAGTTCCCAGAGCTGAGCTCGGACCCACGGTCTGGGGTGGACAGACGAAGAACAGTGTGGGAGGTATATTTGTACGTCAGCTGGCCAACACACAAAGTGGACATGAACACTGTGTGATACAAACAAGATTTTGCAGCAAGATCCAACAAAGTAGTTATGGTTTTAGCCTGTTAAATTGGTGCAGCACTAATTTTGGTGTAGTTGTTGAATTGAATTTCTATCTGCCATATTATTCAGGTTGGCTGCGGAGCTGGCAATACAGTTTTTCCTCTTCTGCAGACCAACAAGTGAGCTGTCCTCTGTTGCACAAAGTTGATTCTCTTCCTTTTCTCTCTCTCTCTCTCTCTCTGCAGAGATGAGGGTCTGTTTGTGTACTGCAGTGATTTCTCTAAGACTGCAGTCAGGCTTGTACAGGTGTGATGGTCTCTAGCTCTTTAGTTGTCTCTGTGACTGATATAATAGGAGAACTCTCTGTATGCCGAGGGTCGTTGCCACGCCTTCCAGTGTGACATCACAGATCATGCCTGCCCCCCTCCCTTCCCTCCCTCCTCTGTCGACATCATCATCCTCGTCTTTGTCTTGTCCGCCATTCACCCTTCCAAGTGAGACTCTAATAGCCAACGCTGCTGGAAAAAGTTGGTGCTCTAAATTGTGTGGATCCATGGCAGAGTACAGTATAATATCGGTTCTATTGTTTTGTGGAGAAAAGCATTTGTGATTTTAAAATGACGAAAACTGTTTTTTTCATGATGTGAATGTAGTGAACTTGGTAGCTGTGTTGTTTGTTGTAAAGGATGCAGGCAGTGGTCGGTTGGGTCTGCTCTTACCTTCGTCCCGGAGGACTTATTCTGTTTAGAGACTACGGCAGGTCAACAATCTCTCTCTCTCTCTCACTCATGCTTACTGTATACACAAACTTTTCAGAGTTTACATTCACATTTCAGACACGACATGGCCCAGCTAAGGTTCAAGAAAGGTCGTTGCCTAGGAGACAATTTCTACGTCCGCGGAGACGGGACTAGGGTATATTTCTTTACAGAAGGTACAATTATTATCGCATCTATTCTGAGACCACACCCACACCCATGAACTTTGACCCCTACAGGTGAAGTTGACGACCTCATGACGGAGGCTGGAATGGAACGGAGACAGCTGTATGTGGATCGTAGACTCCAGGTCAACCGAGGAAGACAAGTCCAGATGTACAGAGTATGGGTCCAGGCAAAATATGTGAAAAAACCGTCCTCAGCTGACAGTGAAAAAACGTAGTCATTTCTTCATTGATATATTTGGCACAGAATTTCAAAAGAAATGTAATACATAAGTGTCACTCAAGTGTTTCCGAGGAGGGAAAGTTAGTAATCAGGTGATGCGGTGGCAAAAGTAACCGAGGTGGAAATGATGGTAATTACTAATAGAAGCACAGTAGCCACACATCCAAATGCGATTCCAACAATGTTCCAGGTGCGCGCTGAACGAGAGGCCGTCTGAGCTGCCACCATATCTCCACTGGCATATGCTGAATCAACCTGCGATCACAAACACACAGTCATGCTTACTCTTCAGAGACTTAGTGGGTTTTCTATACTAATGCGGGGGAACAAAGAGAAACTGATCCCGGGATGTGTAGCACAGCGCTTGAACTTGAAATTGTACTATTATTATTGGGGGCTCTTGGTCTTTCCCATTAGTCAGGGGTGCTATATACTCCCACAGGACCATTTGTTGGTCCAGTGGGGTTGAAAATGAAAATGCTACCACAATTGAAAACTGTGAGGTATATTCAAATGTTCATGCTGCGTGATACACACAGAGTACATTACACAAAAAACAGTTAATATATCTTGCCAAGCCAACAGTGTGTATATGTAGCTACCTGCATGGCATATATGAGGGCCACGATACCAAACAGCCAACAGCAGCAGAGAAGTGTGAAGACAGAGAGGGCAACATAGTTGCTTGGTTTCCTCTGAATGAGGGTCACTGTAGGTGCAGTCGGCTGACCCACCACCTGTAAAAAGACACCAGACATCACTTTAAACATTGTACTGATGTTCTGTGTCTCATTTTCATGTACAGTTCTAAAGAGCTATTCTGATTGAGATTGAGTGGAATATCAGACCTGGTTCTGTCAGGAGTCAAATCCACAGTCACCGTGAACCATTTACTAAATGCTCAGCTAAACTTTCCATCATCTAGTCCTACTCTCTTAGTATCTCGCTACAGTACCCAGCGCTCGGCAGTACGGGAGGGCCGTCTAGCTAGCTGGATTACATCATGTATATAGCTACCACGTCTTTATACCACAGTAGTGTTGTGTGTGGAGTGATGGGTGACTGGTTGACCGACTGGCTGGTAGGCACCGTAGTTAGGGACGGCCTGCGGCTGAGGAGGGTAGTAGGGCTGCGGCTGCGCGGGGTAGTGCGGAGCCGCGTAGTCCACGGGGGGATTCTCCTGGTAGTACGGAGCTGTGCGCAGGAATATACCGTGCAAACGATAGCAAGTATTGATACAAGCACAGCGACTCACGAGGAGCTGTAGCCATTTTCCTTCTCTAGATGTTCTCTCTCGATCGGGGACTCACCTATGATCGATTGAGCCCCTCGCGTGTGTAGCGACGTTTTTAAAACTGCCACACCCACTTTTCCTTTACGCATGCGCAAAAAGCGTTCACTTTTACTCAGTGACTGAGCGTGTTTGTAAGTAGTTATATATAACACTGGTGTTAAGATTAGTTACTATTATAATCACTGCCACTGTTGGCTGAGGCGGCAGAAACAGCGACAATAAGTATGAAACTAATCACAGCAATCACGGAGCCAAATATGATTCCAACAATGTTCCAGGTGCGCGCTGAACGAGAGGCCGACTGAGCTGCCACTATATCTCCACTGGCATATGCTGAATCAACCTGTGAACACAAACACACACAGAGATATCATACAGCCAGTGAAACCTCGAACAGTTCCAAAATCAGTACATTTCAGAAAACTAAGCCATTCGTCACAAAATTGAGTGGTTCTCAAAATATTTAGGTGAGGTCGTGTAGTTCTGTTCCATTGTTATAGTGTAAATCCCCCCCTTTATAAGGAATGTCTTATAATCACAGTTGATACTGCGGTATGTATAAACCTGCATGGAGTAAATGATGGCCACAATGCCAAATATCCAACAGCAGCAGAGAAGGGTTAAGAGAGACAGGATCATATAGTTGGCTGGCTTCTTCTGAATGAGTGTCACGATGGGTCCAGCAGACTGGGGCCCTGCCTGCAGATATGACACTCCCAGTTAGATGAGAAAACTGTCTATAGAAGCTAAAAGAACAGTTTACCTACATACAAAAATCCCTCCCTCCTTTCGCAACATCAGGACAACAGATGGTGGTTGCAAAGTAAACATAAACACAACTAAATGTACTACCACATGAACACTTCAAACCCTCTATAGCATAGAATCATTGATGTTTACCACATGAGCAGTTGGTGCAGGGTGTTGGTTGATCGGCTGACCAACTTGTTGATAGGTGCCGTAGTTGGCAACCACAGGTGGAGCGTAGTTTTGCTGCCACTGCTGAGGATGCTGCCGGGTGTAGTTCTGAGTCTGCTGTGGAGGATAGTGTGAGCCACTCTGAGGATGGTAGTGTGACTGAGGAGGGTAGGTGGATTGTGCCTCATTCTGAGGAGGGTAGGTGGGTTGTGGCTCATTCTGAGGAGGGTAGGTGGGTTGTGGCTCATTCTGAGGAGGGTAGGTGGGTTGTGCCTCATTCTGAGGAGGGTAGGTGGGTTGTGGCTCATTTTGAGGAGGGTAGGTGGGCTGCCGTTCGGTCTGTGGAGGGTAGGTTGGCTCCTGCTGTTGCTGAAGGTACTGCCGCTGACGGGGCATATAGTCCACCGGAGGTTCTCCCGGGTATGGTGCTGGGAAGTGATTGTAGAGTCGTATCTAAATTCAAGAGAAGGCACACGCAACTCACGAAGAGCTCCTGTAGCCATTATCTCTCCTTGCCGTCGTCTCTAGCTCTTGTCGTACACCGTCCGCTCTTTGCTGCTTTGTGCTGAGCTTGCGCCTGACAGTGCTTGCGCATGCGCATAAAATCACACACGTACACACGTACGTACACACGTACACACGGTACGGCCGGCCGGGGGGAGGAGTAGCAAACACAAGAAGCACGTTTTTCGGGCTGTTGTGAGATCAGTTAGAGATGTCCAACATCAAGGTGTTCAGCGGGAACTCGAATCCCGACCTCTCTCGAGCCATCGCCGAGCGGCTGGGGCTGGAACTCAGCAAAGTCTCTCTGAAGAAATTCTCCAACCAGGAGACGAGGTGAGTTCTCTCTCTCTCCGCTCCTCCCTCGACTCCCTCCCTCCCTCCCTCCAGTGTGGAGATAGGAGAGAGTGTGAGAGGAGAAGACGTGTACATCGTTCAGAGCGGGAGTGGAGAGGTGAATGATAACCTCATGGAGCTGCTCATCATGATCAATGCCTGCAAGATTGCCTCGGCTGTCAGGGTTACTGCAGTCATCCCCTGCTACCCCTACGCCAGACAGGACAAGAAAGACAAGGTTGGGCCTCTTTTTGGGATGTCCAATCCTGTAATTGGACTTTGATTGGGTCGGGAAATTTTGAAGCATGTGTATTATTCCTAGCAGAGCAGAGCTCCCATCTCAGCCAAGCTAGTGGCCAACATGCTGTCAGTGGCTGGAGCTGATCACATTATAACTATGGACCTTCATGCCTCACAGATACAGGTATATACATACATATATACCCCCTTCTGTGCGTCATAGATACAGGTACATACATATATACCCCCTGTGGGCCTCACAGATACAGGTATATACATACATATATACCCCCTTCTGTGCGTCACAGATACAGGTACATACATATATACCCCCTGTGGGCCTCACAGATACAGGTATATACATACATATATACCCCCTTCTGTGCGTCATAGATACGGGTACGTACATATATACCCCCTGTGGGCCTCACAGATACAGGTACATACATATATTATACCCCTCAATGTATTGCACAGCACTATCAATCTTTACGTCTCGACAAGTAGTGTTGCAGTTGTACATATCTCTCTATCAAAGGGATTCTTTGATATACCGGTGGACAATCTGTATGCTGAGCCAGCGGTCCTCAAATGGATAAAGGAAAACATTGCAGAGTACGGAGAGGCCGTCATAGTATCACCTGACGCAGGCGGGGCTAAAAGGTACGTATGTTGAGAGAGAGTGGAGGAAATAATGAGAGAGATAGGGAATGACGTAAGGCAGGCTTTTTAATGCTGTGTTTAGTGAATGAATTAGTCTACGCATTTTTACCGTGGAAAGTTGGGTATATATTAACTGCATGGTTTTCATAGATACACTTTGGCAAACCACACACTATAATGTTGCTAATCGACTGTATGTAAAGTTGGGAGAATGACAGAGTCTCTGTTGGCTGTAGAGTGACGTCGATAGCTGACAGACTCAACTGTGGATTTGCCCTCATTCACAAGGCGAGGAAGAAAGCAAACGAAGTGAGATGTCCCCACACATCATTAATCCACAAGTTTCCCTTATTTTGAGGTAGTACAATAATATTAGTATGGGGCAGAACAAAGTGTCTTTTATGGAGAGGTGTCCTTATTTCCTTTTTTCACCGTAGTTAGAGCCCTGACTGTTAGCTCCTCCCCCCTCTCTCTCTGTGATTCCAGGTAGAGAGTATGGTGCTGGTGGGAGATGTCAGCGACAGAACAGCCATCATAGTCGACGACATGGCCGACACATGTGGCACTCTGGTTCTCGCTGTTGCCAAGTACGTTATCCTCTTCAACACCTCACATGCAGATCAAAATTTCGAGGGGAAATTTTACAATCATCACAAAATTTTGAGCATTGAAACAGGAATCCGCAAAAATTTTTCCAAACCTGTTTGTGTTTGCTACTCAATCAGAACAATTTGTCTCCCTGATTGGTATATTCTTTGTTATATATCCCCAGGTGTAAGGAAGCAGGGGCTACGAAGGTGTACGGGATATGCACTCATGGAATTCTGTCGGGGCAGGCAATAAAGAAGATCAACGAGTCGACCGTTGAGGCCATGGTGGTGACTAACACCATTCCTCAGGCCAAGAAGGTGGAGGAGTGCGACAAGATAAAGGTTCTGGAAAGAAATATCTGTTATATGTGTGTGAACTTTGGGAAGAATGTTTAATCTATTATGACTTGTGTGATTGGAGGAACTTTGGAAAGAAGGCTAATCATTTATTTCTCTCTCTCTCCTCTTGGTATCAGATCATAGATGTCAGCATGATTCTGGCTGAGGCAATTAGAAGAACTCACAACTGTGAGTCAGTCTCCTATCTCTTTTCCCACGTCCCTCTCTGAGCTGAACATCTCCCTCGGCCCTCTTCCAGCCACTTCTCAACAGACAGTCTCACTTCGTCCCCGCCCCCTCGTTTACATACTACAATGTTATGTATAATGTCATCAAAAATCCAAGAAAACTGTTAACTATGACGTAATGACTGAATACCCACGTGGTTGCAAATTGACCTATGACCTACTGAAAGTGGGGGGTGTGCGTGTGTGTGTGTAGAGATGAAGGTGGTGGCGGTTATGTTGACACTATCGGTGAGCCTGAGCTGTTGCTGGGAGCTAGCAGTGGCTCAAGATGGCGGAGCAGCGCCTTCTCCGCTACCGCTCACCCTCCACGAGACTTGCCGGGAAATTGGCGCCGTTTTCCAGAGCGGGAACTTGTCGTGTGCGGAGTGCGCCGCCAGCAGCGAGCCTGCACAGGACGGTAAGTTCTGACAGCTAGCTACTCGCATGCGTTGGTTTCTAGACTGCGGACATAAAAGAGTGTTTGTGTGTTGCGATGTGTGCTCTGCTGTTGCTCGGTTGCCATGGTGATAAGACCCACGCGCTCTTCGCAGGCTTGTCGTGTGAGTGTTTGGGGAACGCCACGAGGACAGCAGGTGACGTGTCTTCCTCCTCTCCCTCCTGCTCTCCCTGCCCCTCTGGACAGGTACATGAGCCTCTCTCTCTGCTACTTTCTTTGATACTTTCTCTGTGATGTAATGCTTGCTAATCTGGAGGGTTTCCCCCCTACATCATCAGGCAGTGTCTGGCAATGGACTCTACTGTGTCGAGTGTACCCCTCCTCTAACCTTTGACCCTTCCACCCAATCCTGTTCTCCTTGTCCCTCCGAACTCTTCATCTACTGTTAGTCCATTTTGACCTTTTTGACCTCTGAGTACGTTCACTTTCTTCACCAGTGGACACACCCCCTTTACTGTCTGGTTACCCCGGCAACCGTACGTGTGTTCTGTGTCCTCTGGGGACATGGACTGACCAATCAGGTTTCAGCTGTGCCGAGTGTGGTCTTGACAACTGTAGCCAGTGCCTGGAGCCACACAACGGACGCTGTTTCTCCTCCCCCCTTCCCTCTACCCCCTCGACCTCCTTCAATTATTACATCCAACATTTTACCGCCACCGTCGGACTCTGTCGCTATGGCAACCAGGAAGCGTGTCAACGACTGGTTAATCTGTGTGTTCTCCAGAAATACCTCAAGTAAGCCACACCCCCTTTCTTCCTCTCTGACCTTACCTCCGTAAGTGATTGACAAGCAACTAAGTCTTCTGATTGTTTTGTGCATAATCATCTACCAAACACTGTCACCATAATTATTACACTTTATGTGTTGTATGTATTTGCAAATGATCTGATGATTTCTCTATATAAGGAGTGACCCAGCCTGTGCGGAAGTGCTGCCTTCCTCCTCCCCTCTCCTTCCCCCTCTCTACTACCCCAGCCGTGGGGCCGATGAGCTCTTGGCCGACGTCTCGTTCAGTGACACTCTCTACACCTCACCTCACTCCCAGGTAGTGCCAGTTCACTACATGACCTCTGTCTTCAGACATCATCTGTGATTGAATCATAATACCTCTGAATAAAGGACACCTCGGAATAAAGAAACTTTCCATGTCCCCAAAGTGTCCTTATTCGCTCTAAACACCAACTGGCAATAATTTCACTCTTAAAGGCTTTCCATCAATCAGAAATTCACGGTCAGTCCCTCGTGTATATAGGGAGTGAGTCGTCTGCCACTGATGGTTGCCATGTTTGCTCTCAACGGATCATTCCTCGGTCTCCACGACGTCTCACAGCAACTCCTCGTTTGCAGGGACCTCCCCCCTCGTTACCAAGACGCCTGGAAGGTCGGAGTTCAGTACGAGGTGGACTGCCTAGTGGGCGTGGCTTCCCTGAGCTCCTCCCACCTTACTTTCTTCGACCTCTGTATCCGAACTTAGTCATCCGTTCTCTGATTTCTATATTCTGTACTGTAGTGACAAAAAGCGAGAGTTATTCCGTAACCATATGCAGACTGGCGTGACAGGTCTGACGTGTTACATCCGGTCCCTGTTCTACCCAGAGACTATGTGGAGGGTGAGAGTGGGGAGGGTGTGAACAGGGGAGACGAGAGAGGGGCGTGGCAGCTCGTCACCAGGTTCTTCCTCAGCGAGGCTGTCAGCTCCGCCCCTCGTTACGCCCATTACATCACTCTTAGGTAATGGAGATAGATAGAAAGTTGGGCTAAAGATTCCTCCTCAATTGCAGACTGAGACTGGACTCTGGTGGGCGTGTCTTCACTCCATACCTCATTGTTGACTATGCAGAATGGGAACCTGACCCTCAGAGTACCGACTCACTCAAGGTGAAACACATTGCATAATCATTACATCATTGACAATGATGTCATCGTAATCTCAGGCTGGTTTTGCTGTGGACTACTCTCAAGACGTGTCCTCGTTCAACACCACTATGTCTGTGTTTGCTGTTGTCATGGCGATACTGGTGGGCGTGGTCTGTGGACTACGTCTGAATGGTTTTCTGAGACGAACTGGTGACCTTTGCTGTACCGTCCCAGTGAGTAGATGTGCCTCCTTTTACCACTTCCCTATTTTTCCATTCTTTCTCATATATACGACCTGAGCTTCTTACGCTAGAGAGGCAGAACGTAGCGTGTTACACACGAAATTTGTGAGCCTATTCTGGATCCAGATGAGTTGATCTATCTCCCCTCCCCCCATCAGGCCTATGTGTTCACAGTGGCCGAGTTCTCAGGATTGATGTCCTCGTGTCTCTTCCTCCTCCTCTCCCTTTCCTCCACTGTCATCCTCATTCTATACAAGGTACGGGGTATGGCAGTATGAGAGTTTGACAGTATGGGGAACGGGGTATGGCAGTATGAGAGAATGACCTCCCTACCCAGGGACAGACGCTGTTTGTCTACACACTACCCACCGGCTCGCAACTACTGGTGTTCCAAATAATGCTCCCCCTCACCTTGCTTGGTCGGGTAAGTTGGTGTTTTCGATTCTCATTTCACACAACTTTTAAGCGGTACCTAGTTTCATGTTAATGATGAAGGTGTTAGTTCGTGGTGCATGGTAATGAGGGAAATTTAGTCCTATAGCGTGTACGTGAGTACGCCTTAGTTGTCCGTCTTCCCTCCATTAGCTGATCAGTGTGGTCCACATGATATGGGGACAATGTAACATCGACATATTCCTCATTGACTGGGAGAGACCTAGCACCGCCCGACAACAACCGACCAATCAGATTGCAGGACATCAGCCGCCCGTGGGGGGCGTGGTCAGCATATGGAGGACATACTTTGTCGCCAATGAGTGGAACGAATTGCAAACTTTACGTCGCGGACTTCGACCTCTGTCCACTCTCATTGTGGGCCTGCTCTTTCTTCAGGTAATGAAATGCCTTGTGACACTATTATTGGTACAATCATGTGTTGGTGTAATTTTGACAATGAATAATCTTACACACACTTGACTGCCTTGTCAATCTTCGCAGGTGATTGGACTGAGGCATTTGGCTGAGAGTGATCCCACAGGTCATGTGACCACGTCGTCATGGCGATACTCGGCCCCTCACTCCCCTCTCCTCAGATTTTCCCTCACTTCCCTCGTCTTCACAGCACTCGCTGTTTCCATGGTAATAACAATGCTGATACGTAACACTCCTATTTCTATAATCCATTCCTCCATCCCCCCATTCAGAGGCTGTATGTGGTTCTGTGCCACGAGAGGTTCGTTGAAGACAAGATACACCAGTTTATCGATCTCTGCTCCGTCAGCAATGTACGTGTCCCATTCCCATACCTCGTGCATGTCTCCAGTCCATTCCACAGGTGAGCGTGTTTATCATGTGGCGCCGTTGCTATGGCTACTACATCGAGGGTCGTTCGGTGCACGGCCGAGCGGACACAGACATGAGAGAAATGAGTGACAACCTTCAGAAGGAACAGGCAAGACCCTCAGCACACAGAGCATTGTTCACACTCACAATGGACAATGTGTCCACACTCACGGTGTGTTTCAGAAAGTGACACTAATTTTGTTCTTTAGGAGGACATGTGTGGTAGGCGTGGCCTAATGCTGAACTCTGACCTCCAGACATTTCAGATTGCACTGACTCGGCAGTTTCGTATGCAATATGACAGAATACTGACTCTGCTGAGGACTGAGGTATGATGTCATCATTACATCATCTCTCCAGTTAAGACGCAATCGGCAGGTACCCGAGGGGCGGGATCAAATAAGGGGCGGAGACAACATGCCACACCCACCAACTGAAAAAGGCGGTGTCTTGGAAACCCGCATTGCAGCCTATGAACAGATGAACTCCTTTCTCACGGCCTTTATAAGTCATGTGAGAGTCATGTTACATTGCTCTCTGATCACATGCTATCACATGATCCACAGAATCTCCAAGGTACAGACTACACTGTGAGGACCAAAGTATTTCTGGAGCGACTTTTGGACTTTGAACTCCGAGGGCCCGAGGATCGCAGTCTGTTTTACGAAGACCCGTCTCCCTCATTCCCACGGCTTCTCTTCCTCGGGCAGGAGTGGTCGCTATGGCAACTGGAGCTCCTGGTGTTTGCCTTTGTGGACATGTTGGCGACAGATTACGTAACAGCCGCCGTCGTCACTGCATTTATCACAGGGGTATATATGTACGAGCTCTCTCTCTCTCTATACAGCAATATGTGGAAACCTCTGAATAAGGGACAATTTGGGGACGATGGAAGTGTCCTGTATTCAGATGTGTTCCTTCTTTGGCAAAGACTAATGTATTAGTATGTGGCAGAACCAAATGTCATCTAGAGAGAGGTGTCCTTTATCCAGAGGGTCCACTCCCTCGCTCATTGCTACTTCATCTCTCCCTCTCTCTCTCTCTCTTGGCAGGTTGTGTCAGTGATACGAGAGGTGCTCAGTCGCAGAAACCTTGCCAACAAGACACTTGTAGACAGAAGATTTCTCATTTAACCTTTTCCCAACTACAATCACACCTTAATACATAATAATAATACATAATTAATGTGGATAAATGGTAGATAATAATATAGCTGCAAATTGGTGGAAAAACTTGTGGTTGGTCGTGGTTTCTACAAAGATTCTTCATTCACGACACTATTCTGTCGGTCGTTGTTTACCTGTTCCCTGGCAACGACCTGGTAGGTGTGGCCATGCCCACTACGGCCGAGCCCACTCTGACATGCAGACCAACACTGACGACAGTGGAAGAAATGTCCGCGAACACGGCGGAGGTACACTGCATACAGGACTGCTCCCAGGGCCACCATCCCGACAGAGATGAAGACAAGGATTGAGAAATGTTCGGGGCGAGGTGCAACTATCACCAGAACATAGTGGAGCATGTCCATCACAGAGTTCATGGCGTTCATAACTCCGCCCACTGCACCCCTTGTTTCCTCGGCAACCGTCTCCTGGACACGCTGTTGAACGGCGAGGTCAAAGATCCAAAGTCCGAAACGAGCAAAAATGATTCCTGCCAGCATCAGAACCAGGGGGAGGAGTCTGTTTAGGCGATTTAGATCCACCGTTGACCCCGACGATGTCGTGCAGTTGGGAGAGGGGGTGGGGCTTGTTGTCAGGGTAACACTGTCTGGGCCAGAGCCGGCTTCTCTGATTGGTCGGAATAAGTCGCCTGACCCATCGCCACTGGAAACAGTGGGGGACGGGGAAGGAATAGGAAGAGTTGGAACATAAGAAGTGGAAAAGGGAGAGAAAAGGGAGGTAGGTGCAGGGGAAGGAAGAGAAGAGGGGAGGTACGGGGGAGGGGAAGGCAGGAGGCCATCACAAACATCATCTGCAGGACAGTGAGCAGAGAAATAACCCTCAGCCATGTTCTCCACTCGCTCGCCTGGGATCACCGCGGCAACCAGACACAGCGACAACATGCCCAGCTGGCAGGAGATTCCAAACATTCCTGTCCTCACCGTCCCAATTCTTCGTCGGATGGACGGGTAGGCGATTGTCCCAGCCACTCCTAATATGGCGCCGACACCCTGCCCTGCACCGATGGCGGAGTTGGGCAGACCTTGAGTGAGGAAGTAGCCGGCAGTGACCCCGCTGAACCCCAGGACAGTGAGGTAGATGACTGCCATGGATACACCGGCAAGAGCTATCTCCTGCCTCCAGTAAGTGCTCCAGCCATATCGTAGAGACAACATTGGTGCTAGCAGTCTGGAGCACCACGTCGGGTGACTAGTGGCCGAGCCCGCTTGACTCTTAACAATTTTTACTTGAGTGTTCTTGTCTTTTTCTTTCTCTTCGTCAAAAATCTTCATCTCTTCTCCTTCTCCAAGAGCACCTTCCTCCGCCTCACCTTCTTCTGCGTCTTCAATGAGTGGCTCATCAGCGGTTTCAGTAGCGGCAGATTTTCTGAGTTTCTTCACAGCGAGTGCGGGGACCCAGCGGTAGACCAACCAGATGAGACCGAGCTCGGCAGAGAAGGAGACGACATTCCAGCTGGCTACGACGATGGTCGTAGTGAGAGGACCGGTGAACTGGAGGATGGCTCCTGCTGCTGCCGGGGCCAGCAACTTGCAGATGAGGTCGATACGACGCATGTTTGCATTCAGACCTACGAGACGGAGATGAAGGGTATTGTAATAAACCACGGGAATAATTATTTCACACACAAGTCAACTTGACTACGAGTATATGGCACCAAGTGAAGACTGATAGCAGCTCTGAGGAGAGAGAATGTAATATTGCTCACTTGCTAGAATATCCTTGTTCTTGTCGGCAATGACGACCACCCAGTCTTTCTCCACAGCGATGGTGTTGACCACTGTCGCCAGGTTGGCAGAGGCCCCGAGGACTATAACTATGGCAGTGAGAATTCCGAAGAGGTAGAGCGGTACGTCACTGCAGAGGTCCAGATTTAGTCCAAACAGAACGGCCAGAGCAACCGAGCAGGCACACACTAGAGTGTTCTGGACCAGTAGGGAGATCCACACAACTGGAGAGTGGGGGAACAAGAGAGCAAGAGAGAAAGTGCACATGAGTAGCTGAGAGGAAAGCAGTGAGAGCAGTTGTTTCGGCCTTAAAAATTGCACTCCCCCTCATATTTTCCACAGAAGGTGAGTTTTTTTTTCAAATTCACATGCACATGATTCTCTACAGCTACATTTCTATGGCTGAACAGTGTTTTTCTGGCACACAGATTGAGCACTCTGCCAAAAATAGAGTTCTGACCTCTCATTCGATGGTTTTGGTCAACAAAGTCCCCGAGGACGGTACCGAGGAGGGCTGGGAGCATGGCGAAGACGAGGCCAAAGACGGCAGGGAGGAGGAGAGAGCCAGGGTAGAGCAACGCCAGCAACAGAGCCACCAGGAACTGCCACATGCGGTCCCCCTGCAGACATTATACAATGTATCTCACTGGCAGCATAATATAAAATAGACACCATTCCCCAATCTGTATAGGTATATGTAACTGCAGTTCAGTGTGCCTCTGCAAGTATGTAGTTCCCCTTTCATTCTATATAGAACAAGACCACCATTGCCCCAAACACACACGGTGGCGTATACCTACACTATGTCAAAGGAGACTGTCCATGAAGGGAGTTGTTCGAATATTTACCCGATGGTCCTACAGTACATGGTGCACGTGAGCTCTGTGTATATTACTGACCCACGCTGAGAAGACGTGGCTGCAGTATAGAGCAGAGAGAACGGCGACTGAACGGCTGCGAGTGCACCTCAGTTTCCCGCCATTTGCACTCAGCCGTGGGAACAGGTCATCTGCAGTAGAGGAGAAGCATCACTAGCTGCATTTGACCTGGGAATGGAGCACGTAACCCACCAAAAACAACCATTTTCCAAGATATTTTCTCTGCTACGGAGTCGTCCACGGCAGCTTTTTCAGGCGCAGGTCCCTTCTCGTCCTCCCACCTCTCGCCGTCTCCTTGCTGCGCCTCCATAGCGCTGGCTGTGGCTAGCTGGGAGATCTGCACCCGAGGCTAGTCAAGAGTCGGGATCGTCGGCCGCCGGTCGGTCGGTCGCGGTGTACGTGTGTGTACGTACGCGGTGCGTGCGCTGCACAGGTCACGTTTTTGTACTCTTGAACTTTGCGCGCAATCGCGCTAGCTCGGTGACGTCACGACTCTCGGACGTGCGCGTAATGTTACGCACTTTTCACGCATGCGCGCGTATCTTGCCTCACTTACTTGTGTGTTTCTTTCTGTCACATGTGTTTGTGTGTGTGTAGCTCAGAAAACCACCTTCAAAAAAGCAACACGTAATTTCACTGTCATAATAATTACATAACATAAACTGTATATATACAGTGACAGCATAATCACATAGAAATCACACCATTTCTTTAACGATGAGGTTCGCCTGTTTACAAAACTCATCAAATAAAATTACTCCTTCTCTCATGAGTTGGGATTTACCTGCGGATTATAGGGGAAAAATATCGTCAATTTACTGATGATGTCATCAATACGGAGACATACCACTCCCTGAAGGGGTTTCCCTTCCTTGGCGTCCAGAAACGACCTTGCAATCTCCTGAGCGACTTTCACCTGAGCCTCAGACGTGCTGGCTCCGAGGTGAGGCGTGGCAACCACTAACTCGTGCTCCACCAACTCTCTATTATATGACAGAACCAGCTCTGACCTGGACCGGAACCTGCTCTAAACCAGACTGACCTGTTTGTGGGTGGCTCAGTCGTGAAGACATCAAGAGCAGCGCCGGCACATTTCCCCTCCCTCAGCGCCTCCAGCAGGGCATCCTCATCAATGATGCCACCTCTTGCAGCATTGATCACTCTCACCTCCGGCTTGCACTGCTGGAACACTTCCTTGTTTAGTAGTCCTGGGGATCAGCGGAATGGAGACATGGGAATAGGGGAATGGAAACATGTGAACCTGACTGACCTGTGGTGGAAGGCAGGAGAGGTGTGTGTACTGTGATAAAGTCAGCTCTGGGCCACAGTTGGCTCAGCTCCACAAACTCAATGTTGAACTTTGCAGCCACTTCCGCAGGAACGATAGGGTCATACCCAATTGTCTTTGGAGAAAAAACAAACACGAGGCAATGGACACAGAAACCTTTGTACTGTGTCCACACCTTCATTCCAAAGGCCTGCATGCGCGTGGCGACTTCACGACCAATTCTCCCCAAACCGACAATTGCCAGGGTTTTCCCCTCCAATTCAACGCCCATGAACTTCTTACGATCCCAGCGCCCCTCCTTCAGCGAGGAGCAGCCCTGGGGAATGTGTCTGGAGAACGGGGGAATGGGATAATGAAATATTTCAAAGACAGGCGAACCTTGCCACGATGATATGAGAGCACATGTGTGTTCTGTGGCACTGATTGTGTTGCCTCCAGGAGTGCTGATAATGAGGTAGAGGTGAGGAACAGTCTCTAGAAACATCCCTCACTTCATGACAATGATGCCCCTCTCAGACGCAGCTGTCACATCGATATTGTCCACCCCAGTTCCTGCCCTCCCGATCAGCTTGAGCCTCCCTCCTGCAGCTATTACCTCACCAGTCACTTTGGTCCCCGAGCGAACTATGAGTCCGTCATAGTCCTGCACATGATCACCTCGTGTGAGCGCCACGAAGTAAGAGATGGAGCATACATTGACACAGGCTAGAAGGTCCTCCTTGCTGATTCCTGGACGATAATCCACAGCAAGTCCTCCTTCAGCCAGGATCGTCTGGCAGGATGAGTCCAACGCGTCGCTTATCAACACTCGTTTCAACTCCACGGCCATTATTCCACACAGCCGGACTGATCGAGCGATCAAACAAAAGATAAACATCCAACAACAACAGGTGGACGGCCACGTGTGACGCACAGTTGACCTTCGTACCACCAGGCATAAGAGGCGTGTTGCAAACGTCAGCAAGTCAGAATGAAGGTGCTGATATTAGCCGCTGGGTTCGGAACGAGGCTACAGAGAGATATCAGAGAGTGTGGGACGCACAAGGAGCTGGAGAATGTCCCGAAACCTCTGCTGCCGGTGTCCGGAAAGCCCGTAATCTCTCACTGGATGGAGATACTCGGGACGTGTCCGGAAACCGGGGGCGACGTGTACGTGGTAGTCAACGACGCCAATTTCGGACAGTTCCAGGAATGGGCGGCGGAGTATCCGACCGTCCGGCTGGTGAGCTCGGGATGTAGCACCAACGATACGAGACCTGGCGCCGTGGCTTGTATCCACATTCCAGTGAAACACTTTGGTATTCAAGACCACCTCTTGGTGATTGGGGGGTAAGTTTCATCTCTTCATCATCGGCTTTAGTTATTTCATTTCCTCACAGGGACACACTATTTTGTGAGGATTTCATTTTGGCGGATTTTCTCGCTGCATTTCGCAATTCTCCAGCAGCTTCGTCTGGTGGAGCATTCATTCCTTACTACACCTGCCCCGACGAAGGTGATAATATTGCCACGTATTCTCTCACTCTTTATCTTGTGGTTTAGACACCGTCAGGCGAGGAATTCTTGAACTCGACGAAAACGGAAAAGTAGTCAGTTTTCTAGAGAAACCTAAACCAACAGACACCACGTCGAGAAAGGCCGTAAGTTTACTAACTCGTCGTTATGATAATGTGCATGGTGCCGATAATATCTGCAGAATCCTTGTCTGTATCTGTTCAGTAAAGACAGTCTTCCATTGATATCTCAGTTCCTTCAAGAAAAGAAGGTAATTATGACTGTGACAGTTTTATTTCAAGAACTTTGTGCAAATTTTTCGCTGAAATATACTGCATTGACAGAGATTCACTTTCCAACAAGCAAATTCGCAACCTGCCAGGTCTTCCCTCTCCCAATTGTCGGTTTTCTTTATTTAGGAGGCTCCAATGAAGGAAAAGATGCAACTGGAAATTTAGTGAAATACCTCTACTCACGGTATATGGCTTCCCACACACTGTCACTCAGTCAATGTTGGCTATTATCATACTGCTTCCAATACTATACCTTTCTTATGATTCGTGCTATTTTTTGTCGTGTTGCTAGGAGACCAGTCTACACCTACGAGATCTCCGGTCGCTACGACATCGGAGGATTGGAATCCTACCTCCACTGCTGTTCTAATTATCGCCCACCCAGCAACCAATCACAGACATTATAACTGATAATTATTTATTTTTTAATGATACTAGGACAGTGAATGTTGAGTACTAGTAATACTCGGGCTCATTGTAAGTGGAGTATAGTTGTGATTGGTGTAGTGAGGGTGGGATGGGGAAGGAGGGGAGGAGGGAAGAGGGGAGGTGGGTGAAGAGGAGAGGAGTGAAGGACACTCGTCCACTCAGCCACGCCTGTTGGAGAGGCAACAACACCTCATCAGCTCAGACTCAGTACAGCTGAGAACTCACAGTGGCCAGCAGAGCTCCATGGCAACAGTTCCTCTGGAATGTAACCATCTGAGGAATGTCTCCGCCTTCTCCTCTGACGTAACCTCTGCAGTCATAAAGAGATGAAGCTAACATCACAAAAACTGCAATGTGTACAGGGTCCAACGCATTATGCAGCAAAATCCTTGGAGAATGGAGTGGTTTTTTTTTAGTTCAGAAAGAAAGGAGAGAGAGACGTACCCGGGTAAAACTTCCACCACCGTCGATATCTTTGTTCTCAACACTGCCACTAGGTTATGTCCAGGACTCTCCTCTATATGAACACACAGTCGGTGATGTAATTGTGACATCATAGGTAATGACTTCATCCCACCAACCGGTGAAAATGATGGCAAGTCTCTCTCCAGTTGAGTCCCAGGCCATGCTCTGAACTGCCCCGCCCACTCTGGAGAGAGAGAAACGATTAGTTGTGAGATCAGGTGGAAAGGCAAGGTTTGGAGCAAGATTGGGGAAACCGTAAGAGCTCAGAGCGAAATAAACATTTTCTCTCAGAGAGTGGCTCACACAATAGGTTCATGTCCACTATCGTCACGATAGGCACATGGAGATAGATCTGCACACTTTACTGCACTCACCGAGCCTGTGTGATCACATGACAATCACACCTACATCACATGGCACCACACGTGTGTTTACCAGCAGTGCTGTTGCCACGGAAACACAGATAATAGAGGGCGGGGTCACCATGGAGAGCAAAGAGGAGGAAATCTCCGTCGGGGCTCCAGCAAGCCACCTGACAACGAGCCTCAGACGTGTTGGTCCACTTCTCACAGGTCCAGTTCCCAGTCTCCCATACTCTCAGGACACCACCCACACTTCCCGCTAGGACACGCCCACCTCTGGGTGCCATGGCAACCAGGTTGACTCCGCCCCCTTCCGTACGACAAACCCGTGTGGCCACACCCATTGGAACATCCCAAACGACGAGGTTTGTGTCAGCCGGAGACCCGGAAACAAGGTAATTAGCACAGGGGCTCCAGGAGATGGTTGCCACGGGAACGTGACCGGGCGACGTCTCGACTCGTACCCAAGAGGTGAGAAACCTGAAATGATAACACAAACTCCATTTGGGAAAATCTGTTTTGAAAGTGAAAAGTGGCAGAGTTATCAAAACTATATACCTGCAGGCCGGTTGGGACGGATCAACAAACCACAGTAACACTCCGACCTTTGACCCCACTGCCAGCAACGAGTTAGCATGAGGTCTAAGAGGAGGAAGAAATTAGCAGCGAAAATAACACCGAGGATACCCCTGAAATTAGGATACCTCTCTAACAAGGACACATTTTCTTTCCCCAAGAACAGTTCTTGCAATAAGGATTACAGACGTTTCTTCAGTGCCATTGCTGTATTATAGTGTATATACTTACGCCCACTGAAGACAAGTGACTAGGCTCTGGTCCCTATCTCTCAGCACTATCCCCGGTTCCATTCTGCACGGAATACAGACACTTGCTTACTAGCAACAACAACAATTGAATAAACCCTGAACTCTGGTACACAACTTTGTAGTGCAGAACAGGAGACTTCAATTACTTTCCATGTAGTAGAACATTATGGGGACACAGGTTATAGCTGGATCAGCACAGACTGTAGCAACAGGTGGTATACACATACCCTGATAGGTCCCTGATTTCAATTGCATCATCCTGCCAGGAGCCAGAGAGAGGAAGAAGAGGGAAGAAGAGTAGCAATACGAGGGAGTGATATTCTACTTGCCTGTCTTGCTAGAGCAATGTATGGGAGTCTTGGGTGCAGGTCCATTGCCCGCACTGGAGAGTTCTCCCTATATAATATATACACCACAAATACTTTCTCTCGTTCTCCTTCGTTCTAGGTCACCAGTCAGGGATTGGAGAAAGTTGGGTCACCATTTCTTTAGCAGTTAGCTGCAGTGTGCGTGTGTGTGTGTGTGTGTGTGTGTGTGTGGGCAGAGATACCATCTCCAACTGAAGAGGAATTGCTTTCAGGTTCCAAAAGAGTGTACATCTTCCGTTTCACAAACACACAATCAACAGGACAAACATCGGAGCCCATGTTTGCCAGCAGAGAGCAGACAAACACCTTGACCCATATTATCAACACTCAATCATATACTCTTAGTCACATACTGACAATAATGTCCCCAACAATGGTATAGAGACACTACTATATATGAGGTGGAACCTCTGAACAATGGATATATACAGAAAATGCCTTTATACATGCATTATACTAGAGATCAGAATCAACTCCTGTATACATTATCCTGTATTCAGAGCGTCCATTAAAGCTGTTTGGGTCCTCTGCATAAACTGTCTTTCTACAGAATTCAAATACCGTTGATTTGTGAGCCAGTAACTTGGTGAAAGCAGCGTCGGCCCATCTCCTGCCAGCTAGCACCCAGGACACCATCCCCTGCACTGAACTACCAGTCAGATCTGTCGGGGTAATTTGTACATCTCACACAACAACAAACACAAACACAAACAATTTTCAACTCAGGGAATTGTGCTATCTTCCCCCCTTCGTCCCTGAACTGTGGTTGACACAAAACAAGGCCAAATGAATGGCGCAATAGACGATAGTGAAAATGACGACTTTCCCTTGCATGGCTGATTGGCAGTACAAACAAGTTTCTGCAAGCGGAAAGAAGGGGGCATTTCTACCATTGCCGGCTGCATACCTGTACACAATTCACAGTTTTCCCTCTTCCAAAACCCAAAAGTTAGCTATATTTCATATTACATCATTCGTTGAAAAGCCAGAGGGACTGGAAGCGAATGTGTTACATCACAAACAGGAGGTATATATGCATACGTGTGTCGACACACACAGCACGCGGATTGCATCGCGCTCTGCCCGGGAACTAACTGGTGTATTTTGCTTCAGTCGCAGAAGTCCCTAGCAGAGCTGCCCCTGGAGTGGGCAGGGAGTGTGTTTAGATAGCAGTGAAAGTTGTCGTTGTAGCAACTAGGCCGTTGGTGAGGGGAATTTGAGAGCGGGGCAAAGCCGGAGGAAGGAAAGAACCTCGTTTCACAATCAGTCAAGTCGTGCTCAAGGTGAGAATAGGGAATTGATACACACACAAAACATAGACATTATTACTTTCAGATCTAGCAAATTGGCATCATTATCCCTCAAGCTGATGTTCAAGGACTTGGTAGTGTAATGTTGAGTGCTGTGCCTCATGTTTGCCTTTTTCAACCACAAAATAGCAGAGCTGACCACAGCTCTTCAAACCTGGGCAGTGTTTACCCTTCATGTCATTAGGCAAGGAGTGAAAATGTGTGCATTAGCTGATGCCCTGCCAGTACTAGCATGGGAATGAGGGAGATGGATGGAATAGGGACTGGTGATGTATATACCTGGGTTTGATGCCACGCCCTCCAGAGCGGGGAAAACCCCTTCATCTTTCCTGAGGGATGGAGAAACCCGTGTTTGAGTGTCGAGATCGAGATGAGCGAAGTGGGAGGGGCTAACCAAGTGTTGAGGAATCTCTTCAACCAGTGCTCCGAGACTGGGAGGAAGTGGTGGGAGGGATCACGTGCGTCACCCGGAAATGAACTCACAGCAGTATCAACATACATATCAGGTATGGCCTATAATAATACACAAGAATTCAACATTCCATGCACGTGAGACGAGCTCACAGGGAGTGCTGCAAACTGCGGCTCATCTCCCTCCTCTCGGACCAGGAACCTGCACTCCACCTCTCCCACCGTCAGTTCTCCAGGCCGCGGGGGAGGCTCGCTCGCCTGCAGCAGAGACATCCAGAACTCTCTCGGTTTCTTTGGCGCAACTGCGCGTGCGCGTAAAACACGTGGGATTTCCCCTCAGTCTCGTTTCTTCCGGCCATGTGCCTGTAGCTAAAAAGCCTAGGTGATATAGTTGGTGTTCAAACTATACGAAGAAGACGGCGGGCAGCGAGAAACCCCAAGTCTCAGTTTGAGAGAAAGACAGCAGAACGCGGGACGCACGTGATCTCGACGACCGGTGAATTGCTGAGTGCTGAATCTCGGTGGATGGCAACGGGAGGATCGAGGGCCGGCCCAGGAGGACGGGCAAACGGCAGGAACTACTCTCGTCTCGAGTTGCAGAACACGGCAGTTATGGAGGAACTCTACCGCATACATCTCTCGGAGGAGCTGGTCCGTGCGAATGGTCTCGGCAGCAAGTTGGAGCGAGAGCCCGCGACGACCGCCGGTGCTGGTGTCGAGCTCAGCGAGGAGGAGAGGCAGACGGCGGCCGATGCGGCGGAGAGAATCACGCGAGTCATAGCCCGCACACCGGGCATCAGGGTCGAGAGAACCGTGAGGGACTACAAGAGTGAGAACGGCGGCTGGGACGTGAACGCCGACAACGTCGAGTCGGAGTTCAGGGAGGTGGAGAGACGGACGTTCTCCGATGGCGTTCACTGGGGAAGAGTCATAGCTTTCCTCGCATTCTCCGTGTCGTTTGCTGCCTATGTCAGCAGTCGCGGGATCCACGGAGGAGCTTATAGCGTTTTCAACTGGACGACGAGAGTTCTAAACGACAATCTCGCTGAGTTCATTCGGAGAGAGAACGGCTGGGTATGTGACAGTATTATAACTATTCTCTAGTGAGAATACTATTGTGTGTGAGGGCATAGCTATTGTATTCATCGACATGAGACATTACCCTGGAGGTCAAACTGTGTGCTTGTTCCAAACATTGTGTCCTTGCTTCGTGTCAGTTGGAGCGGAGTTTGTTTTTAGAGAGGTTTAAATCCACATTACCATCCGGTGGTCTCCCAGCTGCGCCCAGCACCCCCTCCCTCCTCCCCTCCACACACCTCGCTGGTGGTGTAGATCTCCTGTACCCAATTCAATTTGGCAGAAACTAGAATACCCCAACTTGTCCTCATTATACCAGTTCGGAGAATGACTGTGGCACTTATAGATTACCATATTTATGGCATTACATCATTCATTCACAGCCTCATTGGCTGCACTTTACAGGTTTGAGCTAACTGCTACTTCCTATTCTTTGTAACACTTCCCTTTCTTGTATATGCATGCTCAGGACATGCACAATTGGTCGTTGGCTGAATTTAGTCTAAGGAAACGTCTAGAAGCTTCTTAAAAATCTGTCTCTTCCGCAATTTATATAGTCTGTGGTTGAAGTCATGTGCTCGTGAGAGGAATTTTGATTATGTGGAATTCATTATCGTGTTCCAGCTGCCATTACATTCATTGACGTCTCGGTATGCTTTTGCCTGTCGCTAGCTAGTCTATGGCCACACACTATTACAAAATGAATTTGACAATTTTTGAACTTTTTCCAAGGAATCTTGCGTCAATCTAAATGCGTCACCTTTGGCCTTCGCTGGCTCAAAGTTCATTTCTGTGAGTTAACTCCCTAATTAAATATTTCCGCCCAGTGTTTGTGGTCAAAACTATGCGTGGTATGCCAGACATGTAGTTATAATTAGGGAGGGTGTTTCCTGTTCCATAGCAATGTGTAGACTGATAGGATTTACTGGAATGTCGCAGAAGAGAGCAAGTGGGTAGAACGCGACGTGATTTGGCTCTCAAGGCAACTCTCTGCGGTGTATTAATCACTGACCATACACAATGGATGAGTGCAGTAGTTACAATATTAACCTGCAGTCCAGCCGATGTTCTACTGTAATTGGTGGTCAGTGGTGTTCTTGCTCAACCCTAGGCCAGTGTGTGAATAACTCTTCAACAGTAGATGTGTTTGGTTCAGTCAGTGTCATGAAGAGTCACATGTCAGTCTTGCTTGTCAAACTGCAGCTCCTCAGCTGTGTGCTGTTAGTGTGTGTGTGTGTGTGTGTGTGTGTGTGAAGGTGTACAGCTGGTGTTAGCTCCTGGCAAAGTTAGAATAGCTACCATTGTCCCTTACTGTTGCCTGGATGACTTGCCAACATAATTATATACCCAGACCTCAGCCACCATTCAACTCTCTCTTTGCTCCCTACATCTCCCCTGTCCTCAATTACCCTGGTAACTAAGAGTTCTCTCTCTTTCTCTCGTTGTTGCAAAGAGATAGCAGCTGTCTCTGGGGACTGCGTGCCATTTGCCGTAGGAACAGAATTTCGGCGCCACAAAAATGACAGCAATGTTAACGCCACATATCAGATTTGCTCAAATATAGATCGGCTATAAATAGTTTCAACCGCAGGAAAACTGATAAATCAGCAGCTCAGCGCCGTCTGGCTCCCACCCTTTGTCCTCTCTCTCCTTGCACCATCCACCAATTTCTTTGTGTAAGGTCTCAGGGTGCATGGTATACTGTCCATAGGTTGAGGTAGAGGAATGAAGGTTTCTTTGCCTCTGCAGCAGTTGCACAGTCAGTGTGTGTGTGACCTGGAGAATGCCCAGTCCATCACTACTTCATCTCTAACTCTGTAATATAGCTGCCTGTTAGTGTTGATCTGGCTCCCCACTATACCACCAACATTCCTATAGTTCTTAGCAGGTGCAGTACACGCCAGGGTTGCACATACAAAATAGCTATAATTATAGTTTTCAACACAAAACTTTTCCCAGTGTTTGGCTGCATTATCCACTGCTTATCCACTGCTTATTTTGACAGCATGGTAATGTGCATTCTATGTATACGTTACGCATGCCTCGTTGACCTTTTCTCTCTCTCCCCCTCTCCTCTCCCTCCCTCCCTGTAGCGGGGGCTCATCAGCTATGCAGACACCCTCCTCAGAGCCCAGGAAAGGCAGCAGAGGGAAGAGGTGGACCACCCAGCCCACAGACCTCAGCAAAGAGGGGTGTGGGACGCCGTGGCAGGCATCGGTGTCATCGGAGTGGGCACTCTCCTAGCCATCGGAATGAGACAAGCGTTCTCATAAGATCTCGTCATATTATTATGGCAGTCTGTGTGTGTGTGTGTGTGTGGTGTGGCTCAGCTGTAATTGTTTTTCATTTAGGCAACTGATTAGGGACATTTGAATCAAGATAAATCACCATTTCAGCTCAGTACGTGTTTCTGTACGTCACCAATTATTAGCTTTTCATTATTGCTCTCATTTTATACATGAACTAACCCATCGTTGTCATCACCATCTTGTGCATGTCCACCCATTATATAATAGCACAGGTTTTTCATTTATAATGACCATATTATCCCAAGATTTGCTATAAATTTCCCCACATCATCCAAAAATTGAGCTATAATTTTGATTTTTCGGCGGCGCGCATGCGCAGCGAGGGTTGGTCCCCCGCTCTGTGTCCGTCCGTCCACGTACCACCCCACCACGCGCGACAAACAGCGACACCAACGGGTTCAGCGCTATATACACTGGCTTCATAATATTTAAAATGGCGACTTTGTAAAAGTGCCGCGTTCAGAAGTTATGGCATGAAAACCAAGTGAACAAGCCAATATGCAAATTAGCACAGGCTCGACTGGGTCCGCTTGCTCTGTGTACCTCGGAGGCACAAGAAATCGACTCCCGCATGCTATCTACTATTGTAGCTAGCCCGTCCGTGTCAGACTCTCCGCGAGCTACTCCAGCGAGTAAACGCATACTACAAATAGCCCCAGCCCATCAATTAGCGGTACCAAGTAATGGTGGTGGTCTGATGGATAAGCACCCCCTCTCTTGATCGTGAGGTCCCTGGTACATGGTTCGATCCCGGGTGTGTACGCCTTTTTTACAATGATGTAATAGGAGTGTTGGTATATATGGAACGTTTTTTCATTACCTCTCCAGGCCAGCCCGAGTGGCTAGGTGGTTAGAGTCGTGGGGACTGACACCATAGTCGTATCCTCGATCCCGCACTAAAATGTCAGATGGTCCAGAACATTACCCACAAATCTACCACTGACCCATGTTTCTCAAAGGGCAGCGTACAGTTCGGCATAGCACTGCGTCCGTAGACGTCTGTCTGGAGAGATGAAGGGCTGGCCGTTTTTTTTTCAACCTTAGTTTTTTTTTTTGCACTAAACAATCCACGGGTAATACGAAAATTAATAGAGAGATGAAAGGTTGGCAATTTTTCAACCTTATATATATTTTTGGCCTCAAACAGAAATAGGGCTGGCCATTTTTTTTGGTACATAACATGCTGTTCTTTTTGATGCATGGTCAAGACCATCAATTGTGGTGGTGCCACACTTGTGTATGGGTTCCACGTTTCTATATAGTGTGCCGAGGGTTTGCACTACTTTAGTGCTTTTCATTTGCCTGGCAACTGTTGCCTGCCAGGTCGTGTGTGCAGTTTATAGTCTGTGTCTCGGTACATACGTCACCAAATTGCTCGATCCCATGACCCCATTGCCATCACCATCATGTGCATGTCATGTGACCAACTGAACTTCACCGTCAATAGAACAATGTTATTCCTTGAGGTATAATTGCAGAAACATTCATAACAGATGATCACATGGAGGCAGTTACCCCGGAGTGTTAGGTCACATGATGGGCAATTTACCCCGGAGTGCGAGGTACCCCGTTACAATATCAGGAGGGAGAGAGCGAATGGTTCTAAATTCTTCACTGGAGTGAAACAGTAGTCCACTCAGTGGGTCTCGGTACTTGCCCTACATGGGATGATGATGATGTCATGAACACGTGACATGAACTTTGAACTCACCACAAGGCCCGAGAGGTCGGAGTACTTTTTGGCTGGTTTCAGAGGAGGCGGGGCATCCAGACTGCTGACTGTGTGGGGGTCAGAAGTCACATTGAGACTGTGATGAATTCCACCGTTTTCACTTGCTAAGTGAAAATATACAGGGAATAACATTCAAACACTGTCGCATGCAGTAAAGTTGCGCCGACTGAGGCCACGCCCAGTGGGCGGGGTTTCTCACAAGTGGGGTCAGTAGGTCTCCACTGGAGACATCTCTCAGCTGCCAGCACTTGCTTGTAGCTCCTCCACGATCTCTTCTTCCCTGCCAGGAACGAGAACTACCTGCAGATTCAGCCAATTCCAAACAACTCCAGACTTACGGTGAAATCTGGTCTCTTGAACTTTATTTCCACTGTCAGGGGTTTCCTGGACCCCGCGTCTTTGGTCCCCTGGGGGGCAGGTTCGGGAGCTACAGACGGAGGGCCGTCCCCCGAGCTGCTGGCAAGAGTAAGAGTACACCCAGCCTCGCCGCTGCCTGCTGCTTCGCCCTCTCCAACGCTCAGCCTGTTCTCCACGATGTCGAACGACACTCGGAGGCCCTTTCTTTTCGACCGAGCGTTCCCCTTCCTTGTTTTCTCAACCGCCTCCACGGATTTTCCACCCGAATTCCGTCTCCTGCTCTTGGCTAGTGGAGCTGGCGGCTCCTCTGATGCCTCTTCTCTCTCTGACGCCTTTCGACTTCTCTTTCTACTACTTCTCTTCTCCATTTATAAATTTCTCCGCGCAGCGCTTAAAGGGTTAAATTTTCTGTAGTTGCCACGGTAACCAATATACACAAAATTGCCTACGGTGCAAAATGGCGACAACGAGTGCATCGGTAAGAGCGCAGCAGGACCAGATACAGGCTTCCCGCGGGGCCTCGGCGTATTTCCAGCTGTTCGACAAGTACACACTCCACGGAGCCGTCCCCCAACGAGAAAGCGGCTGGCTCCTGGGCGAGAAGACCCACGAGATAATGGAGGACCTCTCTCCACACGTACCCATCCGACCTTTCTCTCTGCCCTGCGGCGAAAGAGACCCGTGTGCGTTGTTCATTCCTCGCGAAAACTCCACTCCGCTACGTCTTGCAGAGCTGAGCCGCATCCTGTGGGAGCTGTCGGTCGGCGTGTACGTGTTCAACTCGCTACCGAGTATCTTCCTGCAAGGCAACCACGACCGGAGTAGTTCCGCCGTTATCCCCGCCGCCTACCGAGACGGGCTGATTGGAACAGCGCTGTTCGAAGTCGACTACTTCGTCAAAAGTCTCCTGCACGGTACCACCATTCCTCAGTCCCGACAGAGAGAGGAGATTGCTGGGAAATGGAGAAAGATGCAGCCCAACTCCGTGAGACAGAGCTACAAAGACCTCGGGATGGTGTACATGATAGACGATCCACAGCTAGGACACGACCTGTACGAACCAAAGAAAATTCCTTTCGTTCGACACCCTCCAAAGTTTGTTGACTCGGACCTCGCTCACAGTGAGTTGGTCCCCCGAATTACGACAGGAGAGGAGTTCCAGCAACAAGCTGCTCACGTCAGTCGCGACGTGTTTCTTCGATACCTCGACACCGTCGGGATTGGTCTAGTCTTTGTCCAGGAGAGTGTACAGCAAGATAGCGGGGTCTTTGTTCTCAACCCCACAGTTAGCGTGACTTCGACAGTGTCGTCGATGACAGAAGACGTCAGTTCAGACTTGCATCGCCACCTCGCCTGCTACCTGCAGAATCAGCACGACTTTGTGATGGAGAACCTGCGGAAGAAGAAAGAGATCGCTCACTATATCGACCTTCTCTGTTTCACGTCGTTCATGGCACAGTTTCTGGTGACTCTAAAGCACCACAATAAGACTGTTTCTTTCGCTGATTTCCCAGAGGCCAAAACTGGCAAAGTTCTCCACACGACTCGAGAAGTTCCTCCAGTTCTACCAAGTGAGAGCACACGATGGTCTCCCTTCACTGCTTCTGACAGCTTCTCAAGTCTCCATGGTGGCATCGTCTTCCATTTGCCTCAGCTAACACCCCACACTCCAGGTACAATCACTATTCTCCAACTCTACTGTACATGTAACATACTGCACACTGTATTTCGGATTTTTGGGAAGAATAGAATTGTCCATATTCAGCACATTGATTTTCATTAACTCTCTAAAATGTTAAAGCCCACCAATTTTTCACCAACTTTTCCTACAGATGGTGATTTCGTGAGAACCTACAAGGAGATGAAACTGTCTGGAAGTCTAGAAAACCATAGAGATCTCGCCACGTGTGAGGTTGCAGGAAAGTCCTACTATGTCATGGAGGTATCTCTGGAGGACTATTACCTCAGATCCCCCAAACTGCCTCGCTGGGTCCACTGTATGACCGCGGAGTTGAGGTCACAGTGTGCCCGACTTCCCTCCCTCAACCCCAGAGTCCAGGAACTGCTGCGGAGGTCGCATGGCTCAAGAGAAGCTGCTGGGATGCAGACAGCTCCAGTCCAGCTCCTGGGGGCCGTCAGGAAAGGAATCCTCCCACTCGTATCGCTTCTCCTAAAGAGATGTACGAAAACCCATTTGAGGAAACTGGACGAAGCCGGCTTGGGACTTGTGCACTACGCAGCAGCTCACTGCTACTGTGATGTTCTCTCTCTTCTGCTAGTTTCAGGGTGCCCTGTAGATCAGGCAATAGAAGGAACAGCTACACAACCAATCCATCTTGCCGCACAGTCTGGAGGGTTGGACACCATCTGCTGCTTGCTTCACTTTGGAGCTGATGTGTTGGCTTTAGACAGCGGACGATGGGCACCGATACACCACTCTGCCTCTCGCAACTTCCACATAGTCGTCTCACATCTCTGCAGCATACAGGACAAGTGTATAGATCTCAAGACAGAAGATGGTATTGCAGCCACACCACTTCTACTGGCGGCTAAAAACGGAGGGTTCGACACAGTCAAGTGTCTAGTGGGTCTCGGAGCTGACATCACAGCGAGGGATGGTAGCGGTCGCGGAATTGTCCAGCTCTCTGCTCTTCATCATCACATTGACATCCTGCGATACCTCGTCGACCTAGCAAGACCCGATACCCCAGTCTTTCAGCAGTTGTCAGAGATGTTGGCGGCAGGTGAGACTGGGTTCTCCGAGGCTGCCGCACGATCCCTGGACCCACTGACACAGTGGAGAACAGAGGAACACGCAGCCGCTCTGCTCACACACGCTGCAATCCCGGCCCTCGTGCAGCTCCTTGGGAGGAAATCAGACGATAAAGTCCAGCACCTCTCTGTGCAAGTCCTCGCAAACATATCCTCAGAGTCTTCAGTCAAGTCAGCTCTAGCCAATGCAGTGCCTGCTCTGGTGGGTCTCCTGGTGTCTTCCAGTGAGAGGGTCCAGGCCTGCTCCTGCCTGGTCCTCTCCGATCTTGCCATGACTCCCGACAACCAGGCCTCCATTGTGCAGGCCGGGGCCCTGCCTCGTCTGGTGAAACTACTCAACTCAGATGCAGACAACGTCCAGCTTTTCGCTGCAGCATGTCTCGGGATCTTGGCCTATGACTCTCCGTCCAACCAATCCAGCATTGCTTCAGCCTCGGGCCTCGAGGCACTAAAACCTCTACTCTCTTCAGATCTGTCCTGCATTCAATCCACCGCAGCCAGCACTATTAGAGCAGTGGTGGAGGAGAACCGAGCCTGCCAGCTGGGAGCGCTCTCAGTCGATGTTCTCCCTCAGCTGGTTCACCTCCTGAGATCTAAGGAGGTCTCGGTACACACCGAGGCAGCGCTAGCCATCGAAGCAGTGGCAGAGAACTGTCAGGAGGCGCAGCAGGAGCTGCTCGGTAACTCCACATGTATCTCGCTGCTCAAGAGACTCCTGAGAATGAGGAGCTCTAAGGTGGCAGGGGGACGTGCTCTGTGGGCCATCGCCGGACACCTCATCAGCAACCAGCGCGTCATTGCAGCTCACATGGGGCTGAACCTCCTGGTCAGCATGCTCACCATTCACAATGAGAAACTGGACTTTGTCTGTTCCGAGGCTCTGGGGGCTCTGGCCACAGAGCTAGGGGACAACCAGAAGAAGATAATGGAGGTCGGAGGAGTCAAACCTCTGATAGAGGTCCTCACCATCCCAACTTCACAGAGAGTCTATCTCAGCATCATTAGCACCATCTCCAAGCTGATTGTGAAGCCAGCTCTTCGGCCAAACAAACAGTTGCAGAGAGAGGTTGTGAAGAGCCGAGGATTGCCCGTGTTGGCTGTGCTGGCATGCTCACAGCAGTCCACCGAGATAGTGAGAGTCAGTGCAGGGTGCACTCTGGCCATGCTCTGTCTGGAGAGCCCGGAAAACGTGGCTTTCCTCAGGTCCAACACAGAATTCTCGATGGACAGAATCTTTGAATTCTTGTCTTCCTCTGACCCCACGGTGCAGATGAGAGCAGGGCAGAGTCTGGCCACCCTGGCCTTCAACAACCCCGCGCAGCTGGCTCAACTGAGGCAACGCAGCTCAATCCACGTCGACTTCTTCCTCTCCTTCCTCCATTCACAAGACGAGAGCTTCAGATGCTGTGCGGGGTTCCAGCTGGCAGTTCTTTCCAAGATTCTGACTGGTATCGGAGATGCCGAGGCAGTAGTCAAGAGTATCAAGGTTCTAATCAGCCTCTTGTCCTCTGAGACTGAGTCGACACAAGTCCTGTCTGCCTCGTTCATCGCATGCCTCGCCCACTCCAGTCCGGGGGTCCCTGAGGCACTCGTCATGGCCGGAGCCCTTGACCCTCTCATTAGCAACCTAACGAGTGGGAGCGGCCCTGTAATTGAGAGCTGCTGTGTCGCTCTGGGTTACTTTTCGTTCCACGTAATGGCAGCGAGGCTGATGAAGGGAATGTTCCGAGACCAGCCTGAGAAGTTTGAAGTTTTCCACGAGTACTGCTCGTCCATTGCGGTGTCAAAGGAATTCCTCACTGACTGGCAGTACACTGAGAGAGCAGGGCTACCAGTCCTCAGGTGGGACCCTGCAGATTGTCCATTCCTCGCACTCACCTCTCTCTCTCTCTCATTTCTCTCCTCAGTCTGGAGTGCAGGGGAGGTCCACCTGCCAATGAAGGGTGGAAGACCATTCATCAACGCAGCTCTTCAAGAGTGAGAGGTATATAAGCCTCCTATACAGCAGCTCACCGTCAACACTAGGACAACACCCATGCACACTATATAGTGGCATGTGATTTTCTGGTTCCAGTAAAGCAATCAGCATTCTTTGCTCAATAGCAACTTTCACTGTGTATATATCTGCAGGGACTGGCGAGAAAGGGAAGATGAAAATGGCGTCGCTTGCACAGCCGTCAACCCTGACACAGGGTACAGAGTTCAAGTCCCACTCCACACTGCAGAAGGGTTCAACGGCAGCAGAGAGCACAGCAGCTGCCCTACCTCGTCAGGCGGCCCTGCTGACTTTAGTCACCGAGGTCTCGTCTCACACTCCTCGTGGTCCTCTCACTGCCAGGAAGGCGGAGTTAGAGAGGAAGAAGATGGGGTCAAAGGGTCATCACCATAGCGTTCCCAAGGCAACAAACATCCAGAGCATCCACATTGAAGGAGCTCATACATGACAGTTCCTTGAATTGGTTTTGTACAACATTCAGGTGTTCTTGTAAAAATTAGTTTTGCAGTTTTTGTGTTAATATAATCACTCCATTTGGGATTATTGATGTGACATTCCATTTCACAAATGAATGAAATTAGATTTCAGCAAAAAACAAAACCTGGTGTAAAACTCTCTGTAAGATAACCAACAATACAAACATCATGTGGAGAGTTGGTGGATCATGTGACAGTGCAGCTGCCACCCCCACACCAGCTGACATCACTGGGGGGCGGGGCCAGAGGGTCGAGGGTTTGTCTGTGTTCCTCGGCTGAGTAGAGAGATGGAGTCTGGAGAATCTTCTGGACCAGTTCCTGGAACGCTTGCTGGACACCGTCCCTTGTCTTGGCACTGAGCCAATGGAGAGAACATTGCTACAATTATATATAGCTGTCACACACACACACACACATTATAGTGTGTGAGCTATATTATACTGAGAACATTCTAGAACAAGTGTGTGCATGTGTGGGTGGATTTAAATCGCTAGAAAAGAAAAACCACATTATTATATATATACCTGGCCTCGATGAAGAGCATGGAATTCCTGCGAGCAAACTGGAGACCATCTGACCTGGAGACCTCTCTCGACTCCTTGTCAATCTTGTTCCCCACCAGCATCTTGACCAGATCCTTCTTTGTGGCATAGGTGTCCAGTTCATTCAACCACGTCTCCAGGTTCTGGAAACTACCTCTCGAGCTGACGTCATACACTGAACACACAGACAGTATGGCCTGTGGTAAAATGTAGAATATTCACTGAAACTTACCCAATATGACTCCGTGTGCCCCGCGGTAGTAACTGGGGGTCAAAGTACGGAATCTCTCCTGCCCGGCAGTATCCTGAGGTCAATTAATTAGCATACCAGCCTGTCCAATAAGCCACACCCACTCACCCATATCGAGAGTTTGACTCTCTTCTGGTCCAGGACGATGGTCTTGACTTTAAAGTCGACACCTGCAGAGACACAAAGTGCACTAATGAACTCCTCCCGTGACGGCTGGGGTCTCACCTATGGTAGCTGACTGGTCTGGGTCAAAGGTGTCGTTTACAAACCTTAGCAGAAGGCTGTGGTACGAGAAACGAACGCCAGAATATATCTGTGCTTTGTCCCAGATAAATCTGGTTACCTTGACTTCCCTATACCACTGTCGCCGATTATCAACACTTTCAAATTCACGTTCTCCATCCCCGAACAAATCCGCTTTGTTGATTCGCTGAATCGGCCGCGACGAAAGGGTTAAATGTGTTTGCAGCTCATCTGCGCATGCGCGTACGCGTGCATCTTGTGTGATCGGTGGGGGAAAAGGCGAACGTGGTGAGTGTATCAGTGAACATCGAGGAGTGAGAGAGTTTCAGTGAGGCGGGAGAGCTGCGGACGTGTTGTGGAACTTCTTCTCTTCCCGTCCGTACGAGTAGGTCTCAGCTAAGCCATGGGGAAGATCATGAAACCAGGGAAAGTGATCGTGGTACTGGGCGGGCGGTTCGCGGGGAAGAAAGGGCTTATCGTCAAGACCCACGACGAGGGAAGCAACGACCGTCCGTACGGACACGCTCTGGTGGCCGGTATCAACAAGTACCCCCTGAGAGTCACCAAGAAGATGGGGAAAAGAGGGTAGCAAAGAGAACGAGGATCAAGGCATTTCTCAAAGTCGTAAACTACAACCACCTAATGCCGACCAGGTAAGCAGGGGAGGGGGTTGTGTGTGTGTGTGTTGAGAGTTGTGTCCTGCAGGTACTCGGTAGATATCCCTCTCGACAAAGCCGTCGTCAATAAGGATTCACTGAAGGACCAGAAAAGCCGAAGGAGAGCGCGAGCAGAAATAAAGAAAAAGTTTGAGGAACGGTGGGTTGTGAAGTGTAAATGGTTTAGTGTTGCATGTATGTGTATGTCCTGCAGGCATAAGACTGGGAAAAACCGCTGGTTCTTCCAAAAGTTGCGATTTTAGTCTTGTGTATGATAGCTCTGTAAAATATTGTTCTAATTAAGCGCCCGTTAAAGAAAATTTGAAACGGAAAAAGCGTGTGTGTCCGGTCCTCTGTCCGACGCCGCCTCCTAGCAGTGATGGCTGCTGTGTGCTCTGGCTGCTGGCGAGTTTTTCGCAGTGCCGAGCCGACCAGGACGCTGTGTGCAGCTGGTGTAAGGTGACCGTCGTCTCAGGGACGGTGCCGTAGCGATCCTCGTTTCTACGCACTGCAGAGCATTGTCATGTCGCAGAGAAATGAGCATGTTTCCGGAGCTGCCGGACGTGGCGTCTCTGGTAGAGAAACGGAGAGAGTTCTCAGAGGAAAGGATCCTCGGGTACTCACCTGAGGGAGTGTATGATGTGGTGGCAGACCTCAACAGGTGCAGTTGGTAAAGACACTGCTCTAAGCCACCAGAGTGTGTGTGTAGGTACAAGGAGTTCCTGCCGTGGTGCCAGGAGTCTCGCTATATCAGAGAGGGGCCAGAGAGGAGCTATGGTCAGCTCTCCATTGGCATCCCTCCTCTACTGGAGAGATACACGGCCATGGTCCTTCACAGCAGACCTACTGCTATCAGGGTTAGCTACAATCGCATTCTCTGAGCATTCAGTGGCCAACCAAATTCATGTGGAGTTAGAGCTCATTGAGCACAGAGTTTGATACTCAAACGTAGCAATAAGTTATGAAATCTCTTTCCCTTGTTTCTCTGACTATAATATCTGTTCAGACGATAGCAACAGATGGCACACTGTTCACTAGTCTTGAGAACCACTGGCAGTTCAGACCTGGTCCTCCCACTGATGCTGGCCCAACATGTCTCGTCAACTTCTGGGTCAGTGCTATAGTTAGTATCCTTGTTTGTGTGCTGGAAACTAGCTTTATTTTTGTTGTATAGTGAACACAATTTCAGTTACCATAATGTTGTGAAGATTTTTATCATTGTTGTTGTGGACTGGAAATTGTCTGTTGTGTTTGCAGGTAATGTTTGAATTTCGCTCAATTGTCTATGCCAAGTTGGGAAATATTGTGTTTGATGAAGTCGCTCGCTCTATGGCTGCATCGTTCGAGAGACGCTGCGAAGCATTGTATGGTCCCAGCCACCTGCCGACTAGGGGGCGGAGCTTCAGAAATAGACTCCACCCCACCAGAACAAAAAGAATAAACCAATGTTCTAGTATGTTTTGTGTTATTTATTTTTCAGCACACATACAAAATGAATGATGAATGATCAAGTGACTAGATCAAAAAAGCTGCGACAAAAAGTGCATCTTCCCTTTGAAAGAAGGTGACTGAACCATGATCCTGCAGCATTACATCATTGTGAATTTGGTCTAAAATTAGTAACACACCATTTGAGGCGGTGGGGAGGGAAAGTGGATTGTGGGAAACGGCTCCACAGCCACGGCAACAGCCACAGAGGGAGCTAGTTGCCAGTAGCAATGTGACACAGCACCTCTCTGAGCAGATGGAAATAGTCATGTGACATCACATGAGAGTCACATGATCACTACTGACCCCAAGAATGTCCGTTGGCACAAGTCTCACTCCGAGGGTTTGTAAAGAGGGAATAGCTGGGAGGTGTGGTCAACGAATTAGACATAATGAGAGAAGAGAGGTCTTATATACCTGTGTGGCAGACTGGACATGTTTCAGTCTCCGGTCCATTCTCCAGTTGCCATGCACACGGTATCTATGACGATGAGCTCCAACGACATCACGACCAAATATGGAAAACTCACAATCCCGGCGACTGGCAATATATGGGGCGGGGCAAGATGACTAGACTCCACCCACTGACACATTATCTTCAAAGACACTGCAGCGGCAGAGATCAGCAGTATACCAGCTGTTTAATGAGTTTTTCGAACTAAGCAGAAATGCATGCGCAATAATATTGTGTGACGGTGTTGTCAAATTCAGTTAATTAATGGTCACATTTGGTGTGTTTTCCTTTCTCCTCCTCCTTCACCCCACACTCCCCTAGTACCCTCAGTACATGTTCCATCAGCACACCTCCCCATCCTCCCTTGCGGCAGATGACTGGGAGTAAAGACACAGTCGAAACACTGTGGCAAGAGGATCTTCCACAACCTACTGGTATGTTTTCGGGCAACGGTTGCTTGGAAACACGGTGCTGTCTTATGGCTTCCCAGAAGTCCCATGACACACTGACTGAGTGAGAGGATCAGGTGGCAATAAGTAAGGTATTAGTGAGCAGTCATATACCAGTGTTTGGATGAATGTGGGAGAGAGGAAGGAGGGGAGAGAAATGAAGGTGACTGGTGTTCTTTTGTTTGCTGGATACTGATGCCCCACCCTCACTGCAGATGAGGAAGACAAAATATTGTTGTGGTTCCATATTTGCCTACAGTAGGCAAGACCTTGTGAGGAAGGCAGCAAAGAGTCCATGTTCAGAGACTGCCAGACCCTGCATCTGCCTCTCACCACACACCGTCCCTATCTCCACTGCCGTCGGGGTCACATGACTCTCATGTGATCCAGTTGAGGTCACATGACTCTCATGTGATTCAGTGAGTGTGAACTTTGCAACAGATCCGTCCAGAGAACAGGAAATGAACTGGTTTCCATGGAGACAGGTCAGCCCTGACACTGAGCGGGAGTGGACTCCATATATGGTAATATGGGTCGGTCTATCCTCGGATGGGACAGGTGGAAGTTGCACCGCAATAAGAGTTGAAGATTTAGCAAACACAAGCCATGGCAGCTCCTCCTATGACAGTACACACACACAGGCTGAGAATGAAGCAGAGGAAGAAAAACAAACGTTTGTCGGATGTAGCTGCCATGCAATGTGTCTAACTGCCATCCCATCTTCTTCCCCCCACACCACCGTGATATCTGGCTCTGCCCATTGATTAGCTCCGCCCCATTCTGTCGGCAGAGGCCACGAGAGAATGACCAACTTTCCCCCGTTCTTCCCCACTGCCAGGTGAACCTCTAGAACATGGGTCAGAGGTCACTGACTGTGGGAGAGGGGTTAATGTCGACTTACTCCCATCAGCGGAGTGGGTGTGGTTCCATCTCAATCTGCATGGCCATCCATCTCCTTCCACCTGCCCCTCCCACACTGCCTGCCAATCTGGCTCTCTGTGAGACAGTACAGTGGAATGGGACCTCTCTAATCCGGACACCAATGTGACCGAAGAAAGTGTTCATATTTAGTGAGGTGTCCTATTTCAGGGTTAAACTGCATGCAAGAACTGTTCTTGGGGAATGAAAAGGTGTTCCTATTAGAGAGGTGTCGTCATTTCAGGGGTGTCCTTGGAGAGGGTTTCGACTGTAATGGAAAGGAAGGGTGGGATTGGAGGTGTATATAGACCTGCTCCTGTGAACTGGCACCGTCAAAGCTACCACTCGGATGCAACTCCTTGTTGCCAAGGCAACGAGTGCAACTCCGCCCACTCCATTCTTGGCAGGAATGATATGCTGAAACCAGTGGAATGTGGTGTACCTCTGAAATTGAAATATCATTCAGATTTCATCTCCAAAAATGGCAGCATATTCTCACGTATTTGTTTGGCTCTGGTCCATTAAGGTTTGTGGAAACGTGCCATTTCATGGCTTGGGACCCAGGGGGGGTGAGGAGCCACAACTCACCACCAACAGTCAACACTGACAAAAGACACCTATTACAAGAAAGGTGAAGAAATGCAAAACTTGTCTGCGGGAACACACCCCCCAATGATGTCGCAGCCTGCGGGGCTCCACCCACTCTCCCAGTGAGCAGAGGGGGTGTGGCTTGGGATGAGGGTGGGGTCAAAGTAGAGGGAGAAATCCAGGGTGTCCTGGGCGGGTTGATAGAGGGAAGTGGAGGGGGGAGGAGCTGGGTTCTGGGAACATGGTAGACGAGAGGCAGTGGTGATGGAGAGAGGGAGAGAAGAAGACGAACGATGCCTCGTTAGAGTCTGCCCCCATGATTAGTTCAGGAAATTGAACAATAATTATAATGTCAGTAGCTAATATACACAATAAGGTCTCTAGCCTATAGATCAGTGGAGGATACAAGTATGTAGACAATGGCAGAAGAGGTGACTGCAATTCGCTGGTCCTGTGACCAGGAGACGGCGTCCACCTCCCGCACTGCCTGTGGCAGTTCCAATGGACTACTGCACCACTCCATCACAGGCCGAACCCTATCAAGCCTGCAAAATGTAAATATTTACTCGTCAATTCGTCAATTTTACCCTCCAGAATACTTACCATAGTCTCAGCTAAAACGTTTGCACGGTAGTGCGCATCAATTAGAATTTTCAGGCGCGCACTCGTCCGCGTTGGCTGTGCAGGCTTTTCGAGATGGCAGAGCAGGTTGAAGAGGAAGTGATCGAGATAGACATGGTGCAGTTGAAGAAGATGAAGGTCCGTAAATACAATAGCCGACTGCTCGTCTCCGTGAATTGCTCGTCTTTCGTCAGGTGCCAGAACTTCGGAAACAGGCGGCCGAGTTGGGGCTCGAGACCAAGGGAACAAAAGCCGAAATCCTGTCAAGAATTGAGAAGTACCTAAAGGAGCAAGGTTTGTTCCTGCGGATGAGTGGGAAGACGATACCCTTATTTTTTTGTGAAAAAAAAAGGCTTTCTGCTTCAACAACGGTAGTGTTTGGCCCTGACATTTCTCCAGATGAAGAGTTGTTAGAGGAGGAAGAAGAGGAGGAGAGGGAAGAGGGGGAAGAAGAAGAAGAACAAGAAGAAGGGGCTAAAGATGAGAAAGAAACCGGTGATAAAGAGGTGGCTCCGCCTCCAAAGAATGCCACACCCCCTCCATCAGGTGCCGAGCCAGCTGCAGAGGTCCCTGCACAACCAGCAACAACTGCAGTTGAACCCACAGACGGAGGAGGTGAAACAAAGGAGTTGACTGCCTCAGAGGTATGAAACTCTGTCCAGTTGCACCTCCCTCCATGGTGTGTGTGTTTTGTTGCAGAGAATGGCGAAAAGAGCCGAGAGGTTTGGTGCTAATTCCAGCGAGGAGGCCAAAAAGTTAGCCAGAGCTCAGAGGTGGGTCTGTGTGTGTGTAGGTGTAGGAACAGAGGATAAGGCGAGATACGTAGGAATAGGGACGGCGAGATAGGTGAGATACGTAGGAATAGGGACGGCGAGATAGGTGAGATACGTAGGAATAGGGACGGTGAGATAGGTGAGATAGGTGAGAAGGGACGGTGAGATATATATAGGAATAGACACAGAGAAAAGCGAGGTATTACATGTACAAGGCGAGATAGGAAAACGAAATAGAGGCGAGATCATTACTTTGTCCACTTCTTGTTGCAGGTTTGGTACCAGTCTTGAGAATGGGTCACGAGCTCCGCCAACTGTGAGAAACAACTACTGACTACAGTACATCCACACAGCTACATCATAGTGTATCCCCCTGTGTCTTCAGGCAGAGGAGATGGCGAAGATACAGAAGAGAGCAGAGAGGTTCGGGGTCAAAGTTGCTCCCTCTCTCACGCAGGTCGAAGAGAGTGAGAAGAAGCAGAAGAGGAAGGAGAGGTTTGGCCTGGCCGTCACTGATCTGGGTGCAGAGGTTAGGAACTCTCTTCTTTTTTAAAATCTAGTTCACACTCTGTTTTACTGGACAGGAACGAAAGAAAGCAAGGTTGGAAAGATTTGGACAAAGTATCTGAGAACATATCTACATCAATCATACACGTTTGATTTTTCGTGCATGAAACTTGTTGGTGTCGTACTGCGCATGCGCAAATATGAGTCAGCAGACCCGAACAAGACTGAACAAGGAAGCGACATGAGTGCTGCTGACAAGCAACCGCTGATTGGAGGAGAACCCTCGGCTCCCCCGCCGTACGCTCCTCCGAAAAACCCTCACGGTGAGCGAAAACCGTGTCGCTCGAGACTACAGTCAGAATTCTTTCTTCTCTATCAGGTTACCCGCCTCCCGTTGCAGGAGGAGCTGCCTACCCGCCACCTCAGGCTCCTCCGCCTGCCTACGGTCACCCCCAGACACCAGCTGGCTATGGAGCTACTCCTCACATTACCGTACGACCTCACAGTCCTGAAATATCCCGTGAATTTGCAGTTTCCCCGTGTGCAGGTGGTACAAGCTGCTCCCATTGTGACCAGGCGGACTGTGATTGAGCCAAAACCTCCGAACCACATTCTCCTCTCTCTGATTGTGTTTCTGATGTTCTGCTGGGTTTTTGGGCTCATTGCCCTCATCATGGGGATGCAAGTGAGCCTCTCAATCTCTGTCATTAATACCAGGGTCACCCCCCTCTTCCCAGGTTGACTCTGCCTGGGCTGCTGGAGATGGGAACAGAGCTAGAAGACTTTCAGCGTCGGCTCGAGGGTGGAATCTGGCCGGCATGATATTTGGGAGTGTGCTATACGTCACAATCGTAGTGTCGTCTGTGACGTCCAGTGCTGCTGGCACCTAGTAGCTGCACCCTCTCTGAGTTTTTCAAACAGACTCATGTGTTTCGCCACATTAAGAAAAATCTGTTTTGTTTGTGTGAATTATTCTTGATCCTGTAACATGCTAATGATAATGTGTGCAGTTGAGTGTAAGTATTTGGTGTAGGAGCCTTTAGGCCTGATTGCGACAGAGTGTACAAGTAAAACTAATGACATGGACACTAAAGCACTATCATTGTTGGGGTGTTTGTAGCAGCTTTTCCAGAGCATTGAGAGCGTCTTCTATTTGCTGTTGACTTTCGACGAGGTCGTCAGATCCGTCTGCTTGTTCACAGACCTCCCACAGCTCCCTCGTCTCACCGCCTTCACCATCACCGCTCACCTCCTCTCCCCTCACTCTCCCCAATCTCTCAATCTTAACCTTCAACTGGCTCAACTCCTGACTGAGACACTCCCCTCGCTCCTGCTGCAGAAACATTTCCAAGGCACTGTACACACAACCATTTCCACAGACAAACACAAATGTTGCACACCTGAGTCTCCCACTGAGTCTGGCCCACCTGAGACTAATCTGGACACCCTCCCTGAACCCTCTCCTGAACCCTTTCTCTGTCACTTCCTGCTTACCTTCCTCCACTCCTTCCCTAAAACCTGCCTACTGGACAAAGGGAAGAAAATTCAACCAAATTTTATTAAATATGAGAACGGAAGCTGACATTCACGTGGGTTCTCGCAAGTTTCTGGTAGTCTTGAGCTGCAACTAGAAGGTCTGGGTCATTACCCATTGCTCCATTGTCGTCCATACTTTACACGATCCAATTATGCGTAAACGTGACCACAAACCCGGAAATATTGAACACGAAAGGTGAGACAGCTAGAGCTGGGGTTCGGGTAGTTTTGTCATCCTCTTGCATCCGTGCTCTGTGCCCCTCTCTCACCCAGTTCCCACTCTCTCCACACTCTACAGGGACACATTTCCCCAGCCGAACAAACAGCAGCGCGCCACAATGGCCGGCTGAACTCCTCACATCATGGCGCACAAACCCACCGCCGGTAAAGACGGCCGCAGGGGTGGACTGGCCAGCGTGTGCTCGTACGGCTCGGCCAGTCCTGAGTCCCAGGGACCCAGAGACGCTCTGGAGAGTGTTAGCAACGAGTCTCTTGCCAGCTATTCGCCTCCAGCGCTCTCGCCCGTGTCCGTGGAACCGTACCCGTCGACTACGAAGCCAACTTCCGAGGCCAAGGGCGGGAGGAAAGAGGGAGAGGGGAGGAAAGGGGGAGAGGGGAGGAAAGGGGGAGAGGGGAAGAAGCAGGGGAAGAGACGAAAGAGCCGGGACAAGGAGCACAGGAGACGGAGGCGGAGCAAGAGTCCTGGTGAAGGTAGCGCTCACAGGAAGAAGAAGAGAAGGCACGAGCCTGGGAGCCCGCGGAGGGCCAAGAAATCCAGCTCCAAGAAGCAGAAGAAGCGACACCACCGCAGCTCCGTGTCCAGTCGAGAGAGCAAGGTCGTTCCCAGGAGCTACAGGAGCCCTTCTCCAGATAAAGCCCACCGTCGGTCACCAAGCTCAGAACGACGGCGGTGGTCGCAGAACTATGATGAAATATCGTCCCCAGGTTCCCCCTATCCCCCATCTCACACTCGGCGCAGTCCTCACAACAGTCACTATCATCGCAGGTACCTCCACCGCTCACCACCTCAGAGTCGCCATGGTTACTCCCCACACCGTCACCGCTCTCCCCACTCAGCGTATTACTCTGGACGATCTCCATCTTCACCGGGGTTTCCTCGTTATAACTCCATCTCGCCCCCCCACAAGCGATATCGTGGATCTCCATCACCTCCACCGCGACGAAGACCCAGCCCCCCTCGCAGGAAAAGAGGGCGTGGCTACTCTCCTCCCTCATCTCATGGTAGGTTCAGCCGAATGAAGTCAAACTCACCAGACGAGAGAGAAAGATGGCATGGTCGTTCCCCACATCACGAAGCGTGCCCAGCTGGCTCTGAGGCCAAGAAGGAAGAGGAGAGAGAGAATGCGAGACTGCGTTCTAAGACTGGCTCCATATCGTGGGAGAGATCTGGGGATGAAGGAGGAGAAGGAAAGAAAGTGGCAAAAGAAGCAACTGACTCTGCAAAACCTACCTCTCCCCCACCTCCACCCCCTCGTCCTCCGCCTGCTCCTGAGAACAAGGCTGTTATATCTGAACCTCAAGCAGTTGGAGTGAAATCTGCAGCAGAAGATGAAAAGATGAAAGCATTGCTCCCTGTGAATGAGCCTGAACCAGCTGAAAATCTGCCTCCTCCTCTGCCGTCAGATGCCCCGCCCCCACCCCCGCCTCCAGAGGAAGACGAGAAGCCTCCGTTGCCACCCATTCCCTCTCTCCCTGCCTTCGTCCCGCCCCCCACACCCACTCCGCCCGATAACAAAATCTCCGACACTTGTGCCACTCCTCTGGACCAATCAAACCTGTCAACCTCGTCGCCGCTGAAACTTTCTTCATCTCCAATCAGTGTAGGGTCATCCCCAGTTGTGTCTCGTCCGCTGTCCACCCAGACAACGGCTGTTGCTACTCCAGAGCTACCTCCGGAGCCTTTGCAGCCTCGTGAACACAAACCTCGCTGCATCGATGCCTTTGAAATCATCGACCAGATTGGGGAGGGAACATACGGCAAGGTACACACACACTCTCCTTTCCCCTTGTGTTTGGTTATCATGTCCTGTTTCCATGACGATCAACTTTCTACATGTGCTTTGTTGTTATGTCTTGTTTCCATGGTGACAGGTGTACAAGGCTCGGGACACGGCGAACGGTGACCTGGTGGCGCTCAAGATGGTGAGAACTGATAACGAGAAAGAAAAGGAGGGGTTTCCCATCACGGCGGTTCGGGAGGTCAAGATCCTGCGGCAGTTGGCACACTCTAATATCGTCAACCTGAGGGAGATTGTCACTGACAAGGTGAATGCTGCTGACTTCAGAAAGAGTAAAGGTGAGCCTCTTCTTTTTATGCTTCCACCTTTCTAGCTTTGTGTGACATTAGAGAACTGTTTGAGTGTGTGGGCAAAATGCATTCTCAACTTGAACACACTCTAGTTGAATTGCACTTGCCTCGTGCTGACATTCTGTGATTTGTGCAGCCATCTGTATACTAGTTGTCACCACCCTCCCTGACGCAGGGTCGTTCTATCTGGTGTTTGAGTACTGTGACCACGACCTGGTGGGTCTCCTGGAGAGTGGCATGGTCGAGTTCACTGAGCAACACATCCAGAGCCTCTCGCTCCAGCTGGTGGAGGCCCTCCACTACTGCCACACCAGGAACTTCCTTCATCGCGACCTCAAATGCTCCAACATCCTCATCAACAACAAGTCAGTTGAGACGGAGAACGAAGTGATGTTTAATCGAATGTTGTGTTCTCCTTCATTGCAGGGGGCAACTAAAGTTGGGAGATTTTGGGCTAGCAAGATTCTACCATGCTGACGATAAAAGGTATTACTAGTTAGCAGAACCATCAGTACATTACACTTAGCTTCCCATGACATCTCACCCTATTGTGGTGTATACTTCATCTTCCCAGTCGGCTGTACACGAATAGAGTCATCACACTGTGGTACAGACCTCCAGAGCTGCTGTTGGGAGAAGAGCACTATGGTCCTGGAGTGGACATGTGGTCTTGTGGGTACGTCCCATAGTAGCATAATTATAGGGGCTTACTCTACTGTTGTGTTGTGTTGGGAGGTGGTGTAATAGTCAGGGAGAACCTTTTGACCTATCTCAGGGGGAAGGAACAACATTGGCTATAAACCTTGAACATTGTGAAAGGTGTATTGCATGGATATACTGTACTAGTCTACCTGTACACCATGTGAGCTCGGTGACTGTACCCGGAGGGGGTCAGTGTATGTATGTGGTTAAAATAGAAATTTTTTTTAATCGTCTCGTTTTTTGAATTATGTAAAAATGGTCCTTTCTCCCAGAAAACTTTACTGATAGTCTGAATACCGTGAAATGTGCAAAACAATATTTCTGCCTCTGAAAGTGTACTGCTGTAATGTAGTTCAGAGAGTGTGTGTGTGTGTGTGCTGAGGCCAGGGGTGAGCTGGTTTGTGTGTCTGTCTCTCTGGCAGCTGCATTCTGGGAGAACTCTTTACCAAGAGACCGCTCTTCCCTGGCTACACCGAGATTGGACAGCTGGAACTGATCAGGTGAGGTCTAGCTAGGGATGAGACAGGGAGATAGAAATGGTGTTCATCTTCTCCAGCAAGTCGTGTGGCACTCCCTCGCCTGCTGATTGGCCCGAAGTCATCAAACTCCCAAACTTCCAGACTTTCAAGTTCAAAAAGACTTATCGCAGAAGACTGAAAGAAGAATTCTCTAGGTATGCCGGGTATCTTTAACCCTTTAGTATCTGCTTATTGACTTTTGGACTTTCTCACAGCCAAATTCCTGAGAGTGCTCTTGATCTAATGGATCGTATGTTGACCCTTGACCCCTCTCGGAGACTGACAGCTAGCGAGGCGTTAGAGCATCCTTTTCTGAGTGGATTTGACAAAGATTGTGTGGCTCCACCAACGTGAGTGTGGGAGGGGGCTAGTGGGAGGGAGCAGTAACGACAGATTCTCTCTCTGCAGGCTGCCACACACTCAGGACTGCCACGAGATGTGGAGCAGGAAGAGAAGGAAGAAAGAGGCCAAGTCAGGCGGAGCGCAGGGAGGAGGGAAAGAGGGGAGATCAGGCTCGCAACCTCCGACCCACCCTTCCTCTCCTCGTCTTCCTCTTGCCAACAGACCCACACCAACTGCCGCACGAAATCAGGCCAATTCCAGCATTCCTTCATCCCCCTCCCTCCCTCCTCCCACTTCCACACCTCCCCCGGGGTCTCACCTGGAGCCACACCCACCTCTTGCCAACCCAAATCTGAAGCCGGGGCTCACTGTTCCTCCTCCACCGGCCCCCATTAACCCCGCTGCCATCTTGGATTCAATCAAGTCATCCCTAATGCACGAAGCTCCGCCCCCTCCACCTGCTACCATGGCAACTGGTGGTGCTCCCGTAAATTCAGTGGGGAGTGTACCTGTTTCCATGGTGGCGGGGTCGTCGTCGTCGTCGTCAGTTTCAGTTGCCCAGCAACAATCAGATCAGCTGCAGCGTGTGATAGAGGTGCAGCGGACACAGTTGAACCTGTTGTCACAGATCACCAAGACGTTGGCTGACCAGCAGAGACAGAGTGCTAATTCAAGGGGGCCCCCTGGTGTAACGAGGCCGGGGGTCCAGACTTTTGACTACGCTAATAGGAGCAGTGCTGAGCTACAGAGTCTTGCCTTGAAACAACTGGAACAAGAATACTCCATTCGGGGTAGGTGGCCTTAGGACCGGGGTAATTTTACCCCACGCTGTGGGGTACCACGTAAGGCTGTTGGTCAGCCAAGTCACTTGTGTTGGCTATTGAATGTGTGTTGATTGTGATTGCGTGTTGTGTGCACGCTGTAATGTATTATTGATGATTCATTGGTTCTTGTCCTCCGCCAGCTCTGCTTTTTCCATGCTCCGTTAGCTCTCTATAGTCGCTCCCACCTTTCAAGTTAACAATATTCATAGCTCATTATGGGAACGCCCACTATTTTTGGGTAGCGCGCCGCGAGCGAGCGCGAGTGTGTGGGACCTCGTTTGTTTGGAGAGTCAGCGGGAGATAGGACGGCTGGTGTGCAATGGCGGCAGGAGACCAGCGCGGCAGGGGAAGGTGAGGTGGTAAACGAACTGCGGCAGAAATAGCCGGGCAGCCCCCTAGAATTAGGGTCATTTGTATCATAACACGTATCAGGTGGCGATGTGTATACTACTGCATCACTAGTTACGTCTCGGAGCCGTAGAGTGTGCAGTAGTGAAGCCGATACTAGCACCTGTCTTCCACCCCGTCTTTCTCTTTTCTCTTTCGCAGTGGGAGGCATAGCCACTCTCGCCTGGAATAATGCGAATCTTGGCACATGTTGATAGAAATGATTTTATGTTCACTTAGCGGAGTGGTTGATGCATCGGTAGTCGAGGCTACAGCCAAAGCTGATGGGTTCCCAGCGTGCAGTAGATAGTAATGAATAGTGGGAGTACATTAGCTTACTTTCTCCCGAGCCAGCGGGGTAAAAGGGGCCTAGTCTAAACTGCCTAGGGAGGAAAGCCACAACACTAACAGGAAACTAGAGCCACAGTTTGCATGGAGGGGGCCTTGGTCATGTGTAATACAAAAGTCGCAGCCTTTGGGACCTATTGTAATTTATGTAAACACCGATCCACAATGCTGTACACACACGTAATGAACAGGTCGGGTTCTGTACTTGACAATGAGGCTGTGTTTATCTCATTGTCATTGTATGGGGGCTGGCGTCACTAAATTCAAGAGCTGTCACCTTTTCTCTCTCTCTCTCTTTTTCCCTCTGGTAGACATTTCGAAGGACTCCTCTTCGAAGGAAATACGACAGACAAGTCCTGGACACTTGTTTTTCAGAAACATGTCACCATGACGATCAGGCCTCCAGGGTGTGTGGCTAAGGGCGGGACTTGGAGCTTGATTGCCACTCAGAAAGATGAACCAGTGAGCCTCAGAGAAGCTGTAACTGTATGTGCATGTGAACATCTCCATGGCTGATATTTCAGGTGTGGGAGGGGAGTGTGGAGTCAGGGTGTAAACATAGGGTCAGAGATAACTTTGTCCAGTGGCAACACAAATCGTCTGACAGGGCTACCACGACCTTTGGACTCCGCCTCAAGACTGCAGAGGTAGCCCAGCAGGTGAGCAATCTAATAGTTGAGTTTCACAGTTAACCCCTTTCCCACTGTTCCTCCAGTTCAACAGTGTTCTGGGAGAGGCAGTGGCCTCAATGGGAGTCAGAACCACCAAGAGATCTGCCACTGTTAGAACACCTCGCTCTCTTTTTTCATCATCTATTTTCTCTGTCCCTCTCTGACTGTAGGAGATAGTGGAGCTGTTGATAGTACCACCTCACGCCGAACCTCTCCCCCTTACCCTCCACCCATCCACTACCATCTCACAAGTTATGGCGATTGTTGCCGAGCAACACAAACTAGACCCCGCCCACTACAACTTGGCTTTGCCCGCTGAAGATCCAAAGGTATATACATACGTGACCTCCTATTATGGTCATTGTATCATGTATTAGAGTGTTGTGGTGCCTGTGTAGGGAGAGGGAGTGGCGTGTTTTGGGTCCATGACAGTAAGTAGATTGAAGACCCATAGACTGTA